TGCTGAACACTGGTAAAATATATTCTTTTATCATTTTACTTTCTTCTTCTTTACTTTCTTGACCTAACATTAATATTTCACAGTGTTAAGGGTCTCCCCTGGCAAGGAGAGGGCTGGCAAGTATATCCTAATTACTGTGTATATTCTACCCTGGAGTGCTGGAACACACAGTACTCACAAAAGAGTTCATTTGTGCACTGCCACTGGTGAGCAGAGTTATTAATGAAGATGTGCACCCAGATCTCAACAAATGAGTGACAGTTCTTAAGGAAAAGTGTCATTTTCCCCTATATTTTATTCTATAGAATTGCTGTGTTTAAAACAGTTCTGTGCCGAATATTGTACATAGTTCCACTACCGTACATAGATGGGAAAACTGGTCTTAGGGCTCTGTGGAACCAGGAAGTAGCAGGAAAAAGCTCTTCCTCTAAAGTGTATGAGGTTGAAACAAAGATGGAAAAGTGAAGGGTAATGGAAACCCATTTCTGTTAGATCTACAGTTTGGAAAGTGATGTCTGCTTCTGAACAATCTAGAGCCCGTGCTCTGTTTCCTGAATCTGTCTTATGTGTTTCTCACATTACTGTATCACTTAATGCTTCCCTGCCCCCTCAGTTACTGAAAAGTATTTAAAGAGGCTAAAATAGACAGAATAAATGAAAAGTACTGATTTTTCTGACTAAGTGCTGTGTTGTTGCCGCATTGTTAGGTGGCAGGATGTGTAGCAAAAAATGGTCATATCATTACAAAAAATTCTAACAGCAATATTCCCTTTCACTCTACCTACTGAGGAGCTCTTTAAGAATAGCTGAACGTGGAGAATTGGTGAGTATTCAAATATGAATGATTAAAACCAGTTATGCTAATGCAATGCATTGTTCATTGCAATTACCAGGTTTCTTCTCAGTATAAATTACCCATACTTACACTGCATATGATACAAAGTAAGGAAATATGGGTGGCATGAAGCTTCAGTACAGCTTTGTCTTCACTGTTAAACCCCTGTTGAGAAATAGAGAATGGCTACCACCCTCTTTGCATGCAGATTACAGGCTGTGTGCATTACTTACCTGCCAGCTAATGAGGTTCTATTGTTCAAAGTCCCCCGTGTAATTACCACTTTTTAGACTTGCAGCATGCTTGGTACCCCTCCTAGAGCTGTTAGATTTCTTCTGTTATTTACAGCATTGGCTGGGCTATTTGCTATTGCAAATAAAAAGGAAATTTCTCTTTACAGGGGTCTGTCATTTTGTCCCGTGTGTACAGCACAGAGCACAGCAGGACCCTAGCTGAGCCTGCTAGCCTGGCAGTAATGTGAGTAAATCAGAATCAGATCTGACTTCTGCTCTTCTCTGGGGACAGAGTTCAGCAATAGCTGCTTCTGCCATGCTGTTTGTGCTGCCTGCACTCCATGGCATTCATACCTTTCATTGCCAGGGTCAGTCTGGAGCTGCCCAGCTGGAATCACCAGTTATTGCCAAAGTGACAGACTATGCTCGTGCTTTACTCCTGTCTAATGATCATCACTGTTGTAAATTTGAGTTGTTCTTATGGCATCTTTGCAAAGACTTTTTGATAAATCAGTTACCCATGTTTTCATCTCCTGAATTTGTCTTCTTCATATTCCATCTGCAACAGAAATATTCTTTTTTCTGTTAAAATGAAGACCAGTTTTTCTCTGTGGGAATACCTAGGAATATCCGACTTTCTTATTTGTTACATGGATCTTTGAAATAAATATTAGATAAGAAACTAATTTTGAAATCTAGAAATTATGTTTATTTTCTAGTAAGATACTGTCTTATTGTGCTCACTCAGAAAGATCAGTATTATTTATGCTTTATAAGGAACAAGTTCTTTAAACCCATATTTTACATAGAGATTTTCCCAGGACAAGTGATATGGTGGCTTTTTTCAGGTGACATCAGAAAAGGCATTTGATTGTGTTGGAAGTTTGTTATCTTTATGGCTAGGTTAACAGAATCTGGACCAACATCTTGCACCTGAGTATCAATATGAACAGCCAAGATTATAATCAGCAGTTTTGCATCTGAAGCATTTTTTATTTGAATTGTGACACCACAAAATTTCATCCTGTGTGCTCACTGCCCCCCACCCTGAAAAAGGAGAAAGGAATTGGAAAGCTCTGGGCAATCATCTGAAGTTGTGATGTAAAGTCTGTTTAACACCCTGATGGAAAGCATGTGTGTACCTTGCATGGTACACATTTGCTCTCAGCCAGTCTTGAAGCTCCAGCTGTCAGCTGTTTTCTGTGTATTTCTGACTGAGATGTTGCAATTTCTTTCACTGGATACAGATGCTGCAATAATCCATGCTTCTGGTATTTTGTTTTCAGACATCTGCACTGCAATATATCTGGGATTATTTCATAGTGCCTTTCAAAGTTGAAAGCAAGTTCAAAAAAAAAAAAACAACAAACCAAACAAAAAGCAGCTGTCATTTGTAGTAGGACACTTCATCTTGAGCTGATTATGCTCTGTGAACTGCATATGACCATCTGAAGGCTTCTAGCAGGTTTATGAGGCACAGCTTGAGTTAGATGTCCATCAGGGCTTTGGAGAGTAAGCACACATGCTTTAGATGGTTCTTCAGGTGATTGTTTCTGCTGGAGGCTTGTACATGAGTTAAAAGAACTTCAGAAAATCTTTGCCCTAGACCACATTTGTACAAAAAGGAAATAATTTTCTACCCTCAGAATCTGGCTGGCAAATTCAGGACCAAAGAGTGTCAGAGAGCAGGTGTTTCCAGTGTTCATTGTTGCTAGACTTCTTTCTTGTGTGTGGTGAAAGTTTCTGGATTTTTTTTTTAATTGCATGTTCATTCTACTCTTCTTCTCTTTGCTAATAAAATCTTTTCTAAAATTGTATTTATTTTAGATTTGAATGCACTGACATAACTGATCCTTTGTTCTGTTTATATGTTTATGGGGAGAAACATGAGCTGCTGTTTTTTGAAATATTCTAGTGATATCTAATGATGAGGAACAGCTGGGCTGGGTGGGCTGCATGGAAAATGCCTGGAAAGATGAGATTTAAGGAAGACCATTTTATGTAGAAAATGGGTATAGCTTTCTCATTAGACCTAGACAACAGTGAAATCCTAAGGCACATTTTATATTTATTTTTACCCCGGCAATACCACAGATCTGTCTTTTCAAAGTGTTTGTCTGCTGCTACACACCTAGATTTTGAGTTTCCACAAGCAGCATCTATTTAACTGGCATGATAATTCAGATTTAATTGTTTTAAAAACTAATAACACTACTGTTATGAAGTAGTCTGCATAGTAATAATCTGAAAAACTGCTTATACTTTTAAATTAACAATGATAATGAAGTCAGGCTGGAATGTAGAGAAATTATGTGAAACAGAACACTACCTATCTTTCTGGAAATCCATGTGGTATGCAGACTCAGCTTAGAAGGTATAAACTGACAAATAAAAAGCTATATCCAGACCAAAAAAAAAAAAAAAGGGAAAAAAAAGGAAACATCCTTATTTCCTCAGCAGCAAGACTTATTTCCTCAGCAGCAAGACTTGCACCAAAATAAAGCATATCTGTTCTTGTGTATTAGAAGTCTGCCGGGCAAAATGTTTGCTAAGAAATCCATATCTAAACCTGTCTCTGAACTCAGGTTTTCTGACTCCTGAAGTCACAGTATGAATACAAAACAGATTCATCTTCTCATATCTCTTTGAAGTTATTTTTATCTTTGCAACTATTCTTCATCTTGGTGGTTCACCCCAGGCATACTGGACTGGAACTATGAGAGATGCTGTTCACTGCACAGAAATGCACCACTCCTTGTGCTTGCGGTCCAGACTGCCTGCTGCTGAACGCAGCACCGCAGAGTGGATTTGCACCAGGTCAGAATCTGACCACGCACCTCCCTGCAGTCCTCCTCTCGGTTTATTGTGCATACATCCATTTTCCTTGTAATATCTGCGCACTTTTTTGATAGCATTTGGTTCTCACCTCCACCCCCCTTCATTGCAGGGGTTAGTTAGCTGCAGTCAGTGAGGATGAGCGGGGCCCAGGGACCAAAGGGAACGCCGGGGGGACGCAAGGAGCAGAGCTGTGAGCCGGAGGCGTTGGGAGGGAGGCGAGGGGGGAGCCTGCAGCTCCGCACAACACGTGGAGCAGGGGCTGCTCGTGCACCCCTCTGCAGTAGCTGGGGACTGCCTGCTCTGAACTGCCTCCTCTTCCAGCGCTGCCCCTGCTCTCAGGAGAGCAAAGCTGCCCCTGCTGCTGGTCAGTGCCCCCGGAGACTCCTCCGAACTTTGCTCAGGGCTGATGCATTTCAAAGCTATTTCACCCCTGCGTGAAAGTTCTTTAAAACAGTTCCCAGACCCAGCTGTCTGCAGCTGTGCCCACGTCAGGGGCCAGCCAGGTCTGAGCGCTACGCCTCGGGCAGCCGCGCACCCGCTCCCAGCTGGCGCTTCAGCCCGTTCGGCCGCGCCCCGCCGCCCCGGCCCGGAGCGGCTCTGCGCGCAGCTGGCGGCGCTCACCCCGCCGGCAGGCAGCATCTCACTCTCGGCTGCCCAGCGCGCGGCGGCACCCGCGACCGGTGGGGCGCGGGGGTGACGGGGAAGCCGCGCGAGCCGCGTCCGGCCGGTGCCCGCGGGCAGCACATCGGACAGCGGCCGCTGCCCCGCCCGGCCCGGCCCGCCACGAGCGCGCGTGCGCGGGGCCGCGCGGCCGGGGGCGGGCGCGGAAGGTGCGCGCGCGCCGCCGCCCGCCCGCGCTGGCGCTGAGGTGTCGAGGCGGTGCCGGTGTGTCCCTCACGGCGGCGGCAGGAGCCGCACGGGCGGTGCCGCTGCGGGGACCCGCCCGCCCCCGCGCTGAGGTGCCGCTGTGTCCGCGGCGGCGGCAGGAGCCGCACGGGCGGTGCCGCTGCGGGGACCCGCCCGCGCCGCTCCGCCCGCGCCCCCCGGGCACAGCCCGCCGACCTTGAGGGCTGTGCCGCGCTGCCCCCCCGCCCCGGGGCGCTATGAGCCATGAAGCCGCCCGGCAGCAACTCCCTGCGGCAGCCTGGCTGCGGCGGCCGCCGCCGCCCCGCGCTCCTGCCGCTCCTCGGCCGCCTCGTCTCGCTGCTCCTGCTCCTCCATGGCTCCTGTGTCCCCCGGGCCCGCGCGGCTGCAGCCGCCGGTGGGTATGGCGGGGGTGCGGTGCGGGTGCCTGAGGTGTCCCCCGCGATAAACCCCGGCAACATCCATTTCCCTTCAACCATTCCTTCCTCCCTTCCCTCTCCCAGCTTTGTGTACGTGTCTGTGTCGGCGTGTGTAACCCGGGGCTCAATTAAGGTTTCCTTGCTTGCTTGCTTGCTTTCACAAAAGAGAGGGACGTGCGGTGCCGGTGCTGCAGTGTGTTGGGTAGGGATGCTGCCCGTGAGGGATGCGACACAAAAAGCTCCGGTGGGCTTTGGATGTGTCACGGTGCATGTGGACGGCGATCCGCTAATTTGTCTGCTTGGGGTCGGGTTTTCGGGTGTGCTTTGTTGTTTATTTGCGCTTGTTTTCATATAGGTGACATGTGGAATGCTCTGAATGCAGTCTCATCAGAGACTCATCAGAATCATGTTATTATTGTTGGTACATTGCTGTTACCTTGTAACATTGTTGTGTTGTTACATCGCGTTGATTGACTGTGTTGAAATTTTAATGAAGAAAGATACAGGATTTCTTTTCAAAAGCTGCTACTGACGAAAAGGGCTCTTGTCAAAGTTTAAAGAAGTAGAAATCAATTCCCTTTACATAATAGGAAGTTTAGCATTCAGTGCACATGGACTCTGAATTCAGTGTATGTTAGCAACACTGGGGGTATTCTTAACTTTTTGTAGATTTTTTTTTTTGTGAAAGAATTTAGCTATGCAAGAAGATGTAGGGGATAACTATGTATCCATTAAGTTGAGGATTTTTTCCTCCTGAAGGTTGAGAGGTATTAAAATATTTATAATGTATGCATATGAAAATGTAGATTAATGCAATTAAATAAATAATGTTCTTTCTGAAACCATTTTATATGTAAAAAATGAATCAAATCTAGCTCAGTGAATAAGCTTTTTGTTTGCTTGAGTAATTAGTAAAATGTTAGAAAACTGCAAGCAAATATGTAGCTTTTTCATGGAAATAAACACATTCTGCCATGGAATTTATGGCTGGCATCTTTTTCTTCCCCAGGCCTGCACTGGAATGAAACAGCAAGCAGTATAGAGGAAGTGCTGGCAGATGAAGAGAGTACATTTCAACAGAGTAACAGCAGTAACAGTAAAAATAACAGCTACAGCAATGCAATCCAGAAAGAAATCACACTGCCTTCAAGACTAATCTATTACATCAACAGAGACTCTGAGACCCCTTACCATATCCTGGATACCAGGGCAAGGCACCAGCAGAAACATGACAAGGTAGGGTAAAAAGAGGCTCATCTGCAGAATTTTCAAAACAGTGATATGTGATGTGAAACTGTGTTTGTTTTGATCTGTATATATTCAAGACTTAATGGTGGTCCCTACCACATTTTTTAGCAATTAAGGGAGTACATGTAATTAAACAAGAATGTAATTTCCCTTGTGTTAACTTAAAGATAATTATTTTGAATTCCAGAATGGTTCAGAAACTGAACTGTAGATAAAACAAATGAGAATTATGTGAGGTTGACTTGACTAATCAGTATAGATTCTGGTGTCTTCACTTTTGGTACAATACCATCAACAAAATGTTTCTTCCAAAATAGCTCTGGACTGCAGAAGTACCTGCATAGGGAGCTTCTTTGGAATCCTGAACTTGCAGCATGAATTACTTAGCTTTGAGTGTGCCATGCACTACCTAATAAATGCAGCATTCATTCCCTGCCACTGCATGGCCAGTGAAGACCACTGTAAGTGTTACCATTTTTTGTCAAACAGTACCTGTGTTCCTCATATTTTATGGCAAGATCCAGTATTACATTTTGTATGGATGCACCTAGTAAGTTTTTTGGGGTTTTTTTCCTCCTGAAATTATATGGAGTTGAACAAACTTTGGTTTTGGGAATAACTTTGTAAAGAAATAAACCTGTCTAAACAATATCACTTAGTACCCTTTAAATTAATTTCATCCCATTTTTATAAATCTTTATTAAAAAAATTAATTTCTTCCTACAGGGTAAAGTGAAGGTAAAGATGGTTTGAATATAAAGAGGTAGGGAAGAGACAACAAAACAAGTCAGTGTGTATGATATTACTGGAAGACTTAGCCATAATGGAGTTCCTACCTATTGAATAGCATTTCTCTTGAAATTTTAGACAGTGAATTTAATACATGTTATATGTCCTTATGCTAATATTGATTATGTGCCATTTCAGATGTGAAGTTAATAAAAAGGCACTGAATAATCTTTGAAAAAAAAAGGTTGAGGTACCTGTATCATTTTTATTTTTTAATAGGAAGAGAGGTTGCTTCCTAGCTTATTGAACATGGATACTGGTGTGTGCTTTGGATGCATCTCAATACATGAATGTGTTATGGTTGGCACAGAAAAGCTTTTTGTTGGAAACTGGAGCTACTTAAGAGAACACTACATTCACAACTAATATTCTTTCAAGTGACTCCACTCTTTTAAATACACTTAAAACACTAAGGTCTTGCTGCTCCCCTCTTGGGGAGAAAGGGATTTAAAAGTGCTTGCAGACTTGCTTTTGGGAATAATGCTTCTTCCACATTGCTGTGTGTTGGTTTGAAATCCATTGGGGACAATGTGCCCAATCTCTGTGCTTACCCAGCACTGCCCACCAGAACGTTGCTGTTGCTGTTTTTCCTCTGCCCTACCTTGTACCTACACATTGGAGTAAAGCTCTGCAGAAATCAGTGCTGACAGAATTGGTATTGATTTCCTTGGGCATGCTTGCTGCTGACTGTTGTGTAAAGTGGATCTTCTTTCTATTCACTGTGTCCCTTTTAAGCACAGGGAATGCTAATGCTGCAGTTTTCCCCCCAGAAGGGTTCCTCAGTCCTGGGCCTTCATGGAGAGTGCCATTATGTTGACTTTATTCTTCTGGCATGAAATTTCGATTGTTTTATATTTACTGTTTATATTTAATTGAAGAAAAGAGTGGATTATGTTCATTGTCTGGATGGATTTTTGCATGTCTTGCTTCTGGTCATCGTACCTGACGCCTTCACCCCAACGTGCATCTTGTGCATTTCCTTGGTATTATATTATTTTGTTCTGTTTAAGATTTGCTATGATCTTCTCTGTAGAGCAATAATCAAGGCAGGGGGAAGTCTGGAAGTTGTAAAAAGAAAACCCAAACAACAACCCATAAACAAAACAATGCAATTGATTGTGAAAGATACCTAGGGGTTGGCTTTGACTTGCGGGGGGGGGGGGATTCTTTTCAACACTGGCTTTTATCCTTCCCAAAATTAAAAAATATATATGGTAATAAAGATACATATGAGGTATATAAGATATATATGGTAATATAAAGGTATATGTGGTAATATAAAGGTATATAAGATATATATGGTAATAAATCCTACCTGTGGGATTTTGATGTCTCTTACTGGTAATTAAGAGAAGTAGTTAGGTAAATAACTATTAAATAACTATTAAATAATAGGTAAAGAAAGACATCTGTACATTAGGATTTTTTTAATAATGTGAGAAAAGTTAAGACAGCCTTCTATATGTATAGAGTGGGAAATTGTGAGGAAAAAATGTTTTTGTTGTTCTTTCACTGTTCTTGGGTCTATACATTTTAGCCTCTATTTTCTTGTCAACCTTAATATGCCATTTATAGGCATATGTTGTGGAAACAGTCCCTAACTATTAATAATATTCAGTAGACTCCTTTCTGTGGAACTTCTGTACAGTGGTCAGAATAATGTAATATGGCCAGTTTGTGGGATTAGACCTGAATGCCTCAGAAATGCTGAGTCACTGTAAGGAGAGGGTGAGACTAGAAGAAATGATTTGCATATGGAAAGAAAGAGATTGGAGAAGTTGGAGAAGTATAATGATATAAAATTGTTTAAAATATTCTTTAAAAATCATGTCCCAAAGTAAGGGATGTTCTTCATGCGATGTTCTTCATGAAATGTTGGTAGAAATTAAACACTGCAAACAGTGTAGCAGAGAACAAAACCCCCATAAATAATAATAACTTATTATTATAATAACTTTCTTAGTACTGATTTTCTGTATCCCCTTTTGGTGAAATGTCATCATATTGAGGAGGTGTTTGTCATCAAGCCCCTCTCGCATTCCTCCTTTTTGGAAAAAGCTTTTTATCACTGCTGAAAGAAAGAAATGTTCATCATAGTTTTGATAAAGTGATCTATCTCCAAGGGGGCAGAGTTCTAGTATATACTTTATTTTAGCTTTATGCTCTTAAAAAAGCAGATTTTAACTACTTGATGCTTGAAAACTCTGAATTCTGTGTACCTGTTTCCTCATAGTCAAATTAAGGCTAGCTGGTTTTGAGTTCTTCTGAAGTTATTTTTAGTGCAAAATGCTCGAAAATGAACATCTATTTATAAAAACACACTGAAGAAGCTCACAGGAATCCATAAAATTGATGAATAGGTCTGAGTCACCTGTGGTCTTTTTAAGCTTCTGCAGGTGGAGGTAGGATTTTGAAGGAACTGTTAATCTCTTTATTGAACTGGACAACTGCTTTGGTTCATTTTCACAGGGCTACATACACAAGATTTTAGGAGCTAGCAGGAAGACTGCATGGGGCACAGCTTGTCACAAAAAGCTAGGAGCAAGTCCTTACAGTGGCCAGCAGAAGGAAAAGTCCTGCAATGCAAGGTGTTTGAAGATAATAGGATTGCTGGAGAAACAGAGCCCAGGGCAATCTTAGCAAATTTTGAGTGGAAAATAACTCAAACTGTATTTATATGGAGGCTGACTGTATCTGCTGGAGAGTTTCTGAATCAGAAGTTTTCAGGAGCTGTAAAGAAGCTATCTCTTCATGCATAATTATAAGCTGTTAATGTGATTTCTGGGAAGGAGAGAGGTGTTAGTAAAGCTGTTTTGCAGATCCTAAAGAGGAAAAAATAAGGATGAGTACTTTTGACTATGACAATGTTTCCCCCTTCCCTAAAAAAGTTTGATTTATTTTGAGCTATTTTTCATGGAGGGGAACTCCAGGTGTTTCTGATCAGGTCAGGTGTTTGTCATTTACATAAAGAACATACTCCTGCCAGGTGGATGCAATAATTTTTGCTATGTTGCCTTGCTTTAAAGGTTGGGATACAGTGCTATCTCAGTCCTCTATGTAACTTTTGTATGCAGCATATGAAAGTTGATCAGGAAAACATCCTTAAGATGAAGGAAAACAACTCTTTTCTATTTAAAAGGAAGCAGTATTGGGAAAAAAGCAGTGTTTTTTTGTTTTTGTTTTTTTGTTGTTGAAGAATCTTTGTGGTATTTCAGCTGGCTTTGTCTTTTCTTTCTTTTTCCCTGATCTTTCTGTGGTGCAGCTTCAGTTTGCACTACTTGTAAATGAAAGATTGTGTGTACTTTTTTTTTTCTATTCTATATTGAATTTATATTAATGCAAAAGGCTTATCTTGACTCTGTGTCTTCAGTAGTTACTAACAGGAGGATTGAAATTGGTCTTCCTGTCTTTTGTTTCTCTAAGTAGATTTTCCTTATGCCAACTTCAACTAGATTTAGGTCTTTGTTTCTTAGCTGAAATGCAGGCCATGTTATTTCTACAACTTCTTAAATCCTTTTTTTAAAATGTATTTCTGGATTCTTTCAGGAGCTTCACACAATAACCTATGAAAGGTTTAATTTCCTAAGTTTTAGGTGGGACAACACTTGTACTATCTATGCCTTGTTCTGAAATAGAAATAAATGAAGTTTATAAGTTTTCTAGCATTTGTGGGAGGCTGAGTACTGCAGGAAGGTGGCCCAGGAGAGGGATGCGCTACTTTGTAGGGCCTTACAAAAAAATCCTCAGGGGGGAGGTACGGCTTTGGAGGCCAATGTTACTACAGAAGGGTATCCAAGGATTGCCATGGTGGGAGAGAAGGGTGAGTTGTGGCCCCTGGGGTTTAGATGCACAACAGCAGGATTGCTTCCAGAGGTCTTTTTTCACATGCCCTTAACCTTTCTTGCAAAGAACAGTCTTCAAGGCTCGGGGTTCAAGTGCATCAAAGTAACTCCTCTGTTGTTAAAGTCCAGAGACGAATCATCAACAAGAGGTTTTCTTTTGATGATTTGTCTTCTGTATTTTAAAACATACAGAAATGCTGTATTTTTTAAACATCAGTTTTTACATGCTGCTGGCACATTTATATATTCTGTTTCAATATGAAATGCTTTATTTCCAGGGAGTAGGGGAAGGTTGTTTTGGTGGATGTGCCACACAGTGGAATGTAACCAAATGCTAGAAGAGGGAATGGTGTCTGTGAGGTCTGAGGATAGGCTAACAAGCTGAAAGCAGGATTATAAACTAATATGTACTAAGTCATGTTGACTTGTGACAAAACGAAGGCTATTATTAGAATGGAGGTCTAGAGCAAAAAACTGTTTTGATGGTGTAAAATCCATCTAAATCTGACTTACATTTCTATTTCCATCCATAATGAGAATGATGAAACCTCTTGCTCAGCTTCTAAACTTGGAGAGGTAGCTTTTGGCCATTATTTTAGTCAGCAGAATTGTATGAAAAAAATAGATTTCTAAAAGCAATGAGCTTGTCCTTTGGAGATTGTATCTGCATGAATATAGCAAAAAACTCATAGCTTCCATTAGTCAGTTAAATAATGCCGTTAATTTTGTTTAAAGACTTGTGATGGAACTTAGTATTTTTGAAGGGATAACACATTATTGCATTGGGCATCGTTTTACTGTGAAGAAAGTAAAACTAATGTAGTAGTTTATTTTTGGTGATGATGATTGTAAATTTCCTGAAAGTCTGAAAAAAGTGAATTATCGAGAAAGGATGCCCACGTAAGATAACAAAAACAATGAAAGGATTCAAATTGTGACGTAGATCGGTAGAACTGAGATTCCTGTTACAACCATTTTTATATTGAAACATACTGTAACCTAATGACTGACTTGAAAGAAACTGGAATTCTTTATACATATGGATTTTTAGCTTGAAAAAAACCCTGAGAAGTTCTACTTTGCATAAGCAGCTATACCACTCTTAGAATGTCCCTAGTATGAAGAATCTCTTATTACAATGACTTTACCAGTAATTTGAGCTCCCAGAGCAGGGGGAAAAAAAGGCTTTTTTTTTTTTTCCCATAAAATTTGGGTATGAGGACAGGAAGAATTTGAGAGACTTAGACCTTTCTTCATCCCACATTGCTGTACATCATCAGTAAGTCTGCTGAAGAAAAATTTTATGTAATTTTGGAGCTTTGCCATTGGAATAGGCTGTCAAAGCAGGAACCTCTGCAGAGGTTTTTAGATTATAAGCAAGCACAGACAAAGGAACTTGGTCTCCTCTTTATGTAAATAAAGAATACTTTTGCAGGTGTGAGCATTTGCATGTGCACAGGCTGTACAAGAGGATGATGCTTTTTCCTGTGAAAAGATGTATAGTCTTCAAAATACGTGCTGATCAACATTATATTCCTGTTTGAATTGATATTTCTTTGGCAATGAGAAGAACACTGTATTTCAGATTATTCTTCAGGTATTTGTATTACACAGTAGTTGATGAGAGAATACAGTGAAATTATAAGGTGGATAACAGAATTGCAGATACTTTTCTGAAATCTTTCCTGCTATCATTATGGCACATGATGGTTGTAATGCTTAAAACACCTGATTATAATTCGCTTTCTATGCTAACTTATTGCAGGAAAATAATGTTTCAGGATTAGATATTTATTCTCATTACCTTCAGCTGCTTTAGGGCTTTTGGGAGTGGTTATCTGTTGTTAAACTGAATTAAGAGAATCTGTATTTGCTGTAGCAGCAGTGTATTGCATTCATCTGAATTCAAAACAGTGCTTTTGCTAAACTGCAGGGATTTAAAATCTTTTTGAAACCCATGGTTTCAGCTGAGTTTGGTGAACATGCCCTGCTGCAGGTCATCAAATTAGTGTCAGCTGCTTTGCTGCAATTGCTTTTGTGTACAGGCTGCATCTGCTAGTGAGTCACACTAATAGATAGCGTTTTTATATACAGAAATATTTTCAGAAATAGCAATGTTGCTACAAGCAATAGCAATACATTGCTACAATAGCAATGTAATTCTACAAGAGGAAGGGGTTTTATGATATTGCAGACCAAGAATAAAAATTACTTTTAATAATTTGAAATTGCAGAAAGATAAAGAATACATGGTTCACGGCTTAGAAGCTTGAAGGGTGATACACAGATACCATTGAACAGTCTTGGTTGGACAACAGGAAAGCTGGTCAGGTCAGACTGGTCATCCATCTAGCTGTCACTGAAATCAGTAGCTGATGCCTAGGGAGAGATTTCTCATGTTCCAGAATGATCTTAATGGAATAGTTCGTGCTGTTGTACATTTTGCAGATATTTAACGTTGAAATGTTGTTTGTGGCATATATATGAGAACACATCTTTTTAGGTAAATGTTACATATGGAGGAGATTCAAAGCAGTAACTTGTGTATCTCTTAAGTGGAATCCTTATGGCACAAAACTAATTGCAGCCCTTTTCCTGTAACAAATTTTCATGCTTTTAAAAAAAAAATAATACATGTGTGTTTTGAAAACATAATAAAGTTTTTGTCATGAACAGGTGCTTGGAAAGCTCCTTGTGATACTTTTTCCTTTATTTCATCTGTAAAAAAAAAAGTGGATTTGGGGTTGAAAAGCCTTTCCTACTAGGTATGTATTTAACCTGACATTCCCCTTTTTTTTAATGTACGTGCCAGCAGAGTCTTTCTGAGCATGCCACCTGTTTGTGCTTATACTTAAACTGTTTTGCTCTGCTGATTCAGAGCAGCTGTAAACTCAGATCTGCCAGGCCAGTGTTAGCAAATTGGTGAACTGGTGAGACAACAATATACATTTACCAAAAAACAGAGCAGAGAGAAAGCTTAGTAGTGGTTTGCTTCTATGTGATTTTAGATATCAGCTGGGAATATTATTTTTTTAATTCTTGTTTAGAGTAATTGTATTTTTAATGAACAAAAACAGGCTTTAGCTAAGATTCTTTAATGGCATTAAAAGGTACTTAAAATATTTGTACATGACTTGTTTTTAAAAAAGAAGCCTGACAACAAAGCTCTGTGACCCTATTGAAAGGAAAATTATAATTCTGGTAGCAAAGAATGATAAAGTATTACAGGAAATGTCACAGCTGATTTTAGTTACAATAGCAATTTTAAAAAATTATATTGAAGAATTTTCTGAAAGATGATTAATAACTTTGCTGAGAAGGAAGATTAAAATCGGTGCTGCTTTGTGTAGTGCAAGAATGGAAGAGAAACATAAAGACCTTGTCCTTTGTGGAGAAATTTCCAAAAGAAAACAGAACTAACCATAAAAGCTAACTTTCATACTATTTAAGTTGTGCTGTAAACTAGCTAGAACTTGATATATTTTCTGTGACATATTTATGTGACATACCTGAGGGTTAATTGTGGTGTTTAATAAAAAATAGGGGGTTTTTTGTCTTTTGACTAATGGGCTTAGTCATAATATTCCAGCTTTGTGTAATTATTTATACTGTATCAAATTAGTGTATAAGTGAGCATGATTTTATTAGAATGTTATCAGGAAAGATACTGTGAAATTCAGATGTAATCTCTTCAACCCTGCTAGAACAGCTCTTCACAAAAAGGAATTCTTGGATCATCTCTTATCATTTCCCCATTTTTCTAGAAACAGATAAGCATGTTTCAAATGTCTTTGGCTACAGTTATTGCAGTATAGAGAAAAATAAAGAATACAATTTACCTGACAAGAACTGAATATCGTGAAGTTAAACTTAACTCCCTGTGCAAGACAAGCTAATGTTGATCTGTTGTGTGTTGACCAGCATCAGTATTCTTTATACTGATTTAGCTACAGTGCCAAGTACAAGCCATTAATTGGGAAGGGATTACTTTGAAGGAGTTTTTCATAATATGTAATAGGAACCTTGCCATGATTTTCATATTTGAAAGTGTGTATTACAAATGCTTTAATTATTTCAGCCTTTTAAAGGGAATGATTGCAATAACTAAATTAAAAGAACAGTATACTACATTGCTTATGTTACACAGCCATCTGGTTATGGCAAAATATAGACATTTGTGTGAAACTTTTTTTTTCCTTTCCATTTTGTGAGGGATGAGTGTGTGTTTCAGAGTACGCTTTTCAGGTACCATTTGCTTCCTTCTAAAAAGGAAATCCTTTTGAATGAGAATTTGGTACAAGGGCAAAAGTTTTCATATGCCCATGAGATTCATCAAAATAAGCGTGTTTTCCATAACTTTGTTTTTCACAGTCATATTTGTTTTGTATCTAAAACTCAGTGAATATTTTGACAACTGTGTGTTTCTGTTTACAGGCTGTACATCTGGCCCAGGCGAGTTTCCAGATTGAGGCCTTTGGCTCTAAATTCATCCTTGACCTCACACTGAATAAGTAAGTGCATGATTTGAGGTTGCTTTCACTCCTGCTCTTATTATCATCTTGTGGTACAATGTCAGGGCATGTAACATTCCAAGATTTGTTGAAAAAAGATGCTGTTATCCAAGTTATTAATACAAAACAGCATTTAACATTTTTTATGTAAGATATCAGTAACACTTGCTGACACCCATAAAGTAGATACCCTTAACATTTTATTGTTCATGGTAAAATAAATTGTGATAGATTGAGAAATTCCAGTATGGGTAGTATTTGCAAAGTGTGGATTTTCTTGTGCTATTTTAAAAACTAATTGATGAATTATCATGAGATGTTTTAGTTGCTCAAGTCAGTGTGCAGAAATACTGTAAATACTTGTATGAATAGCTCATCTTTAGTGATGTGGAAACCATGTATTGTCACTACAGTCTTGGAGTTCCTAATGAAATGGGACTCTTAATGGTGTGGCTGTGCTGAAAAGTGCAGCTCAAGTCTGCTTGCTGTAAGACAGACAATTCTACATAATTCTTTGGTCTAGAAGAGCTGATTTGTAATACAGGGCAGTGGTGGTTTAGTTGTGTATATACCACATGTTTTTATATCACCCCTGAAAGTGTGGAACTATGATTTTTTAAAAATTGTAATGACCTCTTTTTATGGATACTGAAAGTTTAAAAACAAGGCAGAAAATTCATACTAAATATTGGACAGGTAAAATGTAATGCCCAAAACTGCATTTGCCCCTTCTATGTCTCTTGAGACTGAGCATGCTTAAAAAAGGAGAAACAAATTTACAGAAACAATTGCATATTGATTTTAAAAAGCATTCCTCTGTTCTTGAGGTTCATATGAGGTCTTTTTTTGGTCTTAAACTGTCATATAAGGGAAGTTTTGTTAGGGATAAAGACAGAAACTTAGTAAATCTAATAGCTTTTAAAAGCAGCAAGTTACTACTTTAGAAAATTTGCAGAACTTATATTTGTGTATTTGGCTTCTTGGCTGCTAATTATCAGATATTTTGCTGTAAAGGTGAACTGGAAACATTTTCCTTCATCCATGCATAATTTTGAAGTTAGGTTGCTCTTGCATTTTTTCTTTCAAAATGTTACGTGAAGTCTTGAGTGTCTGGCAAAAGATGAATTATGGGAATGTCACACTATTGAAGGACAAAGAAAGCTTGAAGATAACTGGATGTTCTCTAGACTCTGGAAAAATTATAGTGTAATTGCAAGACTGTGTTGTTTTATGAGGGTTGGACCTGTGCATAGTAATTCCAGTGGATAATCATGACATACTTGTGAAGGGAACCAGTATTTAGTGCCCTCTAAGCTACAGGGAATTCCTCCTCTTGGTGTGCTTTCACTGCTCCTGTCTGCACATCTGCACAAGCAGTGAGTGTGAGCACACATTCCCAGGATGGCAGTGTGTGTGGGGTATGGCTGGTAACACAGACAGTGACAAAGAAAAGCCATTGCCTTTACTGGCACCATGTAAACATGCTGACAGCACTTGGGAGAAGAAAACAGGCTCATGAGGTTCTTCCACAGCTGATGAGAATTGAAAGTTTGCTGGTGAAAGGTACTCCAGCCCTCTTCTGATTCAGGGGCAGGACAGCATTCACTGAGACAAACATTAACACAGGCTTTAGGTTCATTCAGTATTGGTGCCCAGGCTTGAGGTCTGTTATGTGGTCAGTGTCTTAGGCCTTAGGCTTTCCAGATACGGATCTCTCTATAGCTGTTGACTGACTCTCAAGTTTCCTTGCAGATCACACCTATGCAGGATAGAGAGCAAGGTCACAAAGGGGGTGTTACAAGTAGGACTTAACATAGGACAGACAGCAGTGATCACGTGCAGGGCTGTGCCAAACAAGCTGACCGTCTTGCAGCTTATGCTAGTGACTCCTTTTCAGGCCACCTCCTCTCTGTTTTCCATAGGCTATGTCCTGATTCACCTTTCCTACCCTTGGCACATTCCCTGAATGTTCCATAAAAATGATTGCACATATCCACAAGTCTGGGCAGACATCCTGAGATAAGTTTGTTCCTTCCCAGGAGACAAATTACGTTGTTTACTGCTTCTTATCTGTTCTAAATTTCTGGCTGAACCTCTTCAAGACCATGCTGAGTGGCTTCTTCCATGGCGTGGTGGTCAGTGGCCTAACAGAGACTATAATGAAGACCAGAACTCTTATCTCCTGTTCATTAGGATTTGGGTTTTGTTGCATTTCCTGTCTGAGTCTCCTGGTGGATGGCTATTATCCAAGTAAAATCACAAGCCCATTGACATTCCCCATATCCTGGCAATGTTACTGCTTCTCCAGTCCTGCTGTTTGTCCTTGCTTATTTTTAACAACAAATGGTTCATAAGTAAATGACAGATTTTTTCTAATTGTGGCTGCTTTCTCAGCAATCAAAAAATGCAGTGCCTATCACTTCAAAAAGAGAGAGGGAATGAATTTGCTGTGCACCTTGGCTGAAGAAGTTCTGCTCTTGTGATATCAGGAATGTTCTTACTGCCTATATATAAGGCATAGGGTGCTCAGATGCCTTACTGATATCCCTACTGCTTACCTCTTTATGCATTAGGTTTTCTCCTGGCTTCTTTAGTGGTTTTTGTCTCATAAACATTTGACTCTTTAGCTGGTTCTGCTCCAGAAAATAACTTCAAAAACCTGTGATAGTTTTTGACTGGACATAATACTTTAAAACTGTAAGTCATAAAACTTGTAACATAAATTGTAAATACCCATAGACAATGATGTGAAAAAGACCCATTCCTGTGTTTCAGTTATTTTTATGTGTAGAGCAAAAAGCAGCATTTTGCTGCTATGTTGGGTTGTAGTTGGCATAGTGCTAGTGTCTAGTCAGAAGCAAAGGCAGAACAATATGGAATACCCTTGTATATGATGAATATATATTTCCATCAGGTGTCTAAGGTGAGTTAGTGCCACCTACACTGTATGTGTTCTGGGCATTTTGGTTTTGTTCCTGTGTGTTTTTTTGAATGTTCTACAAGTAATTGAAGCTAAAATCGAGGATGGTTGTTGCATGCAAACAGGTTCTAGTTTTTGGTTTTCTGTACCACTGTTGGAAACTTTGTGATTTCCTACCTTCTTTGTTGCAGATGCTCTTTTTTCACAGCAAATACTATAACTTGACAATTAAGTGAAGAAAATTGGATATTCAATGTCATTAATCTATAATGGGTTAAATAATGTTTTTAGTTAATACTCTTAGTATGAAAATGGAAGATTGTAAGGTATTTGTAGTGTGGTGATTGAAATGTGGTAGTGGGGTAACAATCCCACTGGAAAAGTTAGACTTACAATTCAACTAAGATTGTCTGCCCAAACTCAATAAACTTCCTATGCAATGAGTAGCATGTAGCACTGTCATAAAACAGAATTTATATAAAGAACCTTTGTTCACTTCGTAAGTTCACTTTTGTCCTCAAATGGCAATGTTGGAACATTGTATTTGGGTAATCAATGATTCTAGTATATCTGACCAGTTTCTTATTTTATATTGCTGCATTATTTACCTTGCAAACATATGTCTGCAAGGTGCTAGAAAATTAGTTTTTAATGATCTCATTTCCAGCAACTTGTAAAAAGGCTTTTAACTTGCTGTTTTTCTGCTGAAAGAGAAGAGTTTGTGCAGGTAACTCTTAAAGTCCTATTTTAAGGTAGCAGGCTTTATGTTCTGGTGTAGTACTAAAACACATTAAAGAGCGGCACTACCAAAAGCAGTGAATTAAAAATGTCTACTTGCTGCTTTTTTAGTGAGGAGGGAAGTTGGCTGTATTTTCTGTCAGTTTAGAGCCATGGTCCAGTTCCAGCACAGGGGGCTGAGGCTGTGCTGGAACCTTCACCCAGTGGGACCGTGGGGGCTGAGACACACCCAAGAATAGGAAATTAGTTAATTGATATGGGCAGAAACAGAGGGGAAACCCAAAGACAAAAATTTCTCTCCCTTCCTATGGATAACTTGCCTCAAAATTTAGGATTCTTGGGGAAGGGGAGGAAAAAGAAATCACCAAAATCAGTCTGTATTTTTTAGCTTTTCCTTCTTTTCTCTGTAGAGGTCCATCTTTCTAGGAGACTCAGTTTCCAGGAAAATGGATTTCTTTTCCATGAAGATATCATAGAAAAAATGTTTGGCCTCTTTGACATGAACTGAAAAAACCCATCCCCACTGCATTTGACCACATGACTTAACAATTTGAGATATTAAAAGATGATGACTGTGGTGGAAAGTTAGTTTCTTTTGTGAAGTGCAGCCAACGTAAGAGAAAAGTTTATCTAATTGTTTAAACCTTATAATTGGTGTTTATTCTTTGCGGTGTATGTTTCTGTAGGACTGAATTAGCTGGAGAATGGTCCCAGAGGAGGTTACAATGTTAGCCTAATTTAAAAAACAGGAGGGCAATAACTGAATTATTTGAGAAACTACTTGATTCTTGGGGTTTTTTTATAATTCTTTTTTAAAATAAAATTTCATTCTTTTAAAAATGAAAATGGGAAAGCTAGTCACAGTTTTTCAGAAGGAAACTTTGAGTATTTATGTGACATTCCTTAAATAAACAATAGAAATTTAATAAATTCACCTAAAAACTGTGAGTTCAACAAAGTTTGTGAATATAATTGAAACTGTTAATATAAACAAGGCTGTAGATGGGCATTGCATTAGATGATCATGCCTTGATTGTTTTAAAACAATACTGCAGCAAGGTCTGTTTTGTTTTTTTGTTTTTCCCGTCTTTATGTGCTACTAAACTCTGTCTGTCAAATGGACAAAAACATCTGATGGGTGTTCGGCTAAATAACTCAACTAAACTAGGTTGCTCAGACACTGGTACTGAGCTTGAAACATTTCAGAATAGTTAATGAAGTATTGCCTGGTAATAGGTTAGTGTAAAGATAATTTAAGAAGTATGCAAGAAAGGTAATTCTTGCTGAACTCTGATTTTCTGCAGGCTGTCTGCTAGGTTGCTAGGAAGGGAATTTGCTCACCTGTATATGATATCTTTTGGTAATTTCATAGCCTTTTCCAACCCAAATCAATTCTCTCCATCAGGATAGTTAGATGCCAGCTGAGGTAAGCCACTTTTACTCTGCAGCTCTCCTGCTAATGAAAACATCAGCAGTGAAGTACATGCCAGGGAAGTGGTTGTGAATTCTTCAGAAAGCATCTGCTGCTTGCTTCAACAGCTGGTCTGTGCCTTCAAAGGCAGCAGCTACAGGGAATGGCAGATCCCTTTGCTGCTTATTTTGCATTTCTCAGATAGAAGAGTCAGGGAGCAAGACAGCTCAATAAGAACAATTATCTGAGATAAACAAGGCAGGGTGGAAGGAACTGTACAAAAGGACACAGCAGACAAATTATTTTGTCATTAGTTCATTCAGTATGTTGCAACTTTGTGTGTTCATTGCACAGGAACATACTAATGTGTCACTACCTAAACAGACTTCTGTCTGATGTGATCATGACTGACACTCATTTCAGTTAAAGCTTGCACTGTTTCTGGTGCTTGTCATACTGAAAGTCAAATTTGCTGTGCTGGATGCATTTCTGCCCTAAGCAAGATGTGAATGGCATAAAATGGATCAAAGGTGGCAAAATACAGTCCAGTGTAGATTAGATGCAAATGTATTTCATAAAACTCAGGTTTGCCTTTCAGAGGTAAATTTAGGCATTCTGTAAGTGATAATGAAGGAAGAAGAGTTATTTTGTGCTGTGGAGACCCCTACTTTATGCGTAGAGTTTTGTGCTTCATTCCTCAGGCAATTGTTCTACATGAGCTCTTAATCAATGTATTCTAGGCCTTTCTTTTTGATGCCAGTTACATAAAGGGCCCCATCACACCTCCTGGTGAAATTACAGTGATCTTCTGCGTATGTCTTTTGTGTAGGAAAAAATGCTTGAAAGTTATTTTGGTTAAGCATTCTATTTTTTTTTTCCTTTAATACTTTGTCTTTTGTCAGATTTGTCAGTGTTAATAACAGGTAAAAGTTTTGTAGGGGAAATTTACAGTAGCAGTTCTGTGTATATTTTTACATCTGTTGTTATTCCCAGAGTTTTAGCAAAATGTAGAACGAATTTCTTTACCCTTCCCGTCTTTCTCAATGTTTGCAAGCAAGATGTTCTTTTGGATGTTTTGCTAGTGTAGGCAGATAGTTGAAATGAGACAAAGTGATACAAGGTACCTGACAAAAATCAGGTACTTGCCAAGGGGGAAGCATACAGTTTAAGGAACAGCTGACTGTTATTTTATAATGGAATGTTCAAAATTCTTGCTGTCCTGAGGGAAATGTTAAGAGAAAAAAGCCCTTGCATGACCTTGGTGGTTGTGTGGCAAGCTTAAAAACATAATGACCAGAAACTAGAGATAAACACTCCAGTCCAGCCTTGCATGAGAAACAATTTTGTGAAATCAAAAGTCTTATAAAAAGCTTTTCTGCTCCACCTTCTAGGTGATGGATTCTGTCTTACATTTGCCAAAAGGATGCTTCACAAATTAAAGTCGAGTTTTGTTCGTAGCATGGCATTTGGGAAGTATTTCATAAACAGTGGCCTTAATTTTCTGTGGAGGGCATTTGTTCAGCATGGAGAATTCCACTGATGTGCCTTGTGTCCTGCAGATGCCAAAGGTCCGTCTTGGAGCTGGCTGGCACCAGCTCTGTTGGAGATGGGGGAAGCTCCCAGCAGCTTCTCAGAGCGCCACTGCCACAGCTCCCCCACTGCCAAAACCTTGCCACACAGACCCCATACATGTGGGGAGGTCGGAGATGAGAAAAGTGTGGAGTCTACTGGGAAACTCTCTGCATCCCTGCTTTGTACTTGCAGTATTTGTGTCTATACATACAGGAGTTTTCCATCATAAGTACTCCATGTTAGATATCCTGTCATGTGGGACACGGTATTAGGACAACACCGAACTGGGAATTCTTTGGCAGTTGGAACTGAGAGGCTAAAGAATGGAAAAGGTTGGCAGATGAGGAACCAACTAAGTTACAAAAGAAGCTCAACCAAAATCCAAGAAAAGAATACTAAATTCTGGAAAGGTGCTGCAAAGGGTAGACTAAAGTTTTGAGCAGCTCTTATGTCACACAAAATAAGATAAATCTGAGAGAAATGCTATAATTAACTGTAGTTAGTTGTGAGTCAGTACACAAAGGGGATACCACTTACTGCAAGTCTTATGAGATGCAAAAAGCTCTAGGTAGCATAGAAAGAAGTTCTGAGATCAGTCATAGAAGAGTCATACTAAAAGAGGGCAAAAAAGAAGGTGTGAAACTGTGAGCTTGATTTGGCAACAGGTAGTTAAGTGCTGATCCAGGAATTTGAAGAAACCAAATGGTCTTCATGAATTAAAGCAGAAATGTCTGTAAAAATTGGAATCTGGTCAGGGCCCTATCATGTTAACACAGTTCTTGTGTTTAATCATTCTCAGTAATTTTTTTAATACTTGTATTCTAATTACAGTTTTCAGTTTTCTTGCTTATGTCAGTTACCTGTAGCCTTGTCTGTACCATCCCCTACTGGGAGCTGCAGTCTTTATGCTTCATAACAAGTATGAAAAATACAAAGAGTAAAAGGACATTATCAACACTCTAATTGTTTTGTATATGTATGCCTTTTTACAAGCTTCAATCTTGCCATGTTGAAGAAATAAATATTTGCATTGTAGTCAAGTACTTACGCTATTTATACAGCATTTGTGTTTTCTGCCAAAAGCTTATAGCTTACTATGACACAAAGTTAAAATTATTTCATGCAACTGAATTTATTTTTAAATATGCACTTTTAAAAAAAAATCATTTTAATAATGCCTTCACAGTGATGTGTAAGGGAAATTATTAGCCTTCAGTAATTATTCACGGCTATTAGCCTTGGTTTTGCAGGCCCAGAGTGTGCTGTGTCAGTTTCATGAGGAAGAGCTTCTAAGAGAACCATGGTAACTGACTTCTGCAGGATGCTCTCTAATGAGTGTAATGCCTGATAAATATGGCATGAAGAATTGATTTGAGGAGCCAGGAGTCCCAGAGTTAAAGTGTTATCAGGATTGCTAATAGCCTAATCTGAGTTTGAGATACCCATTATCATAGGTTGTTTTTAGTCATGAATTCCCATCAGAGCTATTTTGCCACACCAGACTTCCATAATGGTGTTTTTTATTTGTAGCAATGATATTTTTGTTTTGATATGTGTACCAGTATCAGACCTTTTAATGATTTTTTAAAATTCTTTTTTTTAGTTGCAAGTGTACCTTAGAGACTTCAAAAATGCTAAGAATTCTGGATCACATTAAGTAAAATGCTTATCTTGCATATTTGGTGGGGCCAGTCAATGTCTTTAATTGCTTTGCTCTCCCTGGGCATTATGCTGCAACCCTGATTGTAACAGGGTGAGATGTGAATGGGGCACTGAGGTTATTACAGGATGTGTACAGGCTGGCTAAGCTTAGTTTAATAAACCAACAAAACTGTAAGTTATACATTATGGAAAATTAGTATGCTTCTGAAATTTTCTTGCCAGAGTTAGAAAGGAAATAAGAATGAGAAAGGTGTCTGAAAATAAAAAGTGAAAGTAAGAAAAAGGGTTATTATGGAGTGTGGTTTGGGTTCTGCATTGTGTGTTTTCTTTTAAGGAACACTATTGTCTTTGGAAAAAAACGGAGTATTTGCAGCTTGTGAAAGTGATTATACACTCCTGTCTTCATAACAATGGTGTATTTATTTGTTCAGCCTTACATACATTCTATTTACTCTTTAAGATAGAATGGAAAAGCTATTTGTAAATTGTGATGAACTGAAATACATATACTGTCAGCAAGAAAAGTTCTAAGGCCAAGGGATATTTTTTTGCATATTTAGAAGGCTCGTAATCTAATTGTAAAGCTAAAATACAGGGGATTAGATTGCCGAATGAAATTCCCCCTTCTATACCACACTCTCACTTCCAGTGTACCTTCAAACCGTTTACTAACTATAAACTGCTTGATTTATTTTTTTTAACTAATGTACAAGCAAAATAAAAATGCTTTGAAAATGGTAACAAAACCTCTCAAACCTACCCATAGCAATAGAAGGAGTACTCAGAGTTTTCTCATCTTTATTTATCCTTTCTTTGACAGTGATTTGTTATCTTCCAATTATGTGGAGATCCACTATGAAGATGGAAAACCAAAATTTTCAAAGGTATTGTGCTCTTAAATTGTCATTCTGAGGGAACAATGCCAATAAAATGTTAAAAAAAAAAAAAAGGGAGAAAAAATGTTTTGCAAGACTTATAAACTTCAGAAGTGTTTTTCCACACATAGAAGGTGACTGTGATCTCATCGTGTACGGATATCTCAGTGATCCAAGAGGAATTGTACAAAAAAGAAAAGCTGTGTTTTGGGGTGAGGAGTGAGCATTTGTAGGTGGTGGTAGTGAAGATGATCCATTACTGCCAGAACAGTTACATCATGTAAAATATAGCAGGTGGAGGGATTGAAGTCACCACCAGATTAATCTTCATTAACTATTTATGTGTCCTTAGCACAAAGTGCAAGGAGAAAAAATAATGGTAATGTAAGATATTTAAACAAACCCAAAAGTCTTCCAGTGACTTTTGTCTGCAAGGATTATACAGTCATGAAACAGAAAATGAAAGATTTAACTGAAACCTTAACCTCTGGAGTTATTACAAAATCAGCATATTGCTAGACATCTAATTAATTTTGTTTGTCAGACTGGCTCCCAAATTGAAATCAGTGCCATAGGCTATTGATCCGAAGCCAGATTGAAGTTCTGCAAGGTAGTTCAGCCCTAAGGGAACCAGACCAGTCTTTTTGTTTGTTTGTAGTAACAAAATGAGGACTGGAAGGTTCCTAGGAAGGTTATAAACTACATTTGTAGGGAATTACTTTCTTTGTATTTGGTAGAAATGCCAAAATATTTTTTGCAAGCTTATTATGTATGATAGATATCTGTATTTAGAGTGGAGGGAAGCAAGCATTCTGGTTGTGTTCATGTCTTCAGAAAGTGCAGACTGTGTTTCTCCAAATATTAGTTGTCTGGTTCATTATTTTGCCCTTTCTGTAGAGAATCTCAAAATTATAAATGGCTGATTAGGGCAGAATTAAACCACTCCATTGCAATGCAATCACTGAGATAGGCTGTTTTGTTTTCTTCCATGAAGAAGAAAAGCAGTTTCATGTTACATACAAAGGAAGATGTTCCATTAAGACTCAGTATTGTGCAGAACAGGCCAAAATGCTAAATGATGCAAGAAAACAATTCCCTCTGGCATTTGGACTAGCTCATGCAATTGTCAGCTGCAGCACTAGCATTGAGCACTGCGGTTGCTGAATCATGAATCTCACTGGAAAATTATATTAGAACTTCAGACTCAGCAAATGGGCTACCTTTGCATGCTGCAGTAACTTGATCCAAACTTCCTAGGGGATGTTTTCTGAATTGCTGCATTTGGGAGCGATAATAGAGCTCCTGAGGTCACGTTAATGTGTAAAAGGCTTCATTAGAGATAATAAAAAGATCCCAGAACCCCACACAATTTGTGTAGGAGGTCAAATAAAGACTGTGTTCTGGTCCTTTGCAGTATCTTGTAATACTTTTTATGCCCAGGTAAAAGGTTGTTTTGTTTCCTGATGTGGATCTAGAGAAGTGAGGTCTCAATGAAAGGTACTGTATTTTCATGAAAGAGGTAGTTAATTACAAAGATGACTGAAGAACAAACAGCAATTTTTTACTCAGGTGATCATCTTTAAAGGAAAGAAATCAAATTTAGCTGTTAAAAAGCATGTTTTTTGTATTCTCAATGATGGAAGAGTAAACACAGAATGATTACTTTCTGTAAAGTACTTTGATTTAATTATATACAATAACCTGTAAGGAATTTAAATCAGAATCTGAATAACTCATTAAGTAAGATGTACAATGGAAGTAATGCTGTCATAGACAAAGAGCATTTACATGTTTTGTATTGTCTCGAGTTATAATCATTACATAAAGAATGGGTTTAATATGCAAATAGGAGTTCAGATGATATGACACAAGAATTAAAAGTATTTTTATGATGAATAGTAGGTTTTTCAAGCAGTGACTGAGAGACAACTACACTTCAGGTTTTTTAATAAAATTTTTGAGAATACTTTTTAATTTACCTGAGCTTACTGCTGATAGATGGTAAAGACAAGTACCTAAGTGAGGTTAATGTGTATTGTTACTGTTAGATTTTTTTGGCATTGGTTTTATGCAACACACATTAAATCAGGATAATTTTGTATGTGTGTTTGTTTGTTTGTTTTTAAAAATTATTAGGGAGGAGAGCATTGTTACTACCATGGAAATATCAGAGGTGTGAAGGATTCCAAAGTTGCTCTTTCAACTTGTAATGGACTTCAGTAAGTGCATGTTCTCATTTTTTAAGCAAGGCTATAACTAATTATTATTCTTTAATATTGTCTCTTAATATAGAAGGAACTGAAACACTACAGGCTCAAAGATTTTTTTATGTTTTGAGATTTTTCTTATTATCATTGGAATTAGCGTTTTGATGCTGTCTCATGAAACCTTTGAATACAATAAGTGCAGGTAAATATTTCCCCTGATGACTCATTATGGTAAAGGATAAAAAATCATTATATTTCAGCAGTTTGTATGCTCAGTATTCATATATGATTCTATCATAGAAAAATCGATCTTTTTGTTAGATTGTACAAGGGAAAAATGCAAGATATTAGCATTAGTTCCTGCTAAGTTCAGCTCAGCTGTTGATTATATTTTGCATGCTCAGGGTGTGTCGTAGGACTTCCTTTTTCCAAGGTCAAGTCTTTACCCCTTTTGGTATTTTATCATTGCAATGCCACTACATTTACTGTTAGTCCATTAAAAAGTGCCAAATATCTTAATAATCCTCCAGTCTTGGCTTTAGCTACAGGTGGTAGTAATGAACATATTTTTAATATTGGTCAGTTTTTCAGCCCTATTTTTGGTTTTGTCTTATCAAAGTTGATATCCTGCAGTCAAACTGATTGCCTTGTAATCCTAAATATCACTTCTTTTTCTCCATGTTCTAGTGGCATGTTTGAAGACAGTACTTATTTGTACTTAATAGAACCAATGGATCTGACCCACACTGCAGTAAGTTTATTTTTGTCTAATTTATTTGGTTTGGGAGCATGGTCAAGGAATACCAAATAAAAGATCTCAATGAAAAGTACTGAGATCTCAGTGAAATGTATCAATAAGTGGTATGTCTCATGCATTCATATGAAAATGAAAAATATTTTAAAACAGTTGATTTGAATTTGTTTAAGGTGGCAATTATGTAATTATTATTTACCTACAATTTTTTCTGCTTTAATCCTTTGTTTCCTACTTGCTGTTGATCATTTAGATGCTGGGAACAGACAAGTAAAACTGTTTCCCATAGCACATGATTATGGACTGTCAAAAAGTGTTTATCAATTTGCTCTAGTACTTGAAGGAAAGTGTTTATAAATTCATTTAAAGGATCTCTAAAACTCATTTGTACATTCCTCTCTAAATAGCTGCATGGGATTGCTCTTGGCCTGCCATGAGTCCACAGAAAGCATACTTAAATAGATAATTACATCTGGGTATCTTAAACTTTGTATGTCTTAAGTCAGTGACCATTGTGTAGCTTAAATGATTGTGATCCAGCATATTCAAATATAAGATTATGCTGGATCAGCATATAGGATTGCATTTATGCAAGTATTTTCCTTTTTTTTTTTTTGTGTTTCATGTTTTATGTGTACAACCATTTCTAAAACTTCAGCTGTTAATACAGCTGCCAAAGTCTCACAGACAGTAGAAAACTAGGTATATTTCTGAGTGATTTTTAGTGAAATGTTTTTGCAGCATTGGGACAGAGAATTCTCAAGGTTTGTATCCTGCTTGGTCTGTGGAATAAATTGCAGATGCTGTGCCACAGTTCTCAAGCTTGTCTCGCTCTAGTTTGTACTTGGCAGTATATGTATAGTATGTGACAAATAACTAATGCTGCTGTAGTGACTGGAAAATTATAGATACTGAAAGAAGTGCCGCATTTTTCACTTGATGTTATTAATTAGAAGAAAATTTCATATATTTTTCTTTTTAGGAAAGTAAAAGTAGGCCACATATCATCCAAAGAACTTATGGAACACAAACCTCCAAGCAGTTGCAGGACCTTGGTATGTTTTTGCTTATGAGTTTTCAAATATTGGAAATAATTGTATGTATAACTTGGAAAATTTGAGTATTAGGCTAGGAGTGTTTATAAAATTGCTGATTATTTAGAAAATCTTGAAAAATAGATATTTACCTGTCTTGTTTCAAAATTATTGCCACGGGTTATAGATTTTTCAAAAGGCAGCTGTAAGACTTTCATCCCCAAACCTGTATTTAGCTTTTCTCTGAAAATCAGTGAATTTAATCAGGGATATTAATGTTACTGAGGCAATGAGATAGAAGAAAATGTATATATATTCTAAGCCTAGGTTATCATTTCTTCACCTCTCCTTGCATGCTTTAAAATTTCTGAATTACTTGAGTTTTCATGTCTTATATCTTTTTAAAAATGAGCTTTTGAATAGCAAGACTGTTTCTAATTTTTGTGATCTTAATCTGCTTTTGGTTTGGGCAGTGTACATAAATACTTCTTAAATTGTAATTTTTACAGAGACTGACTCTAGTTCTGAATGGCCTTTTCTGTCTGAGCTGCAGTGGCTGAGAAGAAGGAGAAGAAAGAGAGCAGTAAGTAGAAGTGTGATCCTCACTTAAGACCATTTTATAATATCAAACTCACTAATTTCTATATTTTTTAATGTCAAGAGAATATAGGATTTAGGAAATAAGTAGTTTCAGAAGCTTAACATTATCCCATAATACTATTATCAAATGAGAAAACAAGACTTTTCTTCATAAATAGAAAATCTGGAAGAAAAATGATAAACTTTCTAAAGTCACAACATTGTTATGCATCAATTCAATCGAAATTTAGTAGTGGAAATTACTTTAGAATTTTAATTTTTTGTCTACTTGAGAATAAAGAATAATTTTGAATGAACTTTTGCTACTTTATAGATATCTGACTTTATTGTCACTTGGCTCATTAAGTAGCATGATTAAATCAAAAATCCAAATGAGGACACCCAGAACTGGGTTACTGGGAGAACCTCAGTGGGCAGTCCTCATGATCTTCACATGCATATGTATCAGTTAGGGGAATAATTGAGTTAAAGGAGATTATTCTGAATTTCTTCACTGAGTTGCACAATCCACACCATATTTTTGAGGGTGCTTGTCTTTTTAGTAACTTCCTTCCTCATTAAATCTGTGGTGAATAATACATAATGTAAGGAGGAGGAAAGCAGTGGTGGTGTCTGCACTGGAGCCAAAAGAGTGCACCCTGAACTTTCCTGGTGATGTGGCTCAGATTCTCAGCCAGTGTTTAAGTTACTGGAACTGTGATCCTTTACCCTACTTGCATTTCTCACCCAGTTGTTTAGTGATTTACATACCCTAAACAATAGATATTTTATTTGTATATATAATAAAAATCAGCTGCAGTTATTTTTGAAAAGAACTACATCTTCATGATTTCTCAAAGAATTTCTTTCATCAGTTATCTCGTGGTGTCTTTGAAGAAATGAAATATCTGGAACTCATGATAGTAAATGACCATAAAATGGTAAGTATATCAATTCAGTGGTAATCTTCCTTTTGGTGACAGTTTGTAGGCTGATGTACAGCCTATAAATTGTTACCATTTTTGGGCCCAGGATTTTATTTATCAACAGCTATTAGCATTTGTACTGTAAGACACACTGTAGGCCATAATACCTAATGAAACTTAATGTTACCTAAGAATTTTTGGGGCAATTATATGTTCAAAATGAATCTGGAACGCTTGGGTATCATATGGATAAATCAATATGCCCATCACTAACAAAATAAAACAACAAAACATTTTTGTCCAGAAGAAACACACTAAATGTTCTAAAATTACATCCTATCTTTGAAGTTATATAGAAAGAGGTCAGAATTTGTTACTTTGACTTTAGTTTTACTAATTTAAATTTTAACGCAGCAAAACATGTAGACAAAACTGATTGTTCTTTGTGGCTACTCCATAATTACAAACAGGAGTGATAATGGAGTGCAAGGTAAGTTGTTTGTTTGATTCAGAAAGTGTGTGTCATTAAAGAAACCAACACGCATGAGGGGAGGAAAGCCCAATTTTTTCCTCTTTTTGTCTTGAGGGATGACTGGAAAAAGTCAGACTAAGCGATATTTGTTGTAAGCACAACTTCTTTTTTTTTTTTTTAATCAAATTTTATTGATACAATAGTTTTCACTTATTTTATTTGCGAGTAAAGAGCTTTTCATGTCTCTCACCCTGCTGCAAGTTTCCCAGTGCTTTATGGAGTTGTGGGCTCTGTTGTCAACACTAAAGGATGATATTTAAGAACAAGAAATTGAAGATATCAGAACAGGATGCAGTAATTCATAGTTGTTCCAGTGCTGAATAGACAGATAATGTACCCTCCCCTCACCTGTCTAATAAATCATAGAAGTAGTCTGGGCAAACATAGCCTATGTTTTATCTGTGTTAATTTAGCACTGTGGAGGGAATTTGAATGGGTGGAAAAGGCAGGACAGAAGTTTCTTAATCTGTTTTCATTTGTAAAGCCACCTGGTAGGAAACTGCTCTTAGGAGTGTTCAGGCGTTGGTTATTTAGCAATTGGACACAGTAACTGAAATTATGGCCATTTTGTCTATGCTTGGTGTTCCTTATGAAGAGAAAATATTCCTATGCCTGTCTCTTTCTCCTGGCCTCTTGTGCTGCAGATGTGCTTGAAGGTGCTCACTACACTTATTACAGACACTGTTGTCTCCTCTAAGGCTTTATTTGCTAGAACTTATAGCACAAGACTTTTGCTTCATACTCATCAGTGACTTAGAAACAGATAGTAAATATTTTTAAAGAATAAAATGGACATACTTAGGAAAGTGTTCACAGTCAGGAGTCACATCTTGCATGTCCAGGAGCTCACTAAATAGACTTTCAAGGTTTTCTGCTTACCAGGAGAGGGCATGCTTCCCCTGCAGCAAAGGTCTTCAATGGAAGAAGTATCTTAAACCTCCTTGATCATTGTGTTAAATGGTTAATACTGTGTATTTTCACAGCATTTCCTTTCCTCTAGCAATAAAGATATCTCAACACATTAAATTAGGTTGTTGTGGTTTTTTACTGGTTTAGGTTAATTTCATTTAGAATCTGTGTTTTACCACATTACGTGGTATATTACTGTTGATTTTAGCATTTTAATTCTTTCATGAAAACCAAGAACATTTTCAAAGCATATTACTTTACCTTTCAACTTTTGGAAAGGTTTGGGATTGGCTCAAAACAAAAAGCCAAAGGCAGCCTTTCCCCCTTCCCCACTGTCATTGTTCTCTGGGAGCAGTCCATGCCATAGTGCTCCTCTCAGTGTGCATCCTGGACACCTACTAGCAGCATACCTGAGCAGCTACTCAGTTGCTCCCAGAAGAGTCTCTTCTTCCAAGGCCTCTTTTGAAGTACTGTGTTTCACAGAGAATAACTGACAATTTCATGGAGCACTGTGAGGCAATGAGACTTGTTGCTTTTAGCCAGTAGCTGAAATTAATACGTTTTTTGATAAAGGGTTTTCTCCCCCGTTCTAAGCAATTTCATGTTCATTTTCTGTGAAATTTTGAAGACCTATTTTTCCTATCTGCAAATCATACTGTGTAATATAATCTTGGGTTATAGTTTTACAGTTTCTTGAAAGTCATATGGATTCGTGTTCAGATACCATAGCTGCATCTTTAAAAAATTTGACTTGGAACAGAAGGGGCTTTTGAGGCAGGATAAGGAAACACATGAAACCATTGTAATAACATGCACAGACATTGTGAAGCAGAACTTGTAATACAGCTCATCTAGGTCTATTTAAAAAAAGTGAAATTAGGATTTAAGATATTCAGCTTAACTGTTTTAATGTTCAAACACGTATTTACTTTTACCATGTGCTTCCCCTTCCATTTTGCCTTTGCAAAGAGCTGTGCACAGGATAAGTGGTAAATGCTTCATCTTCATGTCTTATAATTAAAGTGATGGAACGTGGCTACTACAGTCTGATATGTAACTCATCAGATTAAATAATTTTAATGGGTAAAGCATCCTCTCAATTTTGAGCTCATGTTTGTGTTCCTGTTTACCTGTAATTTTGTCTCAAACATTTGAACTCTGATTCTAAACATAGTATTTCTTATGGTTAAATGCTCCTTTTGCAGTTGGGAAAGGCTGCATAACATACATAGCTCCCTTTATCTTCCAGGGATTCTTGAATAAGAGGTATAGGCTGTGATCTGAAAGGTTTTTTGAGTTTTCCCATTACTCTTTCTTAAATTATTAATTTTACTTTCATGCTGTAAAAATAAAGAATTAGTAATAAATATTTAAATTCTCACTGTGTTCTACTTTCTCTTCTTTTAGTTCAAAAGGCACCGTTCTTCAACTGCATACACAAACAATTTTGCAAAGTCTGTGGTAAACCTTGTAGATGCTGTAAGTATCAATATTTCTTCTGAAAACTGATTCACTGGCTTCTACTTCAGCACTGTGTTAAAAATGCTGCCATTTTCAGATACCAAATTTCAATTACACTTTAAAGTGCACTTCTAGTTCCTCTGCAGAAGAATAGCCTGGGGTGAATGTATAAGAAACTATCAGATTATCTGTGGCATTTTTCTTAAAGCTTGCAACTCTCAGAGTTTGTCTTTGGCAGGGGTGATTTCATTATCTGTCACTAATTAAGAATGAGATTTAATCAAATGTATATTTGTATCTAACTACAAGTGATTGAAACTGCAAGTATGGCTCACAAGGGATACATATATCTATTGGAAGAAAAAGCCAGTGTGAGTAAAATAATCTGCTTTATAAATCTCTATATCTTAAAAACAAACAAAATGCCACTGTACTACATTATAAATGGGTGGAACTGACACAGATACCTTACTTGTATCTGTGCTAAATTTAATACAATTTTGCATACAGCATATAAACTAAAAGTAGTATTTGTGGTAAAATTAATTTGGGAGGGTTTTTTTCCTGTTTTTACTGCATATATAATGATCACACATGTTTAAGAGCTCTATATGTAGTGAAAGCAGGTAGATTTTCTAGTAGGGAGGAATAAAGAGGGTGCCAAATGCTGACTCTGAGTCCCTTTTCCATGTGTCATTATTGATACCAGTGGAGCTGTGTGATATGATTCAGTCCAAAACATTGTCAGCAGTTTGACTTGGAGGAAACAATGCAGTATTTGTTCTTACATATCAAGTGTACTGGATGTATATTCAAAATTTAGGTGAATATATTTATAATACATGAAATACCAGAAGTGTGTTGGTATATTTTTCTGTAATGATTTGAAAAATTATTAGAGCATATAAAATGTAAATAATTGTAATATTTCTGCAATATATATTGGACATACCCAAAGAAAAGGTGACATCTTTATTTTTTCCTCATCTGATAATTATTTCTTTCTCTTTCCTCTTCATTTTAACAAAAGTTATTTAATCCACCTTTTCTTTCTCTTATTATGTCTGGTTTTTCCATTTTTATCTGTGTGTATGCAGAAACACAGGCTTCATTCTTGTGTAGAATTCAGTCCCTTCATAGAAATCTTACAAAATGACATCTTATTGGGTGTTTTCTTTAAATAAAGCATGAAAAAGAGCAGGATTTTCTGCCTTGTTAGTCCCTTGTGTCCATAGGCTGTGGGCTGTATTTCTTACTGATTTATTGCTGGCAATAGGATAATGGCTTTCAGAGGCCTTCAGGTTCTCTGCCCGCTCTTCCATTTTTTTGTTGCTGTTTGCTTCAGGAAATAGAGTTTTCCTCCAGGCAAACAGAAATAAAGTCTTTATTGATTCACCCCTATGTCATTCCAGGCAGTTTAATTTCATTGGGTTTGCTCATGTTGTAAACCATTTTCTATGTATGTTCTCAGCCTGAGAACATCTCTCCCTGAGATTCAAGCATGCTAATACTCTTTTCCTTCCAAGGTCTTGGACAAAACTGGGCTTAGCTGGTTCCTATCTCTTGGTTTTAAATTTCTCTTTTTTTTTTTTTCCTAAGCTGAATATTATACATTGATTTTTTAATCAGGATAACTCTGCCCTGATACAAAACTGGGTTTCTGGTCAGGACAGATAAGGAATACATCTTTTGTAGACCTACAAGTTCTGCATAACCTTAGTTATTAAAATTTGGCATTTTTTGAACTGAACCCAAAGACAGCAGTAGTTTTGTGTCAGAGTCAAGTATCATGCACAATGTTAAAATGCATATTTTAAAACTGTTTTGTTATTATTAATGCCTGATTGTTTCCCGTCTATTGCTATGGTAACATTAACATTTATAGACAAATAAATATTTTTCCTTAATTCCACTCATGCAATGTGAGAATTAAGTGATCATACTATATAAATGGAAATCAAGCATTAATTAAAATTTGGATTTATTGGAAAACTGAGACATTATTTAATTGCCACTTTAAAAGTTGCAATTAAAACTTTTAATTGTTTTTGGCTACTCTTGGAGATAGTTTTTTTCTTTGAGATCACCCAGTGTACCTTTACATTTCTTCCTTGCTAATTTTTTGCAGTTTTTCTGCAAAACTCAGGGGCAAAATTATTTACCATGAGAATTTTAAAGACAATGGAGTTGCTCAGAAACAAAAAAGAGCAACAAGGGTTGGTTTCTTTTTCCTTCTAAAATATAAAATTTAAGCGGATCAGAATATCAGCTTTTAGAAAATGCAAGGCATTGCCAGCTAACTGTTTCCTCATATTTTCCTCCTGCTTTGTCCCTCTTGTCCTTCCGCTTTACTCTTACTGGCTAAGTGTGCACGTTTGACCCAGTGTTCTACTCCTGTGCCTGTCGTGTCTCTGCCCTCAGATATACAAGGAGCAGCTGAACACCAGGGTGGTGCTGGTGGCTGTGGAGACGTGGACGGACCGGGACCGCATTAACATTCACCCCGACCCCCTGCAGATGCTGCACGACTTCTCCAAGTACCGGCAGCACTACGTCAAGCAGCACGCCGACGCTGTGCACCTGCTCTCGTATGTACCCTGCCAGTGGCTCACTGTGCTAGCTCCTGTCGCTGCTTTGCTTCACTTGGCTCTTCTTGCTTACTTGTTTTGGTTGGTACTCTCTGTATCAATCAACATCTGCCTTCCTTAGGAAGCTTAATTGATATTTAACACCTGTTTTTAATAGGTGTAGTATATACCATGGTCATGTGGATAGATGGATATAATGATATTTGAATGTCTTTGCAACCTGGAGACAGTGTCACATGTGAAGTGTCTTTAGATGAGCCCTTAAGGGCACTTAGCTTTGCTAATCAGGTGTGTAATGTGCTGCTTTTCCAGTTATGATAAGGAGAGGGCAGAGCTGACAGGATTATGTGTTGCCACAAGAGTGTTCCAGTTAGTAAATTTATTCACACATGTGGCTGCTGTGATGATTTATTAATGGAAGGTCTTCTTCTTTAGAGCTGTAATGAATTGTTCTGAGACACAAAGCATTTTGAGAGGAAATTCCACTTGCATCACTAGGCACGACTTCAGCCTTGAGCAAGGATTACTTTACTTCATGGCATTGTAAGCAAAGAGGAGGAAATGCGTGCTCCCCTGTGCAGCATAGGGAAAGATCTTAAGCTGTCTCCCAGCAGCATGACATACTGTGAGGATGGAGTAACTTATGTCTTCCATGGTGAATATATTTTCTTCTGTAGTTCATATTTTGCAGAAGAAGATAAAAATAGGGGATGAAGAATTTCCTCCAGATTTCCTTAATACAGGCATCACAATACAACACTGATTTTGTTCTTCATAATACAGGCACAGTGCTGCTGACATGCACTCTTAGTGACTTCCATGCATGTTTTGTGTCACCTGCTGAAGAGTTTGCCAGCAAACAGGCTCTTCTCATGGTGAAAAGTATCAAATCCAACCTGAAATACAAGAAGTTCCATTTAAACACAGGGCAAAAAAACCCTTTCATTGTGAAGTTGGTCAGATGCTGGAACAGAGACTATGGAGTGCCCGTGCTTGGAGATGTTCCAAAGCTAGTGGAACATGGCAAGCTCCAGCTCAGCCTCCTTGGAGCTGGGGAGAGGTGAAATAGAACATTTCCAAAAGTGCCTGCGGTCCTGTCTGTTGTAAAGCCCCTGGCTGTAAGTGTTTAGTTAAGCTGCAGTCTGAAAGTTCTGATGGCTGTTAGAATGTTCTGAAAAACAAAGATGTACCTGTATGGGGTAATCTGTCATTTTAAAAAAACCCATCAATTTTCAAAGGTCAGGTCATTCATACACCATGCAGGATCACTATAGGTTGTTTGTAGGCTGTGTAGATTTATTGTTATGACTATGAAGTTAAAATAGGTGTAATTCATAGTAATTTATAGGCATTTTATTGAATAATGTAGATCTTCCAGATTACATCACTTAACTAAATTATTTGGAGCTTACTAACAATAAATGAAAGGAGGCAAGGTTAAAGAGCAGTATTAAATTACTTTCCCTTTAGGTGTACTTCAGTCTTTTCATTGGGATTTAAAACTTAAATTACTTTGGATTGAGATAATAATTTTTAAAGTTCTCAGTACTGGTACATTTCAGAACAGAATTCCTTCATGACAAATCATAAATTGGAATATATTGTGAACTTTTTAAAGAAATGTTATTACGGTGTTGTCTTAGGAGTCTGGCACTCAAGCTTTCTGTGCTTGGTTTGTGTGTGGGTTAAGGCTGATTCTGACTCTAGAAGAGAAAAATAGTATTTGTGTCAAAGTTTACATAAAACCACCTCTTTCAGTGTTGGTATTCTGTAAACTTGCAGTTGCTTGTTATGCTAGAAATTGATGAATGTACATGCAATCTATCATAGTATGTGTGAGAGTATGCTCTTTCAATAAGCTCTTGGTGCTCAATGTCAACGTGTTATAGTTTCTTCATTTTTATTTGTTTGTAAGGAATGTGACATTTCATTACAAAAGGAGCAGCTTAAGTTACTTTGGAGGTGTTTGCTCTGTGGCCAGAGGAGTAGGAGTGAATGAGGTAATTTTTTTTTCATGACTAAAGTGAAATAAAGTAGAATCTCTACATTAAAATCTTACAAGTTCATATGTTTCAGTACCCAGGGTTTTAAAGATAATTTACATATTAAAAAGTTAGTATTCTCACAGCCAGCATTCTTGATCATCATCAAACTACTGCTGAGCATGCCTTTCTTTTGAGAAAGTATTTCTCCTGTCTGCATTATTCTCTTAAAAAGAACTTAAATTGCCTTTTATTATATTTAACAGAAATTTAGACCCAAAAATCTTAGGAGTATTTGAAACACAGTACTGAATACTCTTTGTCTTACCACTGTGAGACACTTGATCTTCTGAAGTACCAATGTCATCTGATTCTTCCAGAATTTTTTTAACAATGCAATTAGAAAACAAATTGTCCCTGTGTATTGTTTTTTTGACTATTATTGTTATTTTTTCCCCTCAGTGCAGAGTTAAGTTGATAATGAAATTCTCCTGGTTTTATGTGGGTTAAATCCTACTATTACAAAACTGTACTGCATATATATCAAATAAACTTCTTTCTTTAGATTAACCAGTGGGGAGAGATTGCCTGAGATTAGGAGAGGAATATTTTATCTGTTATGTACTTTATTGAGTTTATTTTCTTTATATGCACACAGAATTGTGATTGACTGCACTGAATTTTGAAATAGTAGGTATGTAGTAAGGTAGAATGAGCCAGTGCAGTGTTCATTACCATAACTAATGGGGTTTTTGTTTCTTTGTAATTGTGCTTCTCTTGGAATGCAGTATGGCCTCCCTTTGCCCATGGCACAGGAACTAGCCCAGAGTCTTGCTCAGAATCTTGGAATACAATGGGAGCCAGCTGCCAGGAAACCGAGTATGTACATGGAGTCTTTTGTCTTCCTTAGCTAAATACAAACACTTCCTTTACTGTGTTTGAAAGAAATGCCAAAATTGCTGTAACTATAGAACAAGAATTGCTGCTTTTGGAAATATAGGTAGTGAAATTTCAGCCTCACCAAAATAAGAGCTGCCAGTTTAGTGACATTTTGCATGACCTCAGTGATGTCCTGTGTCGAGGTTAGATTCATAACCAATATTCAAAGGTATATTGGTAAAAACACCATTAATTTAATTTAGATCTCATTGTCTATCATCATGAAATTTGTAAGTCCAATAGAACAATGGCTGACTTCTTGAAATGCAAAAATACCTGATTTACAATTGAAGAAATGGTAAGGAGTTATAACCTAGTCCAGTGTGACATTTGCTCAACTTGTTATCTTGCTTTTTCACAGTCAGACCAGATTTGTGTTACCTTAACATGTGTAGAGTGTTGCTACAAAAACTGCTGCAAACCCCTTTTCAGGGCTAAAGAAAATTGTTTGGTTTTTCACTTGCATCTTGTAAGGAGTTTGCCTACCTGCTCTCTGTTTCCTCTTTAAAAATGTGAATGATAATGTTGGCTTTATTGTGGATCACTGCAAAAATCTGTGAGTTTGGAAACTATGCTGAGGAATATTGTTTTGTAAAGCATTGCTTTTGAATTATGTAAACTAGCAAATTGCTAAACTATTTTCTATATAATTGCTTTACAGATAAAACAAAGTTGATACAGTTTGGAAATCAGAATATTTTTAAACTGAAAAATAGAGGTTTTTTATCTGATAGCTTAGTGTCCTTATTTGGATGCCCTTTATAGAGAAAGATTAGTGAAAGGCCTGGGGAGAGAAGAAATAACCACATAAATGATTTCTAAATATTTTCCACGGAGAAACTCTGGATTTCCAGTAGTAACTATGGTACATCTATCTTGGGTAGATCGTTTTTATGGGCAGTTTGCAGCTTCTGTTTTACCAACCATAAGGTGCTGATCTTTTGTTTTTGTGTTATGAATTTGGTCACTGTTGACTTACATGCTATAGCTGTAAGTAAACTGTAAATCCATTTTCATTCAACTACTTTTTTGAATGAATGTTTGGTTGGCTGATTGGCATATTACTGTTAAATTTATGCTAAAGGGAAAAAGCCTGTCCTGTCCAGTAACAATCCTCTTTCAGGGTATTCTGTATTTTTAGGGAGGAGAAAATCTGAACATTTAAAATCATCAATATTATGTGTACTGCAAACAGCCTTGTGCTGCCTGTTTTGAGAGCATGGAGGGAAGGTTGTTGCCAACTATTTTTAGCTTTGTGTAGTGCCTAAAATTTTGTGTTGAGTCTTAAGAACATGCAGATATTGTAATCTGAAAGTATTGTATTTATTTAAGGTGTTAGTATGTCTTCAAGTGGGCTGGTTTCCTTTTTGGGGCTAGAGTTTGTACAGCCAAGCAACCATCAAATCTTTGTATAATTAGTCAAGCTCCATTTTTATAGTACTTTATATTTATTGTAAGCATATTTATAACTTTTCTCCTTTTCTGTTGTATTTTGGTCTTGTCTGAGAAGAGTGTGACTGCACTGAATCCTGGGGTGGTTGCATCATGGAGGAAACAGGGTATGTCATAAATATCAGTAATTGAGGGCTCTGGAATGAGTTCATAGTTTATATTATGGCAGAAATATTTATGCATTGAGTTTATCCATGTGTTTAGTACTAATAAATGAAAAACCAGAAACAGTTGGAACTCAATCCTTAGGTAAATAAATGGTCAGTGAAGTCTGAAGGGGAAGCACATCTGTATGGGAAGAATTTCATTGCCCTCCAACCTCACACACTGCCAATGATTCTTTTCTCTATACTGTAAACAATTGAGTAACTTCTGAAATACAGGGGTTTGAGTCTTAGAAATCACTTCCTGTCAGTATCTTGCTCACTGTGGAAGCGTGATTGCAAAAATCATGGAGAAAATTAGTTACAAATGAGACGGAAGGAGCTTAGTTTCTTTGTACAGTATTTGGAAATTGGTTCCTCAGTAGAGTAACTTTGTGGCTTCCCTGGATACTTGTAATTGTCGCCCACTGTAGGAGTGCAGCAGAAAATCATTCCATAAATTTGCTCCTGGAATCCAAGGTAAAGCATTGATCAGAATAGATACTGGCTTCCTTCATGTGGTGAACTCATCAAAGTATTGTTCTTGGATGGAAATATCGGAAGAAGAGACTGTGGAATAAGACTCCTCTGTAAAAAAGGTTAACAGTAAACAAAAGCCAGGAGCAGAGGATGGTCATGTAGAAACTGATAAAGGACTGACTAATGAAATGAGAGAATAATTAGCTGCACTTTAAAGCCTTTTCACTTAACTCCATCAGTGTCAGGAGACGTTTTTTCTGTATAGACTAGTTCAGTGGGGAAATAGCTCAGTGGCAGTGAGTTGTTAGGAGAGGAATGGCAAACCTCGTTATGGCATGGTTACCCCAGTCTTTCATAGTGTGAATAGATCTCATTCCCAGATCTCAAAACATGACTAGTAAACATATCAGACAATTTCTGAGTGAGAAATTACTAATAAACTACATTTTCAATAGTCTGGGAAAAAGATTGAGTTGAGGAAATCTGAGAGAAGTCTGTAACATTGTGCAAAAATAATTACACTTTCTTCTAGTATAAGAACTAAGGAGACATGAAATGAGATTAGCAAACATGACAGAAGAAAATGGGATGAAATTGTTTTTCTACCAGTTTGTATTAAGCTGTGAAACTTTTTGCTGTAGCATCTTGTAGGTGTTAAAAAAAAACCGGAGAGGATACTGGATTATGCATGCAATAGAAAGGGTGAATAGCAGCTACTATGATAATGTGGGTTTACCTTATTAAGAAGTTTAAAACCTACAGTTTTATATACTGTACATGAAGTAGAAATATAAAAAAGGCAAAATGTTTTAAAATTTTTCTTTTGTTCTGATTTTATTATTTGAGAATAAGACTGAGCTGTTATACTGTTGCACACAGTGGTTGTAAGAAACTGGGATTTACAGTATTTAAAAAAGGTTGTGACCCCTTTGCCCTTTTCCAGTAGCTGGTGATGTTTCAAGGCATTTGCTCACCTAATTCTTTACCATTTTAGGGTATACCATTCCAGGAAATTCTCCAAATGCAGCATTGCAGAATACAAAGAATTTTTACTTCGTGGGGGCGGTGCCTGTCTTTTTAACAGGCCAACAAAGGTAATAAATAACTTGGTACTCAGGACATCTGCTGCACATTGTAATGAAAATGTAATCATTTCACTGACATCATCTCTTCTCAGATTTATTCAGATGTCTATGCGGGTATTTTCTTGAAGTTGTAATTAGCTGTTCAACCCCTTTAGCATTTTAAAATAATACTGAGAGGAATGCAACTGATTTCTACAATTCTTCATACTCAAATAATGATAAATTCAGTATAAATGCACTACTTATTATGCTGGAAGTAGTACAAAATAAATCCAGAAGTGTATGCTCCACCTATACTCAATTCTTGGACTTTGTGTCTGAGGTTGTTCAAAAGAATGCCAGTTACCACATTAGGAAATAGAAATCCATAGCTGATTTCATGTAGACAGTAGCAACTTTTGGTTATTCTCAACATTTGCTTCATTTCATTTCAAATATACATCTAGCAAGATGTCATTCATAGCTGTTTCCTTCTACCATTGCTTTTTTGCCTAAAAACTTACCAAGGTCATAATTTTTTCTAAGATAATATTAGCCTGACATCCCTGTAAAGCTGAGCAGTATAAAAATATTCCATGTGGCTCTTTATGCCAAGTAAGAGCAATCCAAAGCATTAATATTCTATTGAATCATAGTGTCAAACTGCTGTCCTTGTAGAATTTAATACCACATGAGGTTATTAAAGCTGTTCTGTTTACTATGCTGTACCCTTTGGTGGACCATCACCTTGCACAATTAACTAAAAAAAATTTTGCTTGTTCAAGTGGTTTTGAATCTTTTCCCAGGGTAGCAATCTTTGCTTATAGAGTAAGAATGCAAGAATTCTTACACAAAGGAATAAATAGGGAAATGGAAAAACACAGCTTCAGTTTTTAGTGACAGTTGTCAGGCAAAGTAATATGAAGAAGTTGTCAATTTGACTCAATTTGACAGAATAAAAGTCTGATTTATTTTGAGGAAAAGGCTTATGGGGAAATAGTTGAATTATCTTTATATATTATCTGTGCCAGTGCTTGACAACTTTAAGTACTTTGGGAAGGCAAAATAATCATACAGTGTTTAGAATGCTTTTATTTGCAGGTCAGGAGGTAAGGTAGAAAATTGTGTGTATAATCCTTTGGTAAGTAAAACAGAATTGTTAAGCAGTCACCATGATGCTATTTAAAAAACTATATCCTGAGTTATGCTCTGACATGTATATGAACATTAAATGGTTCCTGATTGCCATAGGAAATTTCTGTGTGCCTGCTGTGTTCTGTAATCTTCTTGTTTGATAGAGAAATGAATTTCAGTTTCAGAGTAAGAGATCTTGCTGTTTGCACCAAAGTGTAGTAGAGACAGGAGCTTACAGAGGGGAGGAAGAAATGAAATGCTTTTTATAATCCTGTCAACATTACTGGTGAAGAAGAGTGCATATGGATATTTCTTCACTATTGATTTGCTTCTGGCACCCAAAATTATAGCACCCAATAGGTGCTGTTGATTACACAACAAAAGTGAAATATTATATTTCATTTTTACTTGGCGTTATGATTCCCCCCTTGCCCCAACCAAAACGACCAAAGAAGAATTCCATACAAGTTCATATATAATTTGTATTGTATTTTATGTTGTGTTTCATATCTTGCTAGTTCTCCACAGCTTTACTTCCACTGAGCCCATGCAGAAAGGTTTACTCACATCTTTCACCCTTAGAGTAATCTGTTCACATTTTAGCTTGTCAACTTCTAACTTCATTTCAACCATGTTCTAGTGGATGTGTTTCTGCTGCTAGTATTCTAATTAAATTGGTGATTCCTGATATTCTTACATGATTTTAAAGCAGAATTATATTGAAAACAGACAAGCCTCTTGCAGAATTATTTCTTTGACAAGACTGAAAAGTACCTTTAGTCAAAATTACGATGTGTGAAACCACTGTAGAATCTGTATCATCCTGAGCTGCAGAATTTATCTGCATTGTCTGTGGTTCTAGGATTAGCTGTTTAGTAGTCTTTGTATGTGCTTATGTATAACTTACTAATAAGACACATAGGACTTCCTTTTTGGCAGTATTTATTTCCACTTATTATTCTCATGCACAAACATTGCAGAGGAACAGACAGTAGCTCATTGCATGAGCAAGTGTGGGTACCTGAGCAAATCCTAAGAATGATATTGTTGACTGGTTTCTTGAAGAAATTGTCACAAAACTGGGGAGGCTGTGGAACAGGAGTGAAATCCAAATGTCAACCCCTAAAATATTACTGTAGTATCTCTCTATTTATCATGCTTTTCTGAGATCAGTATCTCCTAAACACGACCAGCATTCCTGTGATTTGGCTGTATGCGTTTCATGTGTGAAAAATTCTGATGAGCAGCATTTGAAAACCACACTGCCTTTTCTCACTGAGGCATGGCACCTGCATTGTCTGGGACAGCACATTTGTGTGGCATTGCAGAAATGTGACACAGAAGTCACTTGACACTAGTTTTATTCTTACTTTGGGGTGGGGGCTTTTTTCTTTTAGCTCTTTGAAGCCACCGAGTGTGGAAATGGATTTGTAGAAGCAGGAGAAGAATGTGATTGTGGTTTCCGAATGGTAAGTAGAGTTATAGATTGCTCCACAAGTCTTTCTTATAAAATTTATTAAGGTAAATTAAGTGATTGGTAAGAGAGGGGGGGAAAGGTCATGGAAATGAATTTGTTTTGCCTGTTGTTTGGGAACAATTTTGTTAAAAGCCTGTGTTAAAAAATATGACAATGAGTGCAAAGACAATGTCCTCTGAACAGCTCCTGTTATACCAATGACAAGGTACAGCTGTTTCCCAGCAGTTTTTGAGTTGCACTGGAGAAGTACTTACCTCTTGGCTTTCCTGGATAGCATATCTGGAGTGGGAAACTCCTTACTGATACTTTGGAGACTGGTGCATTATTGGAATCACAACAGTGCATGTTTTCAGACAGAACAAGTAAACTGTTGTTTTCTTCTCTATTGCAGAAATATTCCAACAATGTTTTTGCAAAAATCTGCCCTCTAGATTTGAGTTCTTGTTGTAGTATTTAATATAATTGCACTTGTAATTAGGTTGGAGGTTTTTTCTGCATTGAATGCTATTGAACTAAGCAGCATAAATTTGGCACAGGCCTCAGAAGGTGTGAATCCCTGTGTTGCTATAGCATTGTGTATCACTGTTTTCCCCTTAGTATTTGAGTATTGCAAAGGCTTCTTCCAGCTGATAATTTTAAATCATCAGTGCTAAACTGAATCTTTTGTCTGCTGGTATGTAATAATTTCATGTTGGAAAGAAAAAAAATTGTTTAAAATGGGAAACTAAACTTTTTGCTTATTTTTTTCTTCAGGAATGCTATGCAGACTGTTGTAAGAAGTGTTCTCTTTCTAATGGAGCTCACTGTAGTGATGGACCCTGCTGTAATACATCGTGTCTTGTGAGTGTTGCTGCCGTGTATCAGTTGTTCTTTTCAGTTGTCTGTGGCAGTTGTGTGCAGCCTGTTACAGTTCAGAGTGTGTTTTAGGTAGAAGGAAAAGGGGCAGCATGTGTAGATGTGTTCTTCGTGCTGAACTATGTTTTTCATTTTCTAGTTTTTCCCACGAGGTTATGACTGTCGATATGCAGTGAACGAGTGTGACATTGCAGAGTTCTGCACTGGGGATTCTGGACAGGTATGTGTACAGAAATGTTCTCTGCTTGCACTGCTGATGTCTGTGTGCAATCTTTTTCTGGTATACATTTAACAGGAAAATTGTAATAACAAACTGCACAGTCATGTGCCCAAAATGATGATATAATGGAGTGTGAACTATTGTAAACTCATGAAAACAATAATCTAAGTGGACTCAAAAGATGGCTTCTCTATGTTTATTTGGTTTTCATAAATCTTGGGGTTTTGTGTATATTTGTGTCAGGCATCCTTCTTTATTCTTTGCCTGGTCTATAACTTAAATAATAAGAATACACTGCAAATGTGAATGTATTCAAAGGTAATAACACTAAGATTTTATGAAATAAAATGGCTTAAAATAAAATTGTAGAAAATCACAAATAAAGGAGTATAGAAACATAGAATCATTTAGATTGGAAAATACCTTTTAGATTGAGTGCCACCATGAACCCATCACTGCCAACTCCACCAGTAAACCACGTCCCTAAATGCCACATCTACATGTCTTTTACATGCCTCTAGGGATGGTGGTTTTCCTGGGATTTTCTGGGCAGCCTGTTCCAATGGTTGACAAGCCTTTTAGTGAAGGAGTTTTTCCTAATATCCAGCCTAAACCTCCCCAGCACAACTGAAGGCCGTTTCCTCTCATCCTGTCATTTGTTACCTGAGCAGAAGAGGCTGACTTCTCTGTCTCTACAATCTACTTTTAGGGAATTAGAGGGTAGTGGGTGAGAAGGTCCCCTCTGAACCTCTTCTTGTCCTTCAAACTGCTCCTTGTAAGACTTGTATAAAGTGTGTTATGTTTTCTAGGAGTGTGCACATGTATGAGAATTTTAAAAATTGCAGATCTTACACATTCGTCCTGAAAACATTTGGCTAATGTGAAATACAGGAATAAACAGCAACCAGAATGTTGTTTCAATTTTATTTCTTTTAAATAGTCAACATCCTGTACATTTTCCATTTTCACAGCAACTTTGATGCTTTAGGTGGCATACACTCCTTTTCAATATTGAATGTTTATATATTTATTCTGTTTATATAAGAACTTCATAACTGATGCAGTCGTCTACTGCATCAAGTTCTTAACCTTGAAGAAATGAGATTCAGGACAAATCACAATCTCTTTGGACATTGGCTGTAGTTATAAATGCCAATAAATTAACAATAACTTCCTTTTATTTTATCATCTGAGATGTCAACACATAGACAAGTAGCTATTGCCAATATTTTATCGCAAATCTTTTGCTCTGTAGATGGAGCATTCTTAATGAGAGAGAGAAGGGCTTTCTCAAGCTGCCCTCAGAGTGTTGGCTAACACAGTCCAGTGCAGCAGCATTCTCTTTCCAAATTTTTACAGGTCCCTTTTAGATGAGGAAAAACCTTAAGGATGGTTTAAAGTGAGTCCTTACTTTAATAGTCTGAGGTTTCTGGACCTAGTGATTTGTTTGTACGAAAGAATTCCCAATGCCAAGAAAACATAACAATTAAGATCATTAAGCCCCCTGAAGCTCCGTAAGCAATAGGCTGGTAGGCTGTGACCTGGTGCTCCCTCACCACCTGGTTGTAGTGGAACTGAAATGCATGGGGTGGCAGTGTTGCAAACATGGCCCCAGTATTAGCTACCAAATATCCTCTTAGTGAACACATTAGCTTTCATTTTGCCTCACCTCCTTAATTGCTTCTTGGAATATGCAGGAAGTTAAACTTGAACATTGTATTTCATGGCTCAAGATGTTAATTTTTTTGTTTCTATTTGTAGCTATGAAGATTATTGCACTAATTATGTTTTCAACTCCCTTTATATTGTTGTCCGATTTTCTTAAAAACAGGAAAATTCCATATATGATACTCTGATGTCTTATTACAGTACTCATGACAAAAAAGATTCTTTATTTTTTTCAGTGTCCACCAAATCTTCATAAACAAGATGGGTATGCCTGTGATTCTAATCAGGTATGCAGTGTTTTAAAATCCCTGTGCATCAGCAAATAGAAGTCAATCCATTCTTGTTTTGTTTTGGCATTGATTTTTTAAAAATCTCGTGTTCCATATTTCTTCATAAATTTTATCCTTTACGCATCAATGTTGCTTGTGTTTTAAGCACTCTATAAATTGTAATAATTTCTACTTTGAGTGAAATCCACTTGGTATCTCTACATTTTATACATAGATATTTTATTACACTCCGTGTTAATAAGTTCTTTCCAGCTTATGTAAACGTATAAATCAACTGCTTAAATGTCAGTGGGTATTGGACACAAACTGGCTTTGGGAATCTGGGCCAAAATGTGTACTTCATCTACCCAAAATCATGGAATCTACATCCCAACATGCATGTGAAGGGTGGCAATGAGACATTTGTTGTGAGAGGGGAAGGAGATGAAGTTGTTTTTATTTCTCATTCCTAACATGTTGTATTTTGTTTAGGGTCGTTGCTATAATGGTGAATGCAAGACAAGAGATAATCAGTGCAAATATATCTGGGGATCTAGTAGGTTGACTTTAACTACCTTAAATGTATTTTATTTCTAGTTCATTCCTGCCTTTGCTTTGGATTTTTCATGTTTTTATTTTTTGTTCTTGTAGCTACAAGTTAAAGTTTTCAGATCAGTAGAGTGAGTAAACTGCAGTGGGAAAATGGCTTGATTGCCAAGTGGAATTCTCCATCTGGGAGTGGTGTCAGTGGGAGTGATGATGTGGCTGCAGATCTGGGCAGGGCAGCAAATGCTACTGCGGGGGGGAGGGATTTGAGGATTTTTTGGGTATAGTTCAAAACCAGATGTTTTGGGCTTTTCTTTAAAGACAGTCACCAGTTCCATTATCCCATCAGTGGTTCATGCCAAAGCTGCTCCACCTTGCCTCTCCTTCCTATACTATCCTCCAAGTCAGGAAAATTAGTACGTTGGTGTGAACTTAAATATGCATAGTGTGATTTAAGTCCAGAGGTGTTGAGTTAAACAGAATTGCAATTGCCATGGGCTTTGCTTGCAGCAGAGAGGGGCTGAATGTTCTGTGGAAGGACTTGGAGACAATTCAGCAGAGTAGAACTACCAGGACATCCTGTGCTCTGGCATTTACTGTGCTCTTGTGCATTTTGTCTAATCATAACTGCCACTGAGACCACTCTGTCTTATTATTTTATCTTCCTCTATATAATTGTTGCGCTTTTCTATTTTGTTTTTTTTAGATTCATTTTTAGAAAAAACAAATAAGCTCATCAGTAAATAATTATGGGTTTAAAACCTGTTAGTTCAGAATTTTACTCCTAAAAATAAGTAAAAATTACATTCTGTTCAAGTTTGGTTTCCTGTGAGCATCTGAAAAATGGAATAAAATCAACATTGAGTTGATGTCAGAACATATGCTTATCATAAATGTCCTATATAAAATCTTCTGAAATGCAGATCAGGAAAAATTGCAGTGAAAAACAACTAGATTAAATCTATGTGCAACTGTTATGAAGTGAAGAAAATTAGACCGTAGGTAAATTTCATATGCAGAATACAATGCAGACACCATGGAGGCTACTTTTAGAAGTTCAGAGGAAATTTTGAACATATCTGTAGGTATTTCAGTTTAGCCTGCTCTCCCTTTTAGTCACTGGAAAATACCATCTGTGCACATGCATGTGTATTTAAATTGATGGTTTGTATTAAAAAAATTTCAGAGAACGACTGCAATAAATTATGCAAGTTTCAAAGCTGTCACATTGCTAGTGAAAAGCATGTTTCTTTTTTCTTCATCAACAGAGTCTTCAGGATCTGACAAGTTTTGTTATGAAAAGCTAAATACAGAAGGCACAACAAAAGGAAACTGTGGAAAGGATGGAGACCGATGGATTCAGTGCAGCAAACAGTAAGTTCAGTTTGGTAGAGATCATTTGTAATTTAAATAGATTGGTAATGGTTTAATATTATCTACTTTTTCATGCATGTTTCAGCAGCTTGTTTTGCCTTATTTTGAATCTCTTTTCCCTCATGAGGTTTGCATCTTGAAAAAATTGCACTCTGACACTTCTATAAGTGACTCAGCAATAGATTTGTAAATCATTCTAGATTTTCAGAAGAATGTACTGTGACTTCAGTTATTTCAGAGTAGCTGAGGGACAAGACAGCAAAAAGTCACAAGTTCATAACATAAAAACACCTCAGCCTTGGCAGGGATAAATTAGGCTACATATACACTATACACACACTCTGTACTTGCTCTGGGACTGACACCAGATTATGCTGGGTCGAGTTTGTTCCAACATTTATTTTGACCAGAGAGGACTATTAGACATTTGGATGCTATAGAGAAAGGCCTGATTAATTTCCACGTGATCATTGCTAGATGAATATTTGATTAAATGTATTTTTCAAGTAAATGATCATTAGTAGATAGACTTAAATTTCTCTTGATTTACTTCTGTTTTGTAATTTTTACTTATGTACTTACAAATTTCAGTTTTGGAATAACATTTTCCTTCTTTTACTATTTGATGCTTGTATAGTGGACTTTTTAATATTACTAGTTTTCAGATAGGATCATAAGGAAAGGCATTGTTTAATTTAGATGAGGATAGTGTGTTCTAATGTGTATGTTAAACCCCTCATTTCTATAAAAGCCCTCATTTCTTTGTTGGTAGAGAAATGCAGGACAACGATCTGGCTGATGGGCTATTTATGTTTTTTTCAGTTTTAACAAAGTCAGTTTCCAGCATTCATTCAGCTGCTTCTGTGACTTAGGACAATCAGTATTAGTTAATATCCTTCTATTGAAGATATAAAAGATATTTAAATATATGCAGATATGAAATAACATTAAAAAAGCAGATTCTTTACAAAAACTTGGGCACACATGACTTCACACTAAAAATTGTTATGGTTCTGTTGTCCTGCAAAGGAAATAAAGTGCAATGAAGATTTCAAACTTGACATTCATGTGTGGTGTGTAAGCTGCCAGAGAGAGAGAAGCATTTCAGCCTAACTTGACAAAGCTTTGTACAGTTTGGCTCCTCTTACTTGTACTGGATTGTTCTTAGAGCACAGATAGATTCTGTCCTCATGTGAGCATTCCCTGGTGCCTTGGAGTGAGCCATGACTTGTTTCTGCTTTCTGTCATTTAAATAAAATAATGCTTTATTTCCAGGCTTGCACTCTGAAAGTCTGTCATGTGGCTTATGGTAATAAATTACTGTGATCAGCAGCGCCATTGCCAGACTTTCTTTTTTGTAAGTTTACCTCATATTAATCCAGTAATATTTTGGTTTTTGTTTTCGTTTTCCAGTGATGTTTTCTGTGGCTTTTTGCTCTGTACTAATCTTACTAGAGTTCCACGAGTTGGTCAAGTTCAAGGAGAAATTATCCCAAATTCTTTTTATCATCAAGGACGCATAGTGGACTGCAGGTAAAAGATAATGCAGTGTTCCAATATGATTTATCTCTGTCAAATCTAATTAAATTAAGAGAGACATAAATGTGAGAGTCTGAATTTTAGGTAATTGCAGCAAAATCATTATTCTGAGGGATATTTCTCTTGATTAAAAAAAATCCCCAAGCCATAAAAAGTCCTATATTCCACATCCAAAGAGAGTAAAATGTGCATTATACTCCTGAATCTCTTCCTTGATCCCAATAGCAGAACTTCAGTCAGAACTGAATACTCAGCATTATGCTTTTCTGGGGGTGGAGAAAGTCTCTGCCAAAGACCCATATTTTAAATAGAATGATTTTGAGTGTTAAATACTCAAAGAAACAGCTGTAGTGAAGTGAAGTGAAGGCTGAGAGGGAGGAAACGGCAGAGTTGTGGCAGGGTAGGATGTTCAGTTAAAGAACAGATAAATGAGTTTCAGTCTCCTGCACTACTGGGTCTGTGCACAATACTGGATTTGTATTTTGAAGTCATTGGCAACATTGCAGTTATTGTCACCCTAAGAGTACTGTCTTAGATGGTTGGGTCCTGAGTGAACAGTGGTTCTTAATTCTTCCATTGTTCCATTATTCCACTAGTGCTTTTATTTAAATCACATGGGAAGTTAGTTTTTTAGGGTTTTTTTCTAGCAATAGTATTTCATAGCACTCGGAGAAAAAGAAAAAATAAGGAAGTGGTCTGTTAGAGACTTGAAAAATCCCCAAAGCCTAAGGTGCCCTTCTTGAGTATTTAGGTTCTAATCTGGACTTATTTTTATTTTGACAACTGGAACACTGTCATTGCTGTGGACAGACAGAAAAACTCTATAGAGTTTTGTTCAGTCTGTCTGAATAAAAGAAAGGTGTGGGGCTTTCAGTGTCTACACCAACATGCTTTTAATATTTTCAAATATTCCAGTCATAATACTAATACTGTCTTAAAACTTTTCTCCCAGTGGTGCTCATGTTCTTTTAGACGATGATACGGATTTAGGTTATGTGGAGGATGGAGCTCCATGTGGACCTCAGATGATGTGTCTGGACAAAAAGTGCCTGCCAATCCAGTCCTTGAACATAAGCAGCTGTCCCATTGGTTCCAATGGAAAAGTCTGTTCTGGTCATGGGGTGAGTGAGCAGCTCCGCTTCCCCAGCTCTCCCTGCTCTGCCTGATCCTAACACCTGAAAGTCTTCCTAAGACCTTTTAATCTGAAACTATAAATGTTGCATTCAGGGGAAGACTGCCATTTTGTGATGCATAAAAAAAAATTTTAGAAAGGAAAGTTCTCAAATCGGTTCTGCAGTTATATCCAAAGAATCGGGTTTGTAAGTAGCCAGAAAGACCTCTGACATTAGTTATTGGAAGGACTTCTGTAATGTACTACCCTTATTTCAAGCTACTTGCCATCTTGAATTGAACTTTTTCCTGCACACTAACACCTTTATGAAGTTGGTCTTGTGTTCATAGATTTATAGCCCATGGCTTAAATAATTAAAATTCCAAACCGTGGGTCCTCAGTAGAGCGGGAGTTCTTGAACAGTTCCAAACAGTTCCAAAGTGTATCATTTTACATTCAGGCACATTATGTTCTGTTACTCTACCTGCAAGTTCATTTGTGTAAGGTGTTTGGTCTGTTTTGATGAACAGATCACTGTTTTAAATACCAATAAAACCTTTCCACTGTGGGATTTAGGGAGACAAATACTTGCCTAAAGGGCTAGACTTTGTACAAGAAGGGATTATTTCTTCTTGTTGTCCATGCTTGAATATAAAATTGAGTGTTTCAAAGTAGAGGGTTAGGTTCAAAATCAAGAAAAAAATTTTAAAATTTGAAAGCAAAATATCTAGTGGTACTTCTTGAGAGTGACAGGAAGGGTGAGTGAACCATCTTAACCTATTTGTTTTGGATTATTACAATCCCTAATTTTGAAAGGGTGTTTCAGTTGATCAAACCTGCCATAAAATGTGTTTATCTTCAAGTTCTTGGGTAAGATTCTCCAGTGAGTACTTCTTAAAAGCAGAGCATGATAAAAGTTGAATTAAAAAATCACATGTGTTACTTAGAATCATTTGTGGGTAGGTTGTTTCCTGGGTTTTTTCAGATTATGTTCCAGTGTCCAAAAGACATTAGCTGTTTGTCTAAGGATTGACTTCATTTCTAGTCCTATAATCAAAACTTCATCCATTATGTCTGTTTCTTGTGTCATGCTCTTTTCCACAGCAACCTCTTCTAGCAGCACCATTCCATGTTCTTTTTCATATGGGAAGCTTACAGCTATTAACTCTTACTATCAATTTGATGGTTTAGGTTTTGTCCACTGGATAGATTTTTCTGTATCTAATAAATATAATGCCCATTTTGGAGTGCCAAGTTCTTTTTTAGAGGTCATTCAGGTAAATGTAAACTGAGGAAGAAGGCTGACAAAACCAATGAAAATATATTGACTTTGTTCTTCATGGGAGCAGGCTGTAAACGAGAGGTGGGAAAGTGTAACCATGTCCTGAACCTTTCAAAGGCAAATGTTTGTATCCCTTCTGGGCTTCCAGGCTCCAAGTGCAGACAGTTGGCTGCTGAAGGTCTGTTTAGCTAAATGGCTGTCATTTTTCACAGCCTCTGCAGGTGTGTGCCAGTGATGATAGAACCAGTTCTGCTTCTCCCTGCATGTCAGAGTATTAGGAGGGTTGAGGCAAACTTCCAGGTGTGTTATGACATTCCAAACACACAGTGCAATCTATACAATATATAAATAGGTATGTTTTGTACCTTGATTTAATGTCTAATTACATGTTAAATAAATACAATGTGACATGTTAATAAAATGTAGTTAGAAATTAAGTGCTGTCACTTTTTTTCCCCCCCTAGGTTTGTAGCAATGAAGCCACTTGCATTTGTAATTTCTCCTGGGCTGGGACAGACTGCAGCATTGATGATCCTGTCAGGGATACTGGTGGCAAGAAGGATGAAGGACCCAAGGGTTTGTGTTTTGTTTCAGTTTTTATGTTGTTTTTATGTTTTTCTGTTGATACATGGTAGCAGCATTAGCATATAAAAAGCAAATACTATTGTACAGCTGTGTTTAGACCCAGACAGTAAAATTCTGCTTCATGTAGAGGAAGTAGATTTTTCTACTTTGAGAATTGATAAAACTTTTACTTTTCTTAAATTTACTTAAATTTGGGGAAGATTTCAACAGGTAATGTTTTTTTCCTTTGTCCCTTATTCTCTGTTTTTTAATGATCATTTTCATTGTGATTGGAATCTGACTTAGTGTAGCTCTTATTTTTTTATATGATAATTGAATATTTATATTTTATTAGAGATTTTCAGTTTTCTTAGTCAACTAATTAAGAGAGCTGTGGCATGAAAAAGGGAAAAGTGGAATGTCCCTGGTAAATCAGATTCCTTGAAATCATATTGCAATGAAAGAAAAAAGAAATTAAGATTTTTGATAAGTTAAATTATTCTTACAATCGTTGTTGCTTGTTCTTATGTACTTGATAGGTATTTCAACTACATATGAAGTACAAATACAAAGGGGAGGTATTGAGGAAATAATCCCAAAAGTTTTTTCAAAGAGGAAGGAAAGTATTTGAATTTCTCTCTGACTCCACTGCCAAAGAATATATTTGGAGTTGTGCTGTCCAGTTTTTTTAAATGTCTTTCCTGTCATCAGGGCACTGTTCAACATCAGACTATATTCATCCAGTCTTATGCATTTACAAAGTCCCCAGTTCCAGGTTCTTCTGCTCCCTTTGCAAGGTAGATGGATAAGGGTTGTTCAGAAGGGTAGTCCTGAGGAGCCAGACTCTAATTCATTACTCTGAAAGTACCAAGGTTTCAAGGAAGGACAGGACTTTGGTATGTTCCTCTGGAATGGCTCCACATCTGTCCTGTGTGCCTTTTTGTGTTACCCCTTGGCAGAATGATTCCAGTAGACCTTTGCCAAGAACTGCTTGAGGAGATCATCTTGAAACAAGTTACTGGTGTGAAGGAGGCTCTGTAGACCAGTCCAGATATGTATAAGGAATTTTTGCAGGTGCTTCCTGGACTCCCAGTCCCAGCATTGCTCAGTGTAGAGCTGCCTGGTTTGTACTCTGCCTTACAAGCCACTTTTCATTCCATTTCCTCTAAAAACCTTCCTGACAGTGAAATGCTGCTCAGAGAGTCTAAAAAAAATTATGGAGACCAACATTGCAGAGCTGTTCAGTTCTCTGTGTGTGTGGATGAGGAGAGCAGGATTTACAGCTGTGACACTGAGAGCATATAAATTTTGCTTTGTTCATTGCCAAATCTGGTAGGTAAGAAATTATTCCCTCCTCTGTGAAAAGGTCTGTAGGAAGGGTAACACAGAAGGTACACTTATCTTTGATAAATTACTGTAAGTCAGATTGCCTCATCTAGGTCAGAATGGAGATACCTTAGTGAAAATTATTACATCAACGTTGAAATATTCTGGGAAAAAGCCTTAAGTGGATAGTATGTGCATGGATTTCTGCCAGCAGGTACAGGCAAAGTTTAGACTGCATTTTTCAGTGGAGTCCTCTGCAAAATGGCAGACTGTGCTTTTGTTCAAGGTGGCTCAATGATCTCAAAAGATGGATTATTTTCCTTACAGTGTTACACTAATTTACTGATGTTGAATCACCTAGAAATGAATTTAAGAGACTCAACACTGTGATCTCTCTGTGTGCTTATAGAGAAATTCCTTTGTGAGAAGATTTCAGAAGAGCAGAGCAGTAGTTTCCTTTGTTGTAATGACCCAATATATACAAGAGTAGCCTCCATTAATTTTTATCCCTTATTACTCCCTATGCCATATGCCAGTTTACAAGTCTAAGTCAAGGAAACCAAAATAGTTGGTTTTTCTTAGCCATAAGATTGAATGGAAGTGAAACACTCATGATGTGAAAATTCATCTAATAGGTTTGATCTTTTTCACATCAAAACTCCAAGCATTTTTCTTGCTGCAATTAGAACATGTAGGTAGGGAGTGTTGCTATTTATTTATGTATTGTTGTGATAATTGACAATTGACTGCTATTCTGCTGCACTTTTCAGACTTTTCCATCATCCATCAATTGCTTTTTGGCTCCATTCTCTATTTCAGGATAAAAAATTTGTGGTCCTTAATTATGTTGCTGTTAATTAATGACTCTTGAATTACTCTATACTCAGCAACCTACTGTATCCTGTACTAGCAGATGTGCACAGCATTTAGCAGTTTGGGGAAGACAAAGAGTTCTTGCTGTTACTTTTTGGTTACTGCAGAGACTTTGAGTTACTTTTAGAGTGTTAGCAGTTTTAAATCAGTGGGACTCCATATACACATGAGATTCTTCTTTGCAATTTAATTTGCAGAATTAGGCCTTTATTTGACTTGTGGAGAACTGTTTGTTTATTTTAATACAGAACTTATGTCTCAAGTGTGTGTGTGTGTTTGTGTGTGTGTATTTATGAAACAGGATAAAAAAATCCCCCCATAGTTCAAAACACACTTCACTCAGCATGGAGTCTATAAAATCTTTGTCCCTAAGTTCCCATTTGACAGGGAATTAATCTCCTTGCTTGTGGTCTATTGTGACTCCATGAATCTATCAAACTTTTAATCTCTAACCTAGGAGATATACAGAATTTTTTCCTGAAAAGTGTTCCCTTAAGGAACTTATAAGGATTAAAGGCAAGGCCTCAATTTCTTGAGAGACTATCTGAACATATCAAAATTTCTAGGGTGTTACCTGAAGCATGTTTCTAGGGTAGGCTTTTGGTTTAAAAAGGTGTTACCTGTTTTAGGTCATATAGATAAACAGAGTCCTATTGATAAACGCAGTAACAAAGAAAAATATTACTAATTACTAAAGTAATTACTTTAAAAGTTGAGGGGTTTTATTTTTTCCTGAGGTGGAATTGTTTCCAGTTTTCATATTCTTAATTATATAATGGATACAGTAAGTTTCTGGTAATCAAAAAGAAAGTAAAAAAAGGTTTTTATTGCTAATTTATTTACATTTTGGCTGGTTTAAATAAGCAGTAGCTTGAGGATGTTCCTTTTTAGAGTCAATAATAGAATCACAAGCTGAAAGGAATTTACAGGAAAACTTCTCATTGAAATATTTGCAAGCATTCAAAGAAAACCAAATGGAGCTCATTTCAGAACTTTTAAAGCTACACTATTTGGTAAACAAAGGTTTGTGAGGAGACTTGAATTATTTGTCCAACAGTGGAATATATTCTAAAGTATTCCTTTGAGGAATTATTTCATGTTTTCATTTCAGACATACGTGATGATTTCCTGAAAAATTGTTCCCTTTTCCCTCCACACAGTGAGCATGGCCGCTAACAGGCTAATAGGTGCAGTGGCAGGGACCATTCTGGCCTTGGGGGTGATTTTTGGAGGCACAGGGTGGGGAATAGAGTAAGCACTTTTCTCAGTTTGAGTTCTCTGTCTGGTGCCTTGGTGTGTGAGGTAACCCTGTGACCCTGAGCCCTCTGTGTTCCCCTAGCTTTGTCCTGTGGTGACGTGTTTGTCGTGTGTTTGACTGTGTCTGTGTCATGTGGTTTGCTCATGCAGTGTTGAACCTTCTCCTGTCTGGGATAATGTGGGGCATAAAACAATAAGTTTGTGAATTTTTACATTGTCACCATAAAATTAAATGTTTAAATGTTTCCATTACACCAAATTACCTAAAAAAGGAAAAGGAGAAGAAAAAAGAGATTTCTTGATTATTTTGCAAAATAGACTGAGTAATGTGAACTGTTTTATTACATGCAGAGCTTTTAGTCTAATGATCAAGCTAGTCAGATGAAAGCAGGTGATAGTCACACAAACAGGTAGTTTTACTGTAAAGCTTCTGAAGGTTCTGTTGCTAAGATTCTGTTACCTCAGGATAGCACAGTGCTGGAGTGTAGTATACATGTATAAAGAATATGTATGAGCAATTTTTATTGTCTTTTCATAGTTCTAGAAAATGGTAATCCTAAGTGTTATCCCAGTACCTCAATTTTAACAACGGCTATGATTTATATAAATTTATGTTCATGTATATATACACATAAAAAGGCCCATGTAAAAGCTTTTTTCATTCTGCATTCACTGTGCAAACTACAGATGACATGACTGCTATTTTACTGCTCTGAGATTTCCAACTTCTCCATGTTTCTAGCTCTATATATGACATCTGGCATGTGACAGTGGCACCTCTCTGAAGGGGGCTCGTTAGCAGGACAGTCTGTGATTTCCAGTCAGGCTGAATGCAAAGGCAGTCACACAGTTACAGTCCAGTGAGCAGCACTTTGTGTGTCTGACTCTGCCGCCCTAGGAACCTGTCCATGCATGAAACTGATCCGAGATTCTCAGAAGAGTAGAGACCTTTGCATTCTCAGGGGACAATTATTAGAAAACAAATAGAAGGAAGAAGGTAAGAGGTCATTTCCTTGAGAAAGATCAGATCTGTGTTTCACTGGTAGCTTTTACAACTCTTTGCTGAAAACTGAAGACTGTGAAAGTTGTAGAGATTTGGGGGACAGAATCTGGAGCAGGAAATTTACCTGCAAGTTGAGGACCACTTGCCTTTTGCTTACATTCTGCCTTGTTCTCTTCTGTTTGTCTCTTCCCTCACCTGCTGTCTCAAGCCACTCAGCTCTGACCAGTGTCCCTGACCATTTGTTCTTGCTCCTGTATCCTTCTATACCAATGCCAGCTTTTCTTCATCTCTCCTCTGCTTTTATCACTCACTACCTGACTCATTCTTTTTGTTTCTATTCATTCTTTTTTCCTGCATCTCATCAATGTTTCTCTGTCCTCTGATTTCTTCAGATACAAATGTGCATTCAAGGCAAGCCACTGCTACATTTTGTTGGTTTATAGAAAGTACACAGGGAATGCAAATTCCCTCTGTGTTCCTAGTGCCCTGCTGGCCATTACCTGTGTGGCTGCAGGGGAGGGTGTGAGCATCACCTGTCCTTCTTCCTCCTTCCTCACCACTTCACTTGCAGATTGTAAATGCTTGTTCAAAGTGCTGAAATAACTTCAATTACTTAATTTATGAACTTATTTCAGGAATCATGGGGGACAAAATGGTAGTTTCTTTTCCAGATTTCATACCATAAAATGGATTTTCATGCCATAAAATGGATACTTAGCTTTGATAACTGAAACCAGAGGATTTGGCTGGCAAAACAACAGGCAAGAAAGGACATCAGATCACCAGAGTTGTTGTTACCTGCAGGACAGTCTGCAGTAAGCTTGCCTTTTCTAATACTGGCAGAGTTTCAAATGGTGTGTATTCATTCTTGTAGAATCTATTGGATGATGATGAAGATTTTGGGGATAGTCTGAAGTCTGCTGAAGTTTCAGGTGTGTTCTGCTTTAACACCTTGAGTAGGATTTGTATCAGAGTCCTGAAAGTTGGCCAGGGATGGTAGGATAGCCATGCTGGGGCAGTGTCCTTGCAGGAGAAGGGGTGTGCCAGGCAGGAATCTGCAGGAGATTCCTCCTGACAAATCTGTGTCTGCAGGTTATGGCAGTGCTGTGGTGGAAAGAACAATGTACCCAAGTGTTGCCTCTTGTGATAGTCTGGATGGAAAATGATCCCACAGTGTGGTGGTTATTAAGACCTGCCTCTTACTTCTGGTTTGTCAAGCATCTGAGTTCAGTGACAGAGAGCTTTATTAAGCTGAACCATATGGATTTTTACTTTTCTTCATAAACGTCCCTTTACTGGTAGCAAAACTCTGATTTATTAATAATACAATTTATTTGGTAATGCTTAATAAAACATAAGGCATAGATCCTTACAGTAAGGTATAACACATAAAAGTAATTTCATTTTAAGTACTTTTATGTGCACAGTCTGTCTTAAAATGACCCATCAGTGATCCTCTTAGATCTCTGTATTTTGAAACTGGGATTCAACAGTTAGAGTACTCCAGACTCATAAATAAGTGGTTGCTCTTTGGTCGTATTACCTATTCTACAGGCTTGATTTTTTAAATATTTATACTTTTCTATTACCTGAGCCTAATTTTTTGGTATATTATCATCTTCTGTTTAAATTAATTGAATTATTTAATATTTATAGTAAATAAAACCAATACTGATTTTCTTTATTTAAAGAATAAACTGATGTTTGGTGATAAGATGTGCTCTTTGAAATGGATACACATCCCTGGGCATTAACAGCCAGGGAACATAGTGAGAAGAGATATGTAAAAGTGTTGATTTGGCACATCTTTATCTAATTTATGACTATGTTATTATAAATTAATCATTGTACCTCTTTTGTGAGAAGATGGCATTCTATGGCTAGGAAGAAATTGGCTTTAGAATTTTTCAAGGCTTATTTATTGTAGATTTTCAAGGCAAATTTATTACAGATAAATCACTTGCTGTGTTTTCAGTCCTTTGTTCTGTGAGATCATTTGATGAAATCCAGAGCAAACAGTAGATCTCAGTCAGATATGGTGGCTCATTAAGCTGCTGTTACAAGCAGGCCTTAATTGGAACAACAATGCCTGCAGGATGGCCCTTATCCTCCACCATGCTCAGGCCTGTTAATTTGAGCCAGGTGTGACTTAAGTCCAAATAAGATACATTCTTCCAAATTGTGCAGAATTACCTTTTTTGTATTTGTCCACTGTTTGTCTCTAAAGCTCATTAAATTTTTCTTCAGTCCAACCATTTTATTAATGTTCCTGAATACTCTATGTGTAGGAACTGCAGGAAACAATTTTTTAAACTTGGTTTTCTTTTAGCTAATCAGAATGTCCAGAAGCCCTGAGGTGAGAAAGTTGTAGTGGAAGCAATAAAGTTAGGTGGCTGCAGTAAATTTTAAAACTTAGGGCAAGTGCTTATTGCAGTGTGTGGGGTTGGGCAGGAGGTTTTGTAATATCGACCTAACAGCTTAAAACTTTCAGTTGTTGCAGCTGCCCTTGCTCTTTCTTTGCTGCTCTCTGGCTGCTCCTCTTTCTTCCTTATATTAGCTGTGTGACAGTTTTCCAAACTCAGCTCAGAACAATTAATTAGGAAAATTTCAATTGCTGTGTAGAAGTGTTGGTTTGGGAAGAGTGGGACAGGGTAAGAGCTATTTTTGAAGGCTATTCCTGAATATGTAAATGGTTGAACAAAAAGTGCGTGATATTCTGCAGAAGAACTGTTGAATTGTTTTCATTTTGCAATGTTTTACATCAAAGACTGCAATGGGAAGTTTTCGTATAGAGCAAATGTAACTCAAACCTCTGTCCTGTGTAAACAGAGCACTTAAGGGTCAATTATTAATATCTTATTTAGGTGTTCTCTTGCCCTCTTCAGAAAATTGCACGAACATATTTTGTGCTGCTTTTTTTTGTTGCTCTTTTTTCTGCTCCACCCTTCTCCACTTTGTTGTTCAGTAGCTTCTTGAGGATGATGAAGAGATGCTTTGATGTTTGGAAAGCTTAGTGGAAATAAACTTTTATTTCAACTTTCATTCCCTATTAGATAATCCTTTGCTCTTGTCAAACAATTGTATATTTAGCATTGACGTAACTGTAGGCTGTCCAGATTCTGATAAGTGGTGCCTGGATGCTCTCAGCTCAAATTAAAATATCTACACCATGAAAAGAGAGGGCTTTTGGATTTTTTCTTTCTTTCTCATTTTCTGTAGTCTTAAAACATACAGCATTCATCCTTTTCCCTGTAAGTTAAGAAGTTATTCACAACTATCTTAGTGTCCTCAGCTGACTGTTCATGAAGCAGATAATGGAGTAAGTTACAATGGAATTCACTGTCTAATACTAGGATTTTATCAATGGTAGAAGTCAGCATAGCGCAATGCAGAGACCAACAGCTTTGTTTGTTCCTATTGTTAAAGAAAAGTAAGTTAAGTTGGGCTTGTTGAGACTGTCTAGAGGCATCACCTTGTGTGCTGTCCATATTCCCTGAATTGTTTGACTACCCTTCAGATGCTTCACGAAATGTGAATGAAGTCGTTGGTTCTTATGTTGTCTTACCCTAATCCTTTATCACAGGTCCTAGTGCCACCAATCTTATAATAGGCTCCATCGCTGGTGCCATCCTGGTAGCAGCAATTGTCCTTGGGGGGACAGGATGGGGCTTTAAGTAAGCAATGCCGCATGTCTTCTCCTCGGTGGCTCTGGCATTTCTATTTCTTGCTTACATCACTCAGTTTTGAGTTCCTGCTACAAGAGTTCCAAGTTAACCCCCAGACTCTAACAGACTGCTTTGAACAAGAAATTATACATGCAGTAAACAAGCAAAGGAAATGGATTTGAAAATAGCAGATGTTATCAGGGTGCAAAGTTGAATAACAATAAAAGAATTAGGTGAATTCATGAAAATTAAATTAGCACTTAAGGAACAAAGTCTTTTTTCACCTCCTGTCCATAGCATTGAAGCTGATTGTGTTGGTTAAAAAGCCCCCAAAAGATACATGTCATATTTTGAATGTAGTAGTGCTTTCAAACTGCTCAGCTTTTTAAAAACAAGAGATGTCATGTAAATGGTCAGTAGTGGAAGGAGCAGAGTCGTTTTCAGGAGTGTTGATGTAGTTGACTCTGGAATAGCTGACCTAACTTGTTTGTGGTTACTGATTTTTTTTTTTAGTTTTTTTTTTTTTTATTATTATTGATACACAATTTAAAAAACAAATTCAGGTTTAGAGAGGCCATTTTGAAATCTTCAGCTATTTCCTGAAAGATGAAAGCATTTCTCTCCCAATTGTAGTTTGATGTGTTTTGTAACTCTAAGGACTAACAGATTAGTCATTCCACTTGACTACTCTGTTAAAGCAAACAGAGAGTCTTGTACAAAGGTACTTAATTCCTACCCTTTCTGTAGTGTTCAGTCTGCCCAGATGCAGGGCCTGTATTTGGTAGGAAAGTTCTCCCTTTAGAAAGGTTATAAACACTGTGACAGAGTTCTCCCAACAGATCATGGAAGAAATTCAGTGCAAATGATTTCTCATGGCATTTAAAGTTGCTGTTTCTTTTCAATAATATGAATCAAGGTTAAGCCATGATACAACAATAAGCCATAATTCTTCCAGAAGAGTAAGTAGTAGTAGTAATAATAATAATTCAAAGAAAATTTTCTATGGCTTCTATTCATATTCCATGTCAAAATTGAGAAGAAAAAATTACTCCCTAATTGATTAAGGCAGTTATCAAAGTAGAATCTAGTGATAACATCTTACCTTGTAATTCACTTTCAAAGGTCACCTGAAAATGTTCTGGTTTATACTCTTATATTTTTGAAGTTTCAGCTGGCCTTAATTAACTATGCATATAGAAGGAAAATATTTCAAAATCTCTTTCAGGCCTACTGAAAGCAGAAAATCAGGCTTTGCCCTTTCTCCTGGACAAGGCAATTAGTCCCTATTAACTTGCCTGGCACTGTTGGTGTTCTCAGACTCAGCCACATTCATTTTTCTCTCAGTGCTTGTTTGGAGGGTGCCCATGGGAATTAACCAAGCAAGATTCTGTTGGGGGAAAAAAGTCTGCTTACCCTTTTGGATGAGTTTTCTACAGTAAGAGACATTTGCCCATTACTTAGCAATTCACAGATTTTGCAGAAACAGGGTGTGCATCCCTAGATGATAGCTTTGTATTGCATAAGGTAGTTTGCTGAAAACAAAATACATGTCATGAAAATATAAAATAATTAGTGAGTTCTTCCTCTGAGTCCTTTCAAGCTGTCTTGTGCCCTGGCCATCTTTGCCCTTTGCCATCAGCACTGCAGCCCCTGCCTCCAACAGACACAGAGCTTGAGAACTTGCACTAAAGAGAGGAGTAGGACAATCCCTCCCTGTCTAAAACATACAGGATGTAACTGATTATTTATGTTTCATGTTTCACATTTCTCAAACTGCTCCCACAAACGATCAGCTTTGCACCCTGGTGCCATTTGTTTGCCCAAAGGAAGAAGCTTGTTCTGCCTATAGAGGATGTGCACTGGAAATGCCTCCTGGAGCTCCTGCTGTCCCAGGAGCAAGATACAGCTGTTTGTTCTGTAGCAGAACCTCAAAGACACTGGCCTGGCCTAGCTCACAGCTTGAAGTGCATGTTTCTTCTGGGGGCCAGAGGGGAACAGAAGAGGCTTTTCAGCTTGTACACAAAGAGGGCTAGCACATGTAGACCCCCGATATTTGGATTCACATAGATCTGGAGGGACAGGTGAGGATAATAAAGAGATTTTAACTTTTCTTTTTTTAAGCAAGTGATATATTTAGTCTCTGCAACTATGAGAGAAGGTAGCTAATGCTTTACAAACTGGGAGATGTGATTTCTGTTTCACAGGTTATCAGATGTTCATATGAACATACGGTACTGTGGTGTCAAGTCCATATCAAACGTAAGCTGCAACTAAGCAAACTTTGTTCATGAACTGGGGTGGGGGTTGGAGGGGAAGTGTTAAAGAAACATTGATGCAGGTTCAGAGAGAAAAAGGTAAAAACAGCTCAACAAACAAATTCCGGTTTCAAGAATGAATCCAAGGTTAATTTTAAATCAAGTTAATGTGTGGACAGAATAGGAAAGAAAATATTAACTGACAATTTTACAGAATATAGAATCTCATGAGACATTTCAGGTGGCTTAAAGGCTGTGGGTAGAAACCTTATTAAGAAGTAGATTTTATTCAGTTGAGCCTTGCATCATACTTTTAAATCTAAGTACAGCAGTAACAACTTGATTTTGGTGCAGCGAGTCTGTGCAAGCTTTTAACATGCAGTGTTTAACATAGGAAGGACGTTTTTACCATTAGAGTAAGCTCAGGGGCCTACAATTTTTCCCTAGCATATATTCACTCACTTCTGCTAAGCTACTGCAGTAATACAAGTCAATTAATGCTTTTGTTACTGACTTTAACAGCAGCTTTGGTAAGAAAACACTGCTAAGAGGTAATAGTAATAAGAGAGATGTGGAAATATACATGAAGAGCTGCTGCTTGTTATAGCAGAATACAAAAGTTACAGATAGAGAATTGATTGTAGGCACAATTCTATTTCCAGAAATTGTTCTTAGCTAAAGAGCTGCAAGGTTTTTTGTTTCTTTAATAGAAAATTCAGGAAGGAACCAAAGACTTACCCAGCTATAACAGATGCTGAGGTTGAACTGGTCTGGGCTGTTGCATTTAGACCCTAAAGGTTTCCACAAGTTAAAGCAGTGGAACGCTGGTGGGAATTTTGTGAGGAAGAGGTTTTGGTCCCTTACCAGCATTTCCATCATACGTGAATTGTGGACCAAAATCCAGTCATCACTGCACAAACAGCAGCTAGAATAAAATGTGAGGTATTTTCTAATATTTTCCCCAAACTACTGGAAGAAATGGGAGGTCAGTCAGGTCAACTTATTTTAAGTTGCTTTTTTTAGTCCCTCGTTTTGATAATGGGAGGAGTTTTTCTTGATAATGAGGGAGTGTTTCTTTTCTGATTTTTTTTTTTTGGTAAACATGACCATGTTAGGCAGTGATGTGCTGTGGCATGGAGTGCTTTTTTGACTAAAAATAACCTATACTTTTATTTCTTTTCTTTTTGTTTGAGACCCTTTGGATTACAGACAGAAATGACCCTCATTATTTAAAGAGGCGTTAAAACTTGAAATGCAGAGTCTTTGGTGTTCTAAGATCTTCCACATAAACCAACAAAGGACTAGGAAGCAGCATCATTCTCGGGTGTGTCCTGCCCTAGAGGACACTTCTGCCCCCTTACCACTTAACTGAAGCATAGCAGAAGGAATCTTGTACTGCTGTAACTCAAAGCTAGAACTGGTGGAAATATCCAGAACCTGGATTAGTGTTTGGTAATTCAGGCTGAAGTTGTTAAAGCAGGTCAGGTAATCAGAACAGAATTTCAGTTCCTGCAGGGTAACACCTCCCTGCTCACCTCTGAAGTGCTACAATGGCAGCTCTTGTTAAAGCTTTGCATGTGTGTACTGGTTCCTTATTGACACTGTACCTCATGTTCCCTATTTCAGGCTATTTTAGTTCTTCACATGTTTCTCTCCCTCATACAACATTGTTAGCAGAATATCCTAAGTGAAGAAAGGCAGTGGTTTGGTCAGTATCTTGTTCTTCAAAGGCTGTATTTCTGCTGAATAAAACTAGGAAATAAGGAAATATACGGTTTGGACAGAATGCATGATGAGGTTTGTACTAGAACGCTACACCAGTGAAGAACAGGTTAGAAAAGAGCAGATAAGATAAAAGTCAAAAGTTTTGTTAGATTGTTCTGGGAAGCTAGCATAGCATCTGTCCTCTTACCTCTAAGACTGTAAAGTCCATTTCTTTAATTAAAATAAGCTCAGGTAACAGTGTAATTCAGTGTCTGTTTTAAGGACTTGTCCTCTTCAAGCAAACAGTAATATGGTACTGCCCATATAGTGGAAGGACAAGTTATGTCGCCTGGATTTTTCATCTGCATTGTTGATTTAAAAGGACTGAGTAATTAGTTGTTTATCAGTAGTACTTGAGTTCAAGGATGCTAGACAGTATTTAAAAGGAGATAGGGGAAAAGAAGCAGACGTCCTTTTCTCATTGAAACTGGCAGGACAAGCAGATACACAGCAGCCTTTAACTCACATTTAACCAAGTTCTGTAATATTCATGCTTCCTATCTGGCAGTTCTGCAAGTTGGCCTGAAAATTATTTTCCTCATCTCAAATTTACCTGTAGTTTAGAGGACAAGGAATTGAGATACTGACATAATATCAGCCTCATTCCAAAGGAGCATTATTACAGTAATCCTGGAGGGGAAAAGACTGAAAGATGAATACAGTAATCTTCTTTCAGAAACTAGCAGTTCTTAAGTGCTCATCTTGCACAAATCCAATCACAGGTATCCAAGGAAAAAAACAAAATCAAGGATTCCCAAGAATTACCAGCCTCTGGAAGTCCTCTCAAAAAGAAGTTGCCTTTGCATTAGTCTCAAACCACCAGTTAAACCTTATGTATAGAATAAATATTGTAGCAATGGTAGAAGTTAACAGGGCTGCAGAAGATTAAAAATCCAGGGGTTGGTCTGTAGCTTTAGGGATTATATGAATTCCTATTCTGTATTTTTTGCATGTTGGTTTGGTGGTAGTGGTGTGTATGCCCAATGGTAAAACTAAATGCATGAGCCCCTTGCTTGATGCCCCACATAAAGCCAGATACTGGGGAAGTTGCACCCAACTTTTGTTGTTGCTTCCTAATGTCTTGCTGTGTGACATAGGACATCTACATCGCAGGAGATTGGATGTCCCCAGCCTGCTGCCACTTAACATTCAGTTCCAATCACACAACTGACAGAGCTGTCCAGTCTCCTTCGAATGCAATGTCTCAGCTGTCTTTTGCTCCTTACTAAGATTCACAGCACTTATGGTCAGTAGTGTGGTAAGAGCTCACAAAGGCACACACACTTAAATTCTGGTGTACCCAGAGCTGGGCACTTGCTCTGAGAACTGAAGCCTCTGCTGGCTGAAGTGTTGCCATTCCTGGCACTTGTGACTCATTCTCTTTAGGTAAAAGTGTGCATTCTTGGCCTAGTGCACACCATGTGTCACTGGGAGCTGAAAAGTTGTACAAATTTAGAGCACCACTTGAAATACTACAGAAATACTTGATTTCTGTGTGCCAGCATGATCTTTAAACTGCACAAGGAAACCTGTACTTGGTGTTGTGCCGTAGGAAGCATGCAACCAAATTCCTTAAATAGTTACCCCTTGAAAAACTTCCTGGTTAAACTGTCAGTGTGAGCTTTTTACTTTACTATGACCTTAGCAATGGCTGCGTTCCTGTTATACCTCACTAACGTCTTGCATTTTTCTCTTTCCATCTCCTTTTGATGCAACCTGGAAGAAATGTCAAAAAACGAAGGTTCGATCCAACCCAGCAAGGCCCTATCTGAAGAAATGCCATTCCAAAAGCTGCTTCTTGCACTACTGGATTTTGGGTATGATGTCCTTGCTGCAGCTACACAAGAATTAAATCAGTACAGAAGAACATGAGAACAGTAACTATAAACACAAAGTTGGGATGTTGAGATAAGTTGGAAATACTTTCTCTATTCACCTTTCTCTTGTTAACATTAACTGACAAGTGGTACAAGCAAACTGCTTCAAAAAATCAGGTGTTTTTTTTCCTTTTCTCAAATTAAGAAGGAGACACACAGACCAAGTGCAATAAGAGAACTGTTCCAAAATAATGGAGTTGCAAAAGATTCTTTCCCAGCCTGCTGGCACTCTAACTTCACTTGAGTTCGCATGACTTCCTTTTTCTTATCAAACTCCAGTGGCATGAGGAGCTGATTTTGAAAGGGTAACCTGCATGGCTCACATACAAACAACCAAGTTAGCAAGCTGACCCCAAGCAGAATCTGCAGCCCAATAAATACAAAGCACTGGGAAGCCAGTGCCAGGCTTCAACAGCTTTTCCAGCCACGCAGTGCATTCTGCAGCTGGACTTGAGGGTTCCCTGCTCCATGGGCTCACTGTCCACCTTGGACAGGAGCCTCTTGGGTATGGAAGCTAGAGAATGATGGATGGAATTCTTCCAAGAAGGAAAAAGTGTAAATATGGAAATAAGATTTTGATGTATCATTTTCACAGATTATATATAAATATATATATACGAGAGAAAAGAATTTCCATATAAAAAGGTTCTATTCTTTATGTAAATCTATTTTTGATGTTGGGTTTGGTTTTGGGTTTTTTTCTTCCCCTTTTTTTCTGTAGCATGTTGTACAGCAGATGTTCTGGGCTTGCTCAAAAAAGGCAGATAACAGCATGCAGATGCAGGGAGTTCTGACACCAAACAGATGTGATCTAAAGTTTGTATGCTTGAAACCAAAAACAATTAAAATGTATAAATGCATATCTATGTATTGACTATAAGTCTGAATTACTTCTTTTGGCTGTTATACAGACTTTTCCATGATATAAGTAACACACACTCAAACTAATCACAAAAGTGCCAAACTCTTTTTTTTTTTTTTTTAAGAAAAGCTACTTTTTTTCCTGCCTAGATCCTGTAAAATAAAAACTTAAATAAGCCTTAAAATAGTCAAAATATGTTAAAGCTTGGAATGAGCTATTTATTATTCTCTTGCCTTCTGCCCATCCACGGGAAGCAGCTTGCAAAGGTGACTGACCTTTTTAACGCACTCCCTGTGTCTCTTTGATGCATGCCACTATTCGAACTTTAATGCAAGATTAATACTTTGACCATTGGCTACTGATAGCCAGTTACCACCACAATATGTGCAAAATCCCAGGTAATTCAGGTGTGCTGTCATTACTTTTAGAGACACCTGCACCAACACAGATTTTTACAGAGTAGTCCTGGGCAGCAGTCCTGTGTCCCCAGGAGCCCCCTGGCTGCAGCTGCCTTGAGAGAGGGTTGTGAAGAGGTCTAGTTTAGGGCTCCCTTAAAGTACAGAGCTGGACAGTCTGGCTCATCCTTTTAAGCTTGACTTAAATCATTTGGTAAGTGAAGTAACTGAAAATTTAATTGCTGTGTCTGATAATTAGAATTAGATCCAAAATATTTTAAAAGTTGTAACTTTTGGATGTTTAGTAACAACAGAAGCCCAGTTACACTACTTCCTGCATCTTTGTTCAGAGGAAATCCATTTCCCAAGTTAGCTTTAAGAGCCAAAACATAAAAAAAATGCTGCAGACATTTTCCTGTGAGTTAGAAAACCTCATTTTAGTTATTTTTCTTATTGTGATAATGTTCAATTCAATTGGTTTTGATTCACAGTTGTTTCTAAATATTTTCAATCAGCTTTAACATAATCACATTTACACTTACTACATTATAAGTTAAAGGTGCTGCACACACAGGTAGTTTCCATTAATAGAAATTGTAAACCTTATTCTGAAAATTTCCTGCTTGGCTTTAAGCAGAATTACATTAGTGACATTTCTCTGATGGCAAACCAAAAATACTTGCAACTGTATTATGTTTCTCTAAAAGTGCTGCAATTGGGAACACAACATCTAAATTTTTTCAGGTTCTGCTTCCAAAGCAAGCATAACCCACAACAGAAACACCAGTGCTATCAAAAATTACAATAAGTAAAGTCAACTGGATATACATAAACTACCTGTGTAATAAACCTCGGAGAGGCATTTCACAAACAACATTGTTAGTGTGTGATGTGATGTTTTAAATCAGACCACAGTGGTCCCCAACTACTATGTATATATGTTCAGTGCTGGAGTAACATTTTTATTTACACCAGCAGTTTCATAGCAATTAGGATTTCTTGACTGAATTTATGCTCCAGTCCTCAGCCATTGTGTGCATGGGAAGAACACACTTTCTGCCCTGTGTGCACACAACACAAGTGACAATACAGCTCAGAGTAGGTACAGGCTAAAGTGCTTCCTGTGCTGGTAGACAGTTAAAAAGCTGGATTTGATAGGTGTTGATTTTGTACATGCCCTGGCTGTGCTTTGGGAAGTGCATATCCATTTAGCAGTAACTCGTTCATCGCAAAGCGGCATCAAAAGAAGACCAGGTTGACCCTGCCTCCATTTCATCCACTCTACATTTGCTCCATTATTTACCTATTCAGCTGGACAAGAAGCTGTGGTAGCTGTATAGCTCATTCCAGTCTGCTGCATGATCTCACTGATTTGATCTGATACTCCTAAAAGAGAAGTCTGCCAGGCAAATTAGCAGCTGTATAGGTGCATGGTCAAGAAACAGATTACTCAAGGCTGGAATCTAACCAATTTTTCTTTACTATGCAAAGATGGATATTGCACAAACAGATGAGACAAATGTCTGAGGAAATGCCATAGAATACTTGAAGTTATGTTTTAAGCCTAATCAGTCATGTTTTATATTCATTACTGCTTCCACTGTTACTCTTCCTTTTAAAAATGTTTTGTAATTATTTTTTTAAGTGCACAAGTCGATGTTGTTATAAATCAAGTTTTTGTTTGAAGTTAATACTCATTCATATCCTGTTGGCTGCTAATGAATGGAAATTCAATAGTCCTTGTTCTGCATCTTAGCAAGATGAGTATTAAAAATGTCATGAACATGGAATGGAGTAGTTTTTAATTTTCAATCTTTTTTTTTTCTTATTTATTCTCTCCGTTTAATTTAATTTCTGTGTTCAAAGAATCATCACCTTTGTAGTAGTGGAAATTGAATGGAGTTTTCTTTTATGAAAGATCTCAAAGTGTGTCAAATCTCACAGTGAGGCTGTGTCTGTGGGAGGACGTTGCACGCAGCCTCTCTGCCGTGCATGGAACCAGCGCCCCTGCACCCAGGATGGGCCCAGCCTGCTTCAGTCCCAGCTGCTGGCTACACTGAGTTCAGTGACACCTGGAGGCTTTTGGTAGGGGAGGGAAGCCTTTTCCAGCTCAAAAATCTGAATTATATAATTACAGGAAGGCCTGTAAATAAATAAGGCCCTTGAAGTATTCTTTAAATAATTACATCATAACAACCAGATGTTGTGGCCATCATTTTAATGGAGTACTGTATGAAACTACATCTCCCTTTTCTTTTTTTGCCAGACTAACTCTAGTGAAGCCAGCCTGGGAAAATTAAGTGCATGCATGTCACAGTTACCAGATAACTACTGATATTGTTTTGCTTTCTCCAGCTCCAGACAAGGAAACAAAATACACTCTGTATGAAAACATCTTTCTCATTCAGAATGATAGAGTGAGGGAACACTCTCACTAATGGATACACTATTATACACATCTATTTCCTGTCATTTAAATATAGGATTTATCCATAAACTCAATATAAACATGCATTTTGGCTATAATTAGAATAGACAGTCATTCCTTAAAATAGAAGTTAAGTCTTTTGCAGCATATGAATAGAAAAGCAATATAGAGAGAGATGCATACCTGCTTTTGATTTCACAAGAAAAAATTCTTAGAATTGTTTTTGAAAACTTTCTCAGTTTCAGCACAAACACTGAAGATTGATCCTGCTGGGGCACTTACTATCATGGACAAAACCAACACAACACCAAGCCACATTGCACAAACCCAAAAAAGCCTCTTTTGTTCCAAATGTACTTCCTATAGATTCCTACCTACAAGAGCTGAAAAGTTAATATAAATCATCCATCAGTAATATCACAGAGACTAAGTGTCCATGGAAAGCTTAAGAATTTTAATGGCAGAGATGCTCAAACCAGTACAATTGAAAGCAAAAGGTCACAAAAACATTATCTTAAAGCTGCACACACTGTAATTCAGTTCAATTATTTATTGTTCACAACTCAGCAAGCACATTCTTGTAGGTTTGTAGAATAAGTCACTTAGTGGGAACAGGTAACATAATAGGGGCACAACCCTTAGATAAGTACAAGGACTCTGCATCAGACCAGCATCACCAGCCACTAAACATGTTATTTCTGAGCAACCTCAAACTGCTGAGGGCAGTGTAATTATGAGTGCTCTAATTTGTAGAAAACCCATAATCAAGTGCCAGCTGATTTTTTCTTATTAAAATGTTCTTCTAAAAAACCTTGGTTTTTAATAAGTCATGGGATAGCCCTCATCTTTACCACTAGTACTGTAACAGGCCATGCTTTAGTGTGGCACTTTGTGAGCCAGTATAAGAATTCCCGCATCAAAGCTGGTAGCTCAAAGCACGGAAGAACTTAAACGTATTTTACATGGTCTAAGTCCAGTTGTCAGACTTCATGAGCACAACACTGCACCACTGTATAGCATACATTCACAGATTTCCTCAGCCATCAGTCCAGCTGCTGGAGGCTTTGAGTTTCCTTTGGAGACTGTGAAACAATGTTTGCATCTGCACTACACAGAGCAGCTGAGAGAAGGGCTGGTTCTTGCAGCTGTATTTAACTGGTGACAAAGGCAGGAGCACAACACCCCCCTTACATTACACACCAGTAACATGCTGTGGGTATAACATTGCTTTGCCTCTTGTGCAGAAAGAAAATGTCCCCACACATAACATGTGCTGCTGCCCTGCACTCTAACCTGGACACTGTCCAGCCAAAAAACAGCACAGGCAAACTGCTTTTAACTGGTTTCCTATCTCCAGCTGAGATGGTGATCAGTTTATTCTCATGAATGAAAAATGTCTAAATATCTCAAATCTACCTGAGGGTTACAGAAGAAAATGGCACCAGCAGCCGCAGTTGATATTCCTGGGAGCCTGCAGCTTTGACAATGTCCTAAGGACCCTTGATGGGAGCTGTGCTGAACAGCACCTTGTGCTGTGAAGCTGAAGGAAGTGCCCAGACCCTACCAGCACAGCACAGCCCTGTTTTCCAGTGGTCCCAGCTGTGTGGCAGCAGCACTGGGGACACCTAAAGCTCCACCTGTCTATAGCAATGCCTGACTTTCAGCCTCATCACACAAAGATGCTTCCACTCCTCTCTTCAGCTTATGTAAACAGAGATGTTTATCTCCCTAACAAGGACCTCTTCCCAAAACATGTTTTCTAGCCCTCTGGTTTGCTCCAAAGCACACTAATAACTGTATAATTACAGAATAAATGGACAGAACTTGCAGTAGCAGCGCTCATGGCTTTGTTAAGCAGTCTCAATTTGTTCTTTCAAAGAGAAGGCTCACGTTACTTCTAAAAGTAAGTACAAGGACCACAGTCTAAACCTCCATACTCCATTCATATATTTTTGTTGGGATTTTACATATTCTGACCATCCATTTCCTCCCCATACCTTTTCCCTTATCAACATGCCCCACTCAGAGTGGCACAACAATGAAATCAGATGGAGGCAAGGTACACAAGCAAGCCTGTCTCCTTTGGAGTCAGTCACTTCTCCCCTATTTCCTTTCATGTACATCTGAACTCTGTATTGCTATTTCAAGACCTGCTCCATTATGAAGTTACTCTTACAGATACTGTTAACAATAACATAGTTTATAGACAATGAATGCTTGACCAGGATTTCTGTGCCATGAGAAAGCAGTTCCAAGAAACAGAACTATTCTAGTGCCCTCCAGCATTCACTGAAAAGCTTTAGGAAATTAAAGATTTTAACTCCTGCTTTATGTAATGAGGAGGTCCTGAACACAAGACTGAAAATTGCCTCATTTGCAGAAGGAAAGAAACAATTGCCTTACATTACAGAACATCCTCTGTTGGATCAGGGGGCTAGGCAGGTAGGTAAAAGATTCCGGTCCCATTACATTTTTGCTTCACTTTTCCTTCCTCTGATTTTGCTGGGCACTTTCACTTCAAACACAAGATCTCTAGGGCAGGAACTGTTGTATGTACACAAAGGTGACCTTTGCACCCAGGCCAGGGAGCAGTGCTTTTAGGCAGAGCTGGTTAGCTGATAAGTTTGAGACAAACCCCCCTCCCCAGGTATTCAAAAAAATTAAAGTCTTCATGAAATACGCAACTTTTTAGCTGTGCCTAATCAGTAATAGGATAGGAAATAAAGGACCTTGTTAAATTAAACTATAATCTTTTCAGAAGTTCCAAATTAAACTCACTACGTGGAAATTCACACTAGTATCACCTTTATAGCATCTCCTTTGAGAATAGGTTTCAAAGGGTACATTTGTGAAATAAAAATGGGAGTTTCAAAGGCTGAGTGGCCTGACCTATTAAAAAAATAAATAAACTATATACTTAATTAAAAAATACCCAATGTTCTATCTGCCTCTATCACATGGTTCCTTACTGATAATGTATGAGTTTTACTCATCTAAATGACAGAGCTTGTAGTACTTCATTCAGAAAAATAATTCAAGAAGGCAGATTTGTCTGCCGATAAATTTTACATGGCAGATCTTGCACATTAAAAACCCCCAACTTTCTTCTCTGACAACAGCAGTAGTGTACTCATAAGGCTTCACACCTGTGGTTTGAAGAGTGGCAAGTACTTTATAAGTGCCAAAGAACCCTAGTAGGAGCTACCAGCAAAACACAGAGCAAAGTGGATAGTCCAGCAAAGAGACTGAGAATGAGCAGGCAACCAAGGAGAACTGAAGATCCCCACGTGCCCTTTCACATGGGACAGAATATCCTCATTACTCTCCAGAATCTCCTGTGACCTATTTCTTGGCCCTAAATAATTTGCTATCCCCTCCTCCAATTTCTTCTTGAAGACTATTTTCCCCAGACAACTTTGAGTGGGAATATGCAGGCTCCCTGTGTGGGGTTGTGGCTGCCAGGGGAGTGTCTGTGCTGTGGGATGAGTGTGACAGTGGCAGGGCTGGAGCCCTCCTTTGTGGCCCACTGGCATAGCCCAAGAGTTGCCCTGAGGCAGGCGTGCTCCAACACCCTTTTCTCCCAAGAGCTGCAGGAAAGAAACACTCTCAGAGAAAGAGAAGGTGGGATTCCACATTGCAGTCCCGCTCAGCCTCAGGAAAGAATGCACTCTGAAAGTGCTTTTCTCCCTGCGAGAAACTGATCCTGTAACAGCCTTGCTTTCTTGGATGTTTGTGAAAACATGTTTCACAGAACTGCTCTTCTAGCTGTGACATACCCAGGGTGACTCCTCTGCCTGGAGTGCTGAAGGTGAGAAGGGTTTCCCCATTGTCTGTGGGAACATGAGAAAGCAGGAGGGCTGAGTCAGGAAGAACCAATTACTTTATTCTGGAACATGTTGATATCAGTCCAGCACCCAAATGGCAACGAATCCCTTAATTCAAAAACTAAGAGTTGTCTGGCTATAAATACTCAGAATGCCATTAAAATTAATCAAAAGCTCTCTAACTGAATGGTTAATGTGAGACAACTTGCCCAAAAGACAAGGATTAATATTTAATGTACTATGCTATCAGTTTGGGGTTCTTTCTTATTTTCTTGGAGTGCTTAAGTCTAGAGAAAAATGTGGTCACATCCTTTATAAAGGTCATTTGCATTTACAGTGTCACATATCACCAGATTATATTTTCAAAAATATATATGAATTTTTTGACCAACACCACTTAGCTTGCACTTGTAAAAATACCTGCTCCACACGTATTTTCAAAGCTTGTGTTAAATACATTTACCAGGAGAAATGTTACCTCTTCCACAAATGAATTTAAATAAGTGGCTTCAACAATGAAGCCAGCTCACACTTCTGACATGTCACCTAAATTTACTCTTGGGGAAACACTATGAATATGGCAGTGGAGACAGCGCCATATCTCACACCAACAGTTGGTAGGCATAGAGAGAGACACATTATTACAGTAAGACAAATGTAGTCCAATGGGGAGCTGCAGTTCCTCAAACCTTCTAGCAGAAGGCCACTTCTCAGCATAGGCCAGAGACATGCCAGGGTGTCCTCAGGGCTGCAGCTCCTGGCACAGAAGTACCCTGGTCTCCTCCCTGTCCCATGTCTTGTCTGTCAGCTCCATGGAAATGTTTCAGGTCGACAGCAATAGTGTACAGCACTGAAGAATTGTAGGTTTAGGTAACTATATCTTTCCACTGGTTAGAACTGCTGAAGTGTTGCATCACACCCAGTGACTTTCCTGCTGGCCATTTCAACAGACAATAGACCTAGAAGGTTGTTTAGAGCAGTGTGGGGTCATCAAACACTTTGGGAATAGAGATTCAATCCACCAAAAGAAAAAAAAAAAAGACAACTTGACATCAAAAGTAAAAAAAAAAAAAAACAAAAAAAACCCACAGGTTTAGATACTCAAAGTTCTCTACATATAATTTTAAAAATTAGTAAAATATAGCTGCAGACTTTGGATCAATGATTTAATTTCATTTCCAAGAAGCTCTTGCGAGTCAGGGAGCCAATTTTAAGGATAGTTTAATCTTCTGCTTCAAAGAGGAGAACTGGAAAAGTTAAAAGTGGAAGTAGGTTTCCACACTCTTCCTTTGTGGATTTTGAAGAAAAATAAAGCCTCTACCAGGTACTATGAATTTAAAGCTAACAGACCTTTGGGTATCCCCCACTCTGAGAATCACAAGTTTTGCCTTTGCCATCACTTAGCCAAGTTTCACACAAAGCTGGAATAATTTGGAACCCAACTCAGCAAAACCCAAACTTTCAGCTAAGAATATGTCTGTAAAGCATTTTTAGTAAGCCTAAAACAGGTGTCTTTCATAATGTGGGACAGTTTAAAAAGTTTAATACTGCTTTCAGGTGTGGCTGCTTATGGAAGTAACAGGCAAGCTGTGCATCCCATCACATGTTACTGTCTCTCAGCCTCAGTGCTGAATCTCTTTTTTTATATGTAAATGCTTACTTAGCTCAAGCAACCATAAGCCACTGCCTATTAACTTAAATGTTAATTTTAAACCACCAGAAATTTTGCTGGGAGCAAATGCAAGAAGAAAGCAACTCTGTAGTTATTTATACCTTTGCTCTATTCAAAATGCAAATACCAGTTAAATGGCCTCCTCCTTTTCTTACTTATCCCTTATTCCTTTATCCTGATCATTTAACCTTTTGTTTTATTTTTATATTTTTCTGGTAGAAATAGCATCCTTTCTGTAGTGTTACATGATCTGAAACCTCTGTCTCATCTATGAGTAAATAATCTGTCTCATCTGTGAGTAAATAATCAACTTTTCTTGATAAAAAATATCCTTCTGCAAATGACTCTGGATATGATCTACAGCTCATGGGAATTATAAGATATGGAGACCCACAGAAGATATGAACACTGGCTGCCAGAGGAATGTATCATGTGCTGCAATGAAAGAAAGATTACTGATAGCTTAAGAAGGGCACAGAAAGCTTGATTGAGGGAGTGTGTGGAACTGAATGAGATGGCCAATCCTGGTACATTTCTTCCCCACTAGGAGGCTGAGGTGATCAGTCTAATTATCAAAAACCTCTTTCCCAGAAATAGAATGTAAGTGCTCTGGTTCAGAGGGAGCAGAATGTAGTAGGCTCAGGAAGTATTTGTGGAGCCAACTATTTTATCTGTAGCTATATTTCCCTTGAGCAGCAACTCTCATTTCTGTGAGAGCCCCTGGTTCAATACCCTTGGGTCTGCCAGCATTCTGAATGGAATAAAACCAATGTTATTCTTGATCCAAACCCAGATAAAGTGCACCCCAGCAGGGGACTCAAACTCACTTCTTAACAATGATTCCACAAAGGTTGCAGGTTGACAGAAATTTATCGACTCACAAGAAACATTTTATCATTTCCTTTCTATTTGGCTCTACCCTTAACAACATGGGGGACAGTCCTTAGAGTCATGTACCACAGATACAGAAACAGCAGCAAAAACCACTTCTGAGGCATTTTAATCTTGCTCAGCTCTGGCTCCTGCAGCCAGGCCTATCATGAGCACAAGCAGCCCCAGAGCTTTTTCTACCCAGGAACTGCCTCCACAACACCCAGATCTTACCTGCACACTTTCTTACCTTCACACTTTGCCTTGCTCAACCCCCGAATACAGAGGCAAGGAGAAGTACACTGGCTACCCACTTGCCAAGGGGGCTCCAGATTGCACATGGGTCCAGAATCAGGTACAGAGCAGATTTTAAAAAGAAACAAATAAAACCAAAAGCTGGTTCTTAAGGATCATTTCAGCTCTAGAACCCAGGAGAAAGTCTACTGGAATAGCCTGCATTCCATAGCACAGAGAAGAAATATTGGAGATCCTACATATGAGAGGTTTCCGCCACCGTGTTGCAAAGGCCCCTTGCAAGGTATTACACTCTTCATTTCATCCTGAAGTCTGTTTCAGCAGCTGGTGATCACTATTCCCAAACTCACACTTCTAGCCAAATAAATGGAACATTTGCAAGTTGGCCAAAGTCCTACAGTACAGCAATTTACAAGGGTTCTAGCCAGTGCTCTCTCAAAAGTTCCTTGCACTTTTGTTAAACTGTAGCATCACTTACACAAAATACACTCTGACAGTGATTGCTTACTGAGGAGATAGAGCACCAGAAGGAAAGCAGTGTATATTGTCATAGGCACGACACAAGGCCAAGGATTTGGAAAAGAAGTTGCTTCTCCATTTACATGGACTGGAAGTACAGAAAGAGTGCAAACTATAAAGGTATTGATGAACATCAGAGAAATCAAAGTCTCAAGCCAACTTTCCAGCTGATGTGATCCAGTGCAGCCCCACAGTCTTCAACGAAGATAAGCCTTATGCTACTGAAACACAGTTGCTTTCTGGGGAAGGAATTATGATTCCACGTGGAGAGATAAAAGGGGGCTTCCAGTGAAAGCCTTGGAAAAACAAATAGTTTGCTGCTCAGCTGTATGCACTGGTGCAGCTGCACTGGCTTCAGACATGTAGCAAGGTGCTACATGATTTGGCCTAGAAACTACAGAACAAAGAAAAAAAATGTTCTCACCTGCCTATTGCTTCAAATAGCTGGTGTTAAGCAAGTTCTGGCCAGCACTGGCTATCAGCATGGTCACAGAGCCCCAGCTCTTTGAGTGGTATGTTTTCTGTGTGCAAGGGGATCACATCAGGCACAGTGAGCACAAGCAGAGTTGTCAGTTGCAGAGTTGTGCTCAGGCTTTTTTCTCCATGCTGCACATAACAGGAGACAGCCTTTTCACCAGTGCTTTCCTTTCACTTTCCTACTAGCTTAACCCATTTCTCCAACACAAAGGTTTTCCAGCTGCTACACAGAAGTCATAATCCAGCTGAAAATCTCATAGAGAGAAAATGCAACAACACTAGACCACATTATTGTTCCTGGGGGGGAAAATGGAACCAGACCATCCCCTTCTGCTGGAGAACGTACAGCCCTCCAAGTTAGTGCTTATTAAGGTAAAGTTGTATAAATTGAGCTGCAGTGGGCAGCACAGCCCAACTACTTCAACTAATGCATTTATGTGGAGTCCTTCTGTGGCTCTTCTCTGGGTCTCTGCTTCAACTTCTATGAGCTGCAGCATGTGAGCTGAGCCCTAGCCAGCAAATAGCTCTAGTCGTGCCACACAGATTCCTGCTTTGGAGTGGAGGGATCTGCAACAGCCAACCACATAAAGCAAGATACCTGAGGTCTGAGCCAGCTCGGGACAATATGAGCTCCAAGGGCAGACTTGCTTTCTACTCTTCCCCTCCTGCCCCGCACCGATGCAGCAAGGGGAGGGGGGCAGCTTTGCCAGGTCTGTTACTCTTCCACCCCGCTGGGCGACCCTTGCCCTCGGCCAGAGGCAGCACGGACACCAGGCTGCTCCGGGAGAACCGGGGTCCGCAAGCAGAGGAGGACAGGCGGGACGGAGAGCGGAGCGGGCTCGCAGCAAGGACAGCTCCGCACAGAGAAAGCGGGAGCTCCGGGTGCCCGGGAGCAGCGGCCGGGCCCGGGGGGTGGGGGCTGATCTCGAGCCCTGACGTAAAAACTAAGCGGGGCTGCCCGCTCCGGCTTCTTAAGGAGCGCGGCGGCGGCAGCGGGCTCGGAGAGCCCTGCCCTGGCCGGAGCCTGCCCGAGGTAAGCGCTGAGAGCCGCGGGCGGCGCGGGGCGGGCGGGAGCGGGGCGGGACCGCCCGGGGATGCTGCACCGGAGCGGGCACCCGGCCCGGGACCGGCTGCGGCAGCTGCGCGGCCGAGGGACTGCCGTAACGAGAGCTCCACGTTAGATGATAGTAACACATTAATTGATTAACTTTTAAATTATTATTGTCAGGCATTATCCATGCCGAGGAGTGAAGCAGGAGACTACACTGCAAGGCGAAGCAGGGACAGCGGGGAGGGTGGGAAAAGTCGGAACCAGGAAGTGTAAATAGCACTCACACACACACAAACTTCAATGAATGGACAGAAATAACAGGAGATTGGAGGGTGTAAGGAGGAATTGCATGGAAGCATTCACCACATGCACAGGTAAAAGATTAATGAAATCTCCAATTTCCTGGGCAACCCCTCCAGCTCTCAATTATCTAAAAAAACACAATCTTGAACCTTGTGGAAGACTAACAGCACAGTGTTGCCTGAATTTGACCAGACTATAAGGACTAGTGGCCTTTGCCACTGACCCTTACTAATGCCATGCACATCACGCTTTCAAGGGCACTGATTCTCATATTAATGCCCTACCTACTAACTCCTTGCCGAGGACTGTCCCCTTGTTTTGACAAATCCAGAAGCCATCCAGAACCCTTGTCTTAGCCAGTTTTGTAACGTATAAAGTTTAGAATAGGTGCTGAGGAGCAGAAAATACAAAGCAACCAGTTCAGTTTTTAACCTGTACAAATGAGATGGGCTCTGTCAAAATCACAGGACCATCACTTAAAGGACTTTACTATTATTATTTAGTATTGTTAGCTTCTTTGAGTATTATTCCTTTGTTTGAACAATTTGTTGGTGCTCCCCACCCACTGTCCTTTGTCTGTCGCCTCACCCTCATGGTCATATTTGAGACTGCCAAATTGCTCTGAAAACCAGAAACTTGATAAAGTTAACTATGTCCCTTGAAAAAGTCTCAGTAAGCAGACATATGTGCATACTGCATGGCACACAGGTGTCTGTGCCCAGTGGAAGAGCGCTGATGCACAAACAAGAATGAAGTAGTGACTCACAGGATGTTTTTGGCTTGCTTCTGAGAAAGCAATCAAAGCCTGCCTTGTGGAGTAGGGTACAGAAGAACGATGTTTCTTGGGGATCTTGGAAGCAGCAGGAGGACAGCCCTATTACTACCACCACTGTCATACGTGACATCCACTAGGCAGTGCAGTGTGGGAAGAGCAAGCTGTCCCTCTTTTGTTCCCTAAATGCAATGTTCAGGGCCAGGGTTGTCAAACCAGCTCTTCTCACAAAACCCAAACTTGGATTGAAAAGTGACTGTAGACAGCTGGGGAATAAAGTCTGAATACCTCAAAAATGTTCCCAGAACCTGACCAGGTAGCCAGACAGGGGGCTAGGTAAGAATAACATTTCTAGGACTGAAATCTCTGAAGAGTCCTTTAGCTCTATAAAGAAATATACTTCACAAAGCAAACTACTCTTCCCTAGTCTCACACACAGGCTACTTTTCATGCACAATTCCTCTGCACATCAATGTCCTGCCTTTGGCATTTTTCTTCACAGAGCAAAGGAACATTTCTTCAGGATCACTCATAGAAGAGACTATCTATACAAAAAGCCAGTTGCTTATCCAGCTCATTAAGAGAAGTAGCTTCCCATTCCCAACAACCAAACTGAAAACATACAAGCATGAATACTCAGCAGATCAGCACATGCATTAAAGCGAATTTTGTCCTAAATGCTGATCTCAGAGGTAGCTGATTTCCACAAATGAGAAGTTCTCCATATTCCATGAGCTACACTAAAAACAATCCCTCAAACTTGTTCAATATCAGAAATGCTAGAAGCTTGTTAGAAAATATATCAGAGAAGTATGTACTAGAAATGAAATCTGATGGAGACAACTGGGCCTTTCTGTCCACAAAACAAGCATTCTCAGAATTTCTACCTATCCATTATTGATACTACTTAGCAAGTTTCAGAGTTTTAACAGTTAATTCTCAGGGATCGGCAGTACACATTTATACTTTTAAATATACACAAAGACATCGCACCACAGGAAAGAGTCAACATGGACCTGTTAGAGCAAGTCCAGAGAAGAGCCACAACAATGATGAGGAGGGTGAAGCAGCTCTCCTGAAAAGACAGCCTGAGAAAGCTGGGGCTGGAGAAGAGCAGGCTGCAGGGACACCTTGCTGCAGCCTTCCAGTACTTACAGAGGGCCTATAAGAAAGATGGGGACAGGCTTTTTAGCAGGGCCTGTTGCAAGAGGACAAAGAGTGATGGCTTCAAACTGAAGGAGGACCAATTTAGATTAGATATAAAGAAAAAAATCTTCTACAATGAGGGTGGTGAGACACTGGAACAGGCTGTTCAGCGAAATGGAAGATGCCCTATTCCTGAAAGCAGTTCAAAGTCATGTCGGATAGGATTCTGGGCAATCTGAAGTGGTTGAAGATGTTCCTGCCAATGGCAGAAGGGTTGGACTAGAGACCTTTAAAGGTCCCTTGCAACCTGAACTGTTTTATGATTCCATATGCATGGGTACATTTGTACAATACAGCTGCTATGTGATGGCTTTGCTATACCCTCTTCTCAGAACTGTTCTGCCCTTTAGCACCTAAACCACTCCTGGTCAGTGGATGAATCTGAAACCTGCAGTAATTAAAATCATTAAAGCACATTTTCAACATAATTTTTCCACCTGCTGTCCACTGATCCTTGTGATTCTGAAAAGCAAGACTGCCTAAAAGCTTAAATTATGTAAAAAGGAATGGATTTTTACTGAAAACTATTTTGGATCTGTAAAGTAAAAATGGCAAAAAAACTTTCAGTATTAAGTACTTCCAGATAAGATAGTTCATCATTCAGATCTGAGGATGAATAAAAATTTTTACACATGCTTCTGCTGCACAGAGCATCGTCACTCCTCTAGTATTTGTGTACATACAAAAAGCATACACAAATCTTTAAGGAGCAGAGAAACAGTATTTAAGTGCCTTGCATATCATGTAAAGTTAAGAGGATTTTCTTCCTGCATCTAAGAGTGAGATGTTTTCAGCTTCTCTTGGTTTTCTTATATTTCAGTGACATAATGCATCTTGGAAGCAGAAGAAGAATCCCCTGCACCATGAGGCTCACCTGTTCTCTCCTGCTCATGGCAGTGTTCTGTGTGACACCTTTGCTCTGCCACAGCCAAGTTGATCCACTGGCTCTTGGGCGGGCAGACCCCCAGTGCTGGGAATCCTCCTCGGCTATTTTACTGGAGATGAGGAAGCCTCGCATTTCTGACTCTGTCAGTGGCTTTTGGGACTTCATGATCTTTCTGAAATCCTCAGAGAACTTGAAACATGGGGCTTTGTTCTGGGACCTGGCTCAGCTCTTCTGGGATATCTATGTGGACTGTGTGCTCTCCAGAACCCATGGGCTGGGGAGAAGGCAGCTGTCAGAAGCTGTCAGAAGCCCCAAGATGGCTACTCTACATTCTCAGTTCACAAGGAGAAACCAAGGTCACTACTCCTTTAATATGCATCTCATGGGCAATAATTAGAGTCTAGTGGAAAGAAAAGAGATTGAGGCCTATTGTGCTATGTGGTAACAACACAGAAATGGAGGCCAGTGCTATGCAAAAATCCCCTACTCCTCCCAGTGAGGTGCAGAGCTGTGTTTATGTTCAATGTGATCTCAGTAAGAATTTCACCTCCAAACAAACCGAACTCTAACAACAGCTTTTAAGTTCCAGTTTGATAGGGTAGAAAAAGCAGCAGAAAGTGTGATACCTTCTTTGTTTGAATCCTCCTGTATCTCAGCAACTGAATATACCAATATATTCTTCCACACCAGCATTTTTACCACAGTTTTGCTATGAACAGGCTAGCTCTGAATCCCCATTCTGAGAGGAATACATTGCACTGTACTGTTGGGGAGAGTGGCAGCCTTTTGCAGAAGGGTCAAGGTGTGTCTACTTGCCATCTAGCAGCCAGTCACTATTTTTCATTTCCATATCTGTAACTTCACCCAACAAACAATGGAAACAGATCTCAGATTTAGATTCATGCAGGCTTTCAGACACAACTACAGCTCCAGGAAGAACATCACTACCTGTGACGCTAAATGCTGCAATCCCTAGTCTCCAGGTTCCCAGCCCCCTCTCCATGTCTGTCAATTACCATCCTCATACCCAAAAGGGAGACACAGTATAGCTTTTCCTAAATCTCAGTCTCTTCCAAGGCTTCAGTTCTGATCCTGCTACCAACAAATATATCTTTCCCTGGAGAATATCTACTTTCAGATAGAGGTAGGTGCTATAATTTGATGGAGAGGTAGAAGTGCTGCTTCCATCACCAACAGTGTAGTGCATGAGCTCACAGTGAGAGGCAGAACTGGCTTTACACTTCAATGGATTGCCACCCTTGTCTCCACTTCCTAAAGCAGTGTCTTAGTTATTAAGATGCTTAGGGGGAATGTTCATGAAATAATGAAGAGCCTCTCTGAGCAAGTATCCATTAGAGTGTCTCTAAAAACTGGACTCGAACTCCAGGTTCTTGCACCTCAGGGACAATACACCACTGGACCATCCCACTCTTGCCCACAAACATAAAACATTTTTGAGTATTGAAAGCTAGAATCTGGGATAGGAAGGACTGAGAGGTCCTTACCCTATTACCTACAGACAGTATCCTGAACTTTGAGATAGGAGTTGAACTTGAATCAATCCCCTCAGACTGAAAAACTCATACCCACAGGGCAATTTCTAACCTATGAGTCAAACAACCGCTACCCTGCAACTTAAAAGCAAAGACTGGATCCTATCCTGCTCTGCAAAGAATCTGAGCTCTGACTGGATCTTTACTGTGCTGGCATGCAGCACAGAACCCACTTCTGGTTTCCAAGTGGTCTTGGACATCACACAGGCAAAAAGTTGCTCAATCCTTACCAGACTGACGCGCTTCTGGGTGCAAAGAGAACCCAGCTTTAGACATACACAGCAGTAGTATTGTCAAAAACTGAGATAATCCACTAAGTTAAAGCACTAGATTATTGTTTGTTTGGGACTGCAGCTTTGAATATCACTGTCTAAACTCCCACTTAGCCTTTTCCTTACATCTGACTCTACATATCTATATCACACTGTGATTTTCCGATACAAAGAGCTTTTGTTCTAGTCAAGATTAAAGAGTAACAGTCTGATGTATTTTGAAGAATCAAATTAAGGGGTTTATGATAAATTCTGACTATTCTTATCTCTTATACAAAGGGATTTTAAGTACTACTAAGTATTCACACCCTCTTTGTTTTGTGAATTGTAATCAGTTAATCTGGTTTTTCTGTACAGCTGATTAACATCAGTTTGTTGCAGGCAGCTTATAGCAGTGACAGCCCATTATTTTTTTAGAGGAGCTATCTAACTTCTCATCCAAGTCTCACAGTTTCTTATCAAAGCCAGCTGTTTTAATCTTTGTAACCTGTGGTCCAACTGCCTTATTTCACCAGTGCAAGAAGAAATCAATTGGTAATAATTGCAGCTGGAAATGGCATAGCAAATGATGAGGAATAGAATTTGCACTTATGCATAGAAGTACAAGCCTGCTTCCTCAGCCCCAGGAGCAGCACTAACAGCACTTAAATTACCTTGTGTACCTCACATCTACATGAGCAGGTATAAATAGCTTTCAGTAGGCTTGTTCCAGAATTCCAAAAATAAAGCAAAATTTTCTTGGTTTATTCTGTTACTTTTGCAACAGTTGGTAACTTTATTGCTTCCTACTCAAGTTTTTTATCTTACTCCTCTTAAATAGTTAAAATTTCAATATGTTTGGGGTTTGTTTTGTTGTTTTAATTGCAAACAGGATCAAAGAGGAGCAACCTGCATTCTCTGTTTTTCCTTAAACATATCACTGAATTGGAAAAGCAAGACAGATATCTGAACTTGGCACAGAAATACTGATGTTTAGATGTTATTATGAGCATTACATTTCAGAACTAATGGATAAATCCCTACTTGTGAAGATTGAGAATCAGGAACTTTTCTAAGGAAAAAAAAACCTACTTTGTCACATCTTAGAGGCACTTTCACAGTTACCCATACTTGGTCCTCCTGGGAAACAATTCTCTTCAAGTGTGGGATTCTCCCAAGAAGTGGGAGAAGTAGCCCAGTTCCAGACTTACAGATTCAAACACTGTTTTCTGGACCAGTCGAGTCCCTCCAGGCTTTTGACTGTATTCACAGTCTGAAGATACTCTTAAACTCTAAACAACCCATGAAAAAGACTGCAAAATGAGAACAGCTGAATATGAGTAATCTGACAAACTGTCTCAATCAACCTAAAATCATACTTAACCCAACAGCATTTCAACTTCCCTAGATATTCTGCAGAGAACTCTTAATCAGCTGTAAGTAGAGACAAGTAGGGAAAGTTTTTCAGATACCTGGCCAAGCTATCTTCAGTAACTCATCCATTTTCCCTAAAAACACCATGAAAAAGCAGGTTTCATAAATGCATTTCTAATCTATGACAACACTGTAGTTACATCACAGTTACAACAACTCTAACCGAAATAAGACTTTAGAGCCACCAAGAAAACATAGCTTTTGTACTCACAGCAATCTTCCTGAAGAGCAGCTGTACAAGGAGATCCTCCTCAAGAAGCTACAGCACACATCCTCCCTAGAAACATCTGAAGACTACAGATACAAACCCTCTGCTTCTTTTCTCCTTTCTTGCTTTCCTTTTTTTCTCCTTTCTCTTTTCACCCAGCAGTCCCTCTGCCCCTTACCACTCAGTGGTGTCAGCTGTGCACACAGGTGCAGGTGCTCAGGCTCTGACCACCTTTGTCCCTTACCACTCAGTGGATGCAGCTGTACCCAGCTCCCTCACAGGTGCAGGTGGTTCGGCTCAGATCACCCTTTGCACCTGGCCCAAGAGAGACAATTCCCTGTCCCAGCTCAGCAGTTTGTTGGGGGGGGGGGTAGTGGGGCAAAGGCTATTGAACAGTTGTTGTCTGGTAAATAAGCAGGTACTATGTTAATCAGTTACTTTTTCAGAAGACAAATACGTTTAAAAGAAAGAAAAGCAACCAGCTGCCTTTTAGAGATCATTGCAAAGAAAACACCCCATAGTTCCTCAAGGAAATAACAAATGTGCTACTAGGCAGTGTGAGGGATCTCACCCACTGTGCAGAGAGGCTGATAACAGGCCAGTGTGGTAGTAGGATTCTGAGCATACTTAAGCACTTTGATTCTGCTAATTACAAGTAGGAGAGTTTTATAGGAAGACTACAGGAAAAGGTCCATACTGGGGAAAGATCAAAGTGACATGACACTGAAAGGCAGCATGCAACTGGAGGGATAGGGCTATCAGGGCAAGAGGCTTGGGAGCAATGCTGATAAAATATGAACAGCAGCAGCTAAAGGCAGAGGAAATGTAAGATGTGGGAAACCAAGTATTCAGCTGCTCTTTGCTGTTTGGAAATAATTTACTTATATGCATTTTTATATCACTTTTCAGGGATGTTTTCTCATATTCAGAGGTCACCAGTTCTGAAGAAGAAAGACTCATTTGAAGATTTAATAAGTATCCATATACATAAGAGTAGATCTATATTACTCGGCAGAGTCATTGGAAAGCTAGGAAAAAAGAGGAAATTACACATTTAGTCTAAGATTTTGATTTGTGGATAATTTTTAACTACTTCTATTTATTTTTTGTATTTTAATCCCCATTGATGTCAATTCATGTGGTGGAAGAAGGCATGTAACCTCAAGCACGACATCTCTGATTAACTTGGACTTATGGGTTTTCTTAATCACCAATGAATTAAGTCTCCTTACTAAACTGCATGATTTATAAGCAGTTGCCTACTTTAATCTATGTGTATATCAGGCTTCTTGTAATACATGTGATCTGTTCAAACTATTGTCTTTTGGGTGCCAAAACAAGAAATAACTGATTCTTCAATAAAATATAGACAAGCAGAGAAGGAATTTGTCAAAAAACCTCCACTGGCTACAAGGCAGGATTAGAGAGGTGATGGTGATGTTGGTTGTATGCAGAGCTGTACACTTGTACAGAGCAATCCCTGCTCAGAGACTACAAGAGACATCATCAAGAGAAGAAAAATGGTACATATTTCTACATGAAAAATACCTTCCAAGAATGTTTTCAGTTTTGCAGTAAAAGGGTTAACAGATTTTATCAGCTCCTCTGCTTTCACACTTAAAACGTTTAATCACAAAAATTCTCATCCTTAACTTGCATTTGCTTCTTTTTTAGTTTACAAGTTCTTTGTAGAAAAAACCTCTTCTGACTCTTATTGATAACCCTAGCAAGCAATTTGATATTAAACTAATGCAAAACAACTTATGGCAGGTAACATTTGATTGCTTTTATGGTATAAATTATTTCCATTGCCAGATTGGCTGGATGAAACCATGAATTTCATCTTTCCAGGGCTATTACATTTAGTTGTTCATTCAATGTTTCTTTTCTTGAGCATGTAGCAATATTTGGTGGTTTGTTTGTTTTTTCTTTTTTTTTCCAAAATGCCCACAGAAAAATGGGCTTCCTCATTGTTCATCAACTTGCAGAAATAAGTTTGAGTCACAAAACATGTAAAGAAATCTTGAAATGGTTACTGGCATGAACAAAATAAGGCTTAATCACAGTCCCATTGAGGGAAATCCTGACTTAAAGAAGAAAATAAAAAACTGTATGAGGGCTAGCAGCTTCAATGGCACTGAATTTGTGCTTCAAGTTAAGCATGCAGCAAACCATTTCAATGTTTAAGAGAGAACACTAAAGCAGGATAAACACAGGAATACACAGTTTATTGCACTCAACAACAGACCCCCAGTTGCAGCCACAGCCTATGAGAGTGCTTTGCTGCCACGTGGGAGGGCAGCAGGAGCATTGTTACAACAGATCTGCTCTCTCCTCCACTGATGGTGCTCATCAATTATATTATTGTCTCTAAAAGCCTTATTGTTGCAAATTTGTATCAATATAAGAGAGTCTTCACTCAGTCCCTACAGTCACCAAGACCAGCACCTGACAAAGAGTGTGAAGGGCTGGATGCTCAGCCCAGGAGGATTGGTATTGGAGTAGAGCAGGTATTACCTGTTGCCATACACTCCCAAGCTCCAGTAAGTGTGAAAGCAGACAGATTATCTGAACAGGTCCTGTTTAACTGAGATGCATTTCCACAGGGCCCTTTGGGCACCTCTTAGTGATTCCACTTTAGATAGGTCCCACCTGTAACAAGAGGATCCCTTAGGAAATGGCTCATTCAGCTTTCTTTCTCTCTTCAGACAGAAATACCACTATGGACCAAGACAATGTTTAGCTTAAATGAATTCACAATACTTCTCTGCTTCAGTAAGCTTCTTAATGAATAGGCTGTAGCAAAATTCAACCTTTGAGGCAATGGGCAGGAAAGGATGTGGAGGCAAGACTGACAAAACCGATCAGTCTCTAGGATAGATCACACTATGGAGAACATTTGGAAATTGCTGATGTAAAGAGGCAATCTGTGTTATTAACTGTGCTGAAATAAAAAAGGGGATGCAACTAACTACATGTAAATCTGCAAGTGATAGAGTGCAAGCGAAAAAAGAGTGTCTATATTAAAAAAAAAACCACAAGAGCTCTCAGTTTGAGATGAAAGTAGATCTGCTGTACAGGAACATTTAAAAATGTCACTGTGCTTAAAGACAGGATATTGCCTCCTACCACTGTTCCTTATCAAATTCATGGCAGATCTTTGTGTGAACTAGGATTTTTTTCACAGATATTGTTCCTGCCTTACTGTTTTTCAGTGAGAGTGTGTTTGAAGAAGGATGGGAGGAACGTGTCTGACTGAAATTCCTTCACTGTCATCTGAACTGAATAACAGCAAAATAAAGACCTTGTGATATTGTCCCCTTCATCTTACAGAGATCTGTGAGCTAAACAACTGCTTCTTAGCATGGAAAACAATTCTTTAAGTCTTTACATAATGACACGAAAAAAACAATTCATGATAGTTCAGGAATATCTATTTGTAAGAATTTGTGCTCCAGGTCTGTTCAATGTTGCTTCACACCAAACCAGCATTTGTCAGTTGCTATTGTTTCCAACCAACCAAGTTGAATTCAGATGCACACTAGCAGGAGATTTAAAGCCTCATCAGAAGCTGACCATAATCAACAAGTAGGTTCCTTGGATTGTTGTGTGTGTCTCTGGGCACTGGCGTATTGCAAAAGCTACGAGCTTCTACCTCACAATATATTTATTTATGTTATGTTATGGGTATATCCACTTTCTAATTACCTCATCACTATTTGTTCAATGGGGTCCTCCCTCCTCCCTCAATAAGTTTCTTTTTTTTTTATTTTCACCCTCTTTACACTACCTTTGCTACAGACAAACCACTTGTTAGCTTCCAGTAGCATACCATTATTTCTTGCTGTAAATTCTCGAGTGTTTGCATAACATGTAATTCAGGTCTCCTTTGACTAAAACTAGCATAAAGAATGAGGAATGTTCATTAATCTCACTACCACAGTGTAAGGTCTTTCAAGAAAATGGCTGAGGTGCTACCAACAGAAAATAAGATTTCTAGCCTCTTTAATGAGTCAGGCAGCCCCTTTATCTTGATGATTATAACTCATTCTGAAAAATACAACACAAGGAAAATCTATGTGGAAAATCTGTGTAGAGTTCTGCTAAGCAGCTTTTCTTAAGTCCTATGCTTTTCATTAGCCTTTTCAATCACATCAGCCTAAACACTGTTTGATTATATATGAAACAAAGGTTCAGAAAATTTACCTAATTTTTCTCCCAGAGCTTCCAAAAATATTTTGTTCTTACCTGAAAGAAATTTATTTTCTTTGTCATCACAGAAAAAATCCTGTAAAAACTTGGGCTGTTTTCTTTCTTGGCAAGCTGGTATCATTTCAGTGACATAATTAAAATCCTTAAAGGTATGCAAATTTTCTTGAACCATAACTGGTTTTGAGCATATGCAAACAGTTATTTACTATTTTTATGCACCTCCTGCCAAAGATTCATAGTAAATAACTGACTGTACATTTTTTTTCTCTCTGAAGTGGTACTGAATAATTTCAATTTCTCAGGTCTTTAAAATCCTTCTGTACATTACAGGAAAAAGTGTTTTCCTTGTTACTGGCATCAACAAGAAATAGAACACCATTCCAAGGAGGTAACTCGACCATGGGGTATCAACAGCTAAAGAGAGAGAAATGGGCAATCGTTTGCACTGCTGAGGAAGTCACAGCACAGCAGCTGGAAATCACCAACAGAGAAGGAATATAGCTCTCCAGAATCCTCCAGGTGAAGGCTCTAAATGCAGAAACCTGTCATGCTGTGTTATTACAGGCAACATCTGAGACACTTTAAAGAGTCTCTTTTAAGAGACACAGTATCAATTACCTTTAAGTAGTTCAGTGAAGTTGTAAGATGAATGGTAGCTTCCATCACTTACAAGCTGGTGAAATTACCTGGTGGATGAGGTCAGAAAAGGACCTGCAAACATGCTCAGCTGTAGAGAAGAACTCCTGGTGCAAAGCAGTTTGTTGGGCTGAAAAGCAGAATAAATTTTAAGTCTTTCTAAGCTTTTGGATGCTGCCAGAGCACTAGAAAACTCTTAAAGAATCTCTAAGATAACTCTGTACAAGCACCAGCTTTTTCTGTCATATTCCATATTACATCCTCATTATCAAAAGTGAGGCATCCTGAATGTTGAACAAAGCTCTGCTGTGTAAGACCTTTGATTACAAAGGGATTTTGTACTGCTGGAAGTCTCCTAGGACTAGAGTTATAGTTACAGAGTCACAGAAGTGGCAAGAGCAAAAACCTCTCATGCTCTCACCAGTTTAAGTTTGCTCCTTAATTGACTGCCAAGACTCATTATCTCTTAGGAGCTTTGATTCATCCAGTTCCAAATCAGTCTGAAATTAGGGGCTATATTTGGAATATGCTCTACCTTACTGCATAGAATAATACTACAAAGGCTAAAGCAAGATTCTGAGTTTCCTCTGAGGGTTACATGCCTATGAACAATATTATGGAATAAATGGGATGAAGGTAAGAAAACAGTGACAAGATGACTGGAGAACTTATACCTGGTTGCGTCTGGAGAGACAATGTGTCCTTCAGTTTCATCATTAGCAGTTCCAATTCCTTTCTCACTTCCTTCTCATCAGGTGGTATCTGCATTGCAGTGGGAATAAGAACTGTATTCCCCATTCCACCAAGAGAGTTTTCTGTCAGTTTAGGCAGATAGGTTTGTTTCTCTTTTGCTTGTTTATGCTGTCCCATAAACGGTTTGTCATTCTGCAGGGACACTGACTCCAGTGGGTCATTTGAGAATGTGAAGTCTACTGCAGTGGGAACCTCAGGTGTCTGTAAAAGCTGCATTCTATTCACAGAGTTTGGGGGATTCAATGATTTCCATTCTGCACATGTTCTGAAAATAGGCCTTATTTGGGCAGGATTTAATTCACTCTGCATTCTCCTTTCCAACAGAACATGTGGATTTCTTGGCATTCTATTATGACACTGTGCAAAAGGATGCTCTGATGACTGCAACATGGTCTACAATAGACAAAACACAGAAAATAAATTGTAAAAATAATTGGTATTTCTGTTTGCCAGTAGTACTAAAACAGTACTGCAGAAAATGCTACAAAAAATGTGTAGGAGGAAAATATGTAAACATTTTCTGTGAAACAAGAGCCTTTTAAGAATCTCAGAAATAATTGTAATGATAAGAATCACTATAATTGAAAACAAATAAAATATTTTCTATAAGATGTCTGTATTACATCCCAGTAAAAGACAGCAATTAGGAATGACATTATATTTATTCAATGCCAGCACTTTGACTCTTCTCTGAAGAACAGACTGCAATGAAGTATCTAACACTTCTGTTGGAAACTCTTACTGGAATATTCATTATTTTCATTGCACTAGTATTTAAATGTGCTAATATGAATATCTGTGCTAGATGTCAGATATGCACAGAATGACAAGAAAATACATACTGCCAATACCTTATCTGCTTTCTCTGAAGAGAAGAGCCTAAGATGACTGAAAATACAATTGGAAGGTGTATAAAATAGTATTAAGAGTGCTGGTCTACAGGAAAAGCAGTTGTTAGTGTTCAATAATGGCTCATAGCTGTGACAATTCTAGATATATATATATATATCACTATACCTTCACTTCTTCCTTCATGTGCTGCAGCGTCATTTGCAGGTTTTTATGGCTTACTCTCAGGCTTTGCAGTTTTGCCTCTATTTTGCAGCTTTTTTCTTCCTGGCAGTTATGAAGAAATTGCATTTTGTCCTTCCATTTGTTGAACTGCTTTTTCATGTACCTACCAGAGATACAGGAGGGTGGGATTTTTGCTAGACCAGACATACACAAATATATGCATTCATGGAAATGAGCAAACACTTTAGCACAATCTTTATCCCCTTTACTAGTTCAGGAAAATTTTGTCAGCTTTGGGATTAGAGGCCAATATTTCAGAAGCTGGACTGTATCCATGGAATTAGCAAGAACATGAGTATTCCAGATGAGGAAATATGGGAGCTGAGTAGAACTGCGGCCACATCTGAACCTTGCATCTTGGGGTTTTACCTTTCCCACAAAGGTGGCTGCAACACAAGAAACAATAGCAGTTCCTCTGCATAGAAGCAAACTACTTATAGCAACTCCCTGACCTGCAAAAGATTCCCATTACATACATGGGCAACAATGAAGTAAAAGCAGGTTCTGCCCTTTTGATAGAATTTCTTCTTGCTGGTGGTATTCTCTGCAGTTTCTTCAATGATACCAATAGCTTTCAAGCACAGGCCATTTTGAAAAAACACTCTGATTTTTGCAATCAGAAGTGCCATCCTCCTATGTACAACAGAGATTTAGAAACTACCTACTCAGAGCACAGTGTGACAGAAATACCACCCATAATTCTCTTCTAGTTGTGATTTCTCTAAGAAGTCAGCGTAGAAATAGTTTTGCTTTCCTCACAGCTGAGGTACAGACAGTAAAGTTTGTTAACACTACAGTAATAAACCAACTGCTTCATATGACAGATCTGAAATAGTTATCTGCCATGTTTAGTTACATTCAGAAGTTCACCTGTTTCTGTGATAATGATTTGGCTTAGAGACAGCAGCCTCATCATTTGAACTATGCAATATTTGTCTGAATGGGACAGCAAGTCAGACCATTTAAAATTAAAATTAATACTAATGGTCCCTTATAGCAATAAAGTGGTCCCTTATAACAATATTTAAGGGCTCCTCACTGTAAAATGCTGTCCTCCTTTGACTAACTCAGAGTCCAGTTCTGAGAACAGACGGGTGAATGCTGGAAGTCAGTCCACAGACAAGTGGACTGACTATGACTATGAGTAATGTGATTCATTTACCCAGTTCTATGATAAGCTCTGGGTCAGAGCAGCATTATAGGAGCAGGCATCCCAAATATCCTCTCAAAGATTGTTAATCTAAAGGAAAGCTGAAGATCTTTGCCATATCTCTTTATTTTCCCAAGTGAGAACAGACCCACAATGAAAATGAAATTGTTTAGCTCTAATCTTGGAGTGCCCTTTTGTGAACTTGGAGTTGCAATTGTACTTGGAATGAAGCAGAACAGGAACAGAGGGAACTGAACATACTGAAGAAAATAAAGAGAACAGATTCAGGATCGAATTCTACACTTTACTGTAATTCCATCATTTTCAGTGGTCATAGGCATGGTTATATAGAGCACAGTTATATACAACTACAAAGATGAACAGGGGGAAGGCAAAAATGCAAGTCAAAGGTAGGCATCATAGCTCACACACCAACTTCCTCCCTGCCATGTCACCCAAGCAAACAAGTCTCCCAAGAGATTATTAATTTAGGAATTAATATTTTACAATGTCAAAGATTTGACTATGAGAAGGAACTTCCACACCTATAGTATTGTATTCATCCTATTAATCTCTATTTGTTGTACAGCATATTTTTTAGAAATAAATTCTAATTTGATTTAAAAGCTTCATGCAAATTATGAAATTTGTTTTGATTAAGCCTTATTCAGAGAAAAATTTGAAAAAGTATGTTATTCTGACATTTTTATCTGGATGAACATCTTTTTGTCTAAAAATTCCTTTTAGAAATATTAACTAGCAATTGCAGAAACGCTGATGAAAGCAAACCAAAAACTGTTTTGTTTTGCCATTGTTTTTCCACTGATCTTCATCTAAAATTTTTGTTGCTGAGTTTTCATTATTCATCCTCATTTGATAGGATTTTTTAAGTCTAAAAATCTCCAAAGTATGGAAAATTTATCTGTCTTCTAGCCCTCCAGCTGGAGCAGCAATGCCCACCAGTCTTCAGTGAATTTACTACAGCATTTACCTACCTGCTGTCACTGTGAATGCTTTTAATGTATTCATGCATTTTTAACACATCTGCTTCAAAAGAGGCTATTGCCTAAAAAAAAAAGGAAGTATCTGTTCATAACTTTATCAGCAATAGCATTTCATTTTTATATGCAAGTTTTATTATAGTAGTCCATGGCAAATTTTGGATCTGACAGATCTACAGATTTACTAGTTAACCTTTTAAACTTAATGTATTATAATCAACTGATGCATTAAAGTATTTCAAATGGCTGGAAAATTTATTCTATAGAACAAATTCTTTGTTCTACAACAAATTTAAGTGTATGAGAATTTGTTTGAAAATAGAACAAAATCCATATTCCTGATTTCTGCAAAATCAAATATTCTGATTTGGGAACAATCTCTCTCAAGTCCCACAGCTGCTTTGAGACAAGAAGATGTTGAAAGAGACTGTATATAGAAAAGAAAAGAGAAACTCCTGGTCTTTAAATGGAAGTAGCATTCTCTGGACCATGCAGAGAACAGTAGCCCAGAAGTCAGGGAGACAAACATTTTCCAGCTAGGTTACTTTTGAGCCATGATATAAGTTTGGCAGGGATCAGGGCTGCCAGGAAATTATGAGACTAAGAGCTGGATCAACCAGGACCTCCATACTCATAGATTCTATTAAAAGCGATCATTGTCCACATACTGTCCACACTGTCCACATCTTTTTAATCAAAGTGGAAATCATCTGCACTGTAAGATCTTAGAAATCAGTATAAGACTGCTCAAAAGGAATCTTCAGCCCAGAGAGAAAATAAACAAGAGAGCAAAGCACCTGACAGAATCCCAGCACAGGGATGCAAGTCCTATCCTGCTGTTTTCTAAAATGACAAATGCCAACCGTCAAAATTCTATGTTTAAGCAACATCTGCCCACAACATCTCGTGCAGATATCTGCTGGCTGGCACTGTAGCTTGAGCTGGGCAGCAGAGTTCTAAAAGACAGGTCTTCCAAAGGGCAGCACAGGATTAGCAGCCAAAGGAGTGACCTGATACACACAGGCTAGTATTGTGTTACTGCACCCCTTGGCTCCTGGGAAGAACAAGATGAGTGGATGACACAAACTGGTTTGAACACAACCCAGTGTTCCCTGTATTCTGAGTAAGTGCAGAGCCAATAAACTCTCAAAAAATATAGAAACAAAAAATTGCTACGTACTTTTTTTTAGCTAAACTGCCCTACCCACTCTTTTAATATTGTTTCTTTGGAGAAAAGCTAGGAATGGATTAATAGAGACCTTTTGTGCATTAGCTATTTTAGTTGGAGTGGACACTGCTCTGAGTTTATCCTAAGAGGGCCCATTCTGTCCTCTTGCTATTTCCATGGTAACAAAAATGGCCTGAGTCTGATAAGAATTCAGGTATTCTTCTTTGACATTTGCTTGCAGTAGGAAGACATGATGGCCTTTTTTACTGTCAGAATAGCGAGAGGACTCCAGACTCATCTAGACTTTAGCATGCTACTCTACGACATCTCAAAAAACCCCAAGGCAAATATTCTTACAGGTGCTTCTGAAGGTCATGAAAGTCAAGGAGTTAGTCACTAATCTTGGGAAGACAACAAATTCAAACCTCACTAAGTTTTCCAGTTCCATATTTTTCACTGTAAGTGAGGAATTTACAGAAAGGTGAAGTTGCCCATTACATTTTCACTGAAATTGGAAGACAATTAGATAATTAACTTGCTAGATCTCCTTCACAGGTTTAGCACTATTACTGCTTTGTGTTTTGCTCACCTGAGCTATTGTCTTGCCTTGCTCTGGTGTCATCTTATTATTCTCACTCTTCTGCATTACAGTCCTGTTTTCAGGTATGAACCTAGGTGACTCTGGGACACAGTTGTCCACTGGGAAAGACACATTTTCAGGACCAAGTAGTGGTGAAGCACTGAATTCCACAGGAGGACTGTATACCAACAGAGAAGTAATGAGTAGGGAAAGGATCAGGACTCATTGTTTTTCTACCCAGGAAGACCCAAATGCAGAAAACTAATGCAGTGTAAATAGACAGACAGATGTGTTATTGACTAAGCAAGAAGTAAAATTTAGCTATGCCTGCTGGCATATTTTGGTTAAAAGAATGAAATTCCTGAAAACGAATTCCACTCTCCCAACAGAATCTCAGCAACAGGTTGTTCTTTCCACCCATTTATTCTCAGTGCAATTTGCTGCTTCGTTTTTTTGCTCCATTTAGCCAACGTAACCTTCAATGCTCATTATTAACCACTGTGATAAGTGGAAATATAGTAATGACTTTAAATATTAACCAGAGCACAAAAAACAACTGGTCTGAAAGAAGAGGAATGGTGAGATCATCTACTTGCTATTGTGAGTGATTCCACAAGTCTGCAATTTAGTGGGACTTTAGTAGAATGCCTGCCAGTGAATGCACTGTGGGTCACATGTGGAAAGTATTCACAGTTAATTTCCAATGGATTTGTCACAGAGGAGGTGTGACAAGAACCCATGCAGTTGTAAAGGTAGTAAATATTTGCAATGCTTGGCCCTAGACTGAGTATAAGAAATGGAACAGAGTGAAAAATACAACATAAGGAAGGAGGGAAGCACAATACAAGCCTGTTATATTTTATAAGACAACTAATCATTAGGTTGTCAGCATGGTAACCATGCTTAAGCTACAGAAAAATGTGCAGCAACTTCTCAGTTATTCTTTCCCTTTTTAATAGAAAAATCATGACATGGTATCTGTCATAACAAGGTCCCTTACTCAAAGGACATAATCAAGCAATATCCCACAGCCTGACATGCAGAGATTATAAATTCATCTGACACCAAAACTCACAAAGTCTTTTTGTGAGCAGGGAAGTGCCTCTCCTGCACTGACTCCAGAACCGTCCTTCTCTGAGCCTCTTTTCTTCTGCAGCGCTCTTGGAACAGGTTGTTCCTGATGGTGCGGACAAAGTGCTTTGCGTTCGCCTTTGCTGACATCTATTGGAATGAGGGATAATAAAGAAGAAAGTGACTTTTCAAACAGGTGCTGCCCAGAAACAGACATATTCCAAAGCAAAGGTCCATCTGTTCATCATCTGACAAGGCTCATGGCTGCTATCTGAGCCCTAGAAGGGGAGCTGAGGTGGGTAATGCTTGCAGGGCCACAGGCAAGAGCAGCTCCAATTCTTTTAGGCAAAATACTGACTGGATCAAAGTCAGACAGCCTGGAAATGCCTAAACACAATGATTAGGCTCACAGTCACAACAATAATTCTGCTGACTAGTATCTAAGGAAGAAATACTTTTATACTTGTATAAAGCATTTGTAGATATAGTCTTCCACGGCTCACATCCTCCTCTCACAGAATACAGTAAAATATACATCCATTTATCACAGGAGTGTCAGGCTCATGCACAACAACTAAGGTTAGTAGCTGTATTATTGGAGGACACCAACCAATTCTGCCCCAGGTGACTGCTGCAGAACATGGGGTGAGCCCTGACAGACAGAACAGGAAAACAAAGAAAACACACTACACGCCTCCTAGTGTTTCTCAACGATGTAGCAACGTTACCACAAGGTGTCAGCACGGTAAGGAAAAACTGCTGATATTGCAAACCTCCACTCAGCAACTCAATTCCTGATAAAGACAGTGTGAAAAGGACAGCATCTGCTAAGAGTGGAAGGGATGGGGATAGCAACTTACTGCTGATTATTTTATGTCCCACACAATAGATATAAAAATGATATCTGTCATAGTGAGTAGCTTATCTTTTAAATTTTGGTATAGATTTTGGCCTGTATTGTAATATTTGGCCTATAAAGTAATATTTACAGAGTTTTTGTTAGAGTAGGGCTTCATAAAGGAAATCTAAATTCAGTGATTCAATTGCAATTCTGCAGCAACAAAGTGGCTGCAATCCAGGCTGCAACATCTCTTGCCTTGGTTTATCTCCTGTCCTTCCTTCTGGTGCCTCTACAAACACACATTCCCGTTCACTCTCAAGTCACACTAATTTTAAGGTCTCTACTTAGAAATCTCTTAATGAGGAGTTAACTTTTGATTTTCCTACTTTCTCACAGATGGAGTATGAGGAAGAATATTTGAAGGACTGAACTGTTATTTTTAATGCAGATATTGAGCATCCAGTTGTAATTTCTCACAATGTAAGCAAAAGGATTTTGTTTTCAGAAAGAGAACAGTGAAGTAGCAAGAGTTTAATGCTACCTCAGACAAAGGGTGACTACAAGAGCAGTCTAATAGTATCTAGTTTTAATGCAAACACTGGCTACCCAGGTATCTTTCACATTAACTGCAGAGGATTGGGAAGGTGAACAGGAAGTATAGGTTTCTAGGGAAACTTCCCTAAGTTTCAGCTCATTTACTGGAACAGAAAGATACAGTTATATAGATCCACAAAAAGCCCATCTGGTGCTGTGTGCAAGATCTGGAATCTCCTGCTCAAAGGAGAAGCCGGTCTTCCAAACACAAATTCCCAGTGTTGTACTTTGTCACTAGTGTGATGATAGCACAAGTTGCCCCTGTAACAGAATCCAGGTATGTGATCTTAGTTGGGCACGTGTTACCTCTTCGTGCTGTATCCCTGACAGAGACAAATGAGTCAGAAAGGTTTACAGTAAAGTGGAAAAACTGAAGACATTCAGAAAAGAGAGAAAAAGAAAGACATTTCATGCAGGAGTTTTTATAACTTTAGAATTAGTGAATTTCTGGATGAGTCTGCATTGGGATTGGGGTGAAGGAACACTGGGACATTGAGGAGAATTTTCATAAATTTAAGAATTATCTGCTAACAGAAAATTTGCCATAAAGCTTCTTAAGATGAAGACTTGCACTGGGATATTCATAGCTCTATTCAGTTACTTCAGAACAGAATATTCATTCTAAAGTTAGAAGCCTGCTTTTGTCCTTTCCCTATCTCCCTGTTCCCAGACTAATAATGCTAATATGTCATGGCCATTATGGCTAATACACACATAACTTTGAAATGCTTGTAGTTCAAGAATCTACTTGCCTCCATGAAGAACCACAAAAGGGAATGAATCAGTACAATAGGGCTTTACCTGCACACAGTGTTCCACAACAGGATGTGATCTCTTATGTGGTTTGCAGAGACGGCCAGTGAAAAAGCAAGCTTGGCAAAGGTCAAAATTGAAGCACTTTAAACAGCGATACCTGTGAAGGAAAACAAAAGGATTTCTTTACAAGTAAGAACTTGATGTAAGTAAGCTTGATTACTGTAAACTCAGATCCCTGGGCTCTGAAATTCAAAGAAACATCTTTGTTAGAATAATGACTTTCCTCAGCGTTTTCTGAATTCAAGCTATTTTTCTCAAATGATTGAGGACTTTTCTCTGAACCCATCAGTGGTTTTGATCTTATTTATTTGCTGCACTGAAATGCAGTCCGTGGAAGAAACTGTTGTTTTAGCACCATTTCCCAATTTTCATAATGCAGTTACAACTTCATATGCTTCTTACACACCAGCTTACCTCTATTTGCTGCTTCCATGGAACTATAATATTGACATGAGGTCCATAAACAAAAAACTAAAAATACAAGAAACTAAATCTGCAAGCTTACAATTAGCGAGAATATAGTACCAGTAAAATGCTTTTCTGAGCATTCTGGTTAGATGGTAATGGATAGTGTTCTTTTTATACCACTATGCCATTATATAACATTACTTAGATGACAAAGCTGCTAAGATGGAAAACTTAACGAGCCAGTTAATACAATTGGTTACAGGAAAAGTAATTAAGAAATGAGATACACAGGTTTAATTGCCTTTACCCTTGGACTGCTGATTTACCTGTGGCCAGTTTTCATGTTTGTGCTAGTGAGCTAAAGAGAAGTAGGATGAAGACTTGAGCATTAGACTGCAGTGGTTCTCTCTATCCCTCTTTTCCTGGTTAAATTAGATTACATCCAAAGCTTGTTACTTAGTACATCAGTTACAGCCTGTAAGGTATGCAAACAATGGTAAGAACTAATTGTGTGGATGCTAAAGACCACTGACACACCTGATGCCTGTAATGGGGAAACCTTTGCAGACTCTGCATCTAGCTTGGTGAGAAACCATTTCCGTGGCTGATAATCTGTAACATGTAGGGAGCCACAGGAGGACAGCAGGCTCTGATCTCAGCCAAGACAGGAATTTTTCTTCAACAATAGCTGCATTCAGAACCTAGAAAAAATACATGTCTCAAGCTCATACATTCACTTGAAAAAAACTGGTGGTTCATCTACAATCTCTAATGAAAGCTCTGATATTGGATTTTGCTGGCATAAATTTTCCATTCATGTAAAATGTTACTGGGTTCCAAAGGTTTTGGAATAAATGCTAGAATCTTCAGTAGTATCTTACTGAGCATCTTTTCTATAGATACAAATCCTCCCATACTGTGAGACTGATGATCAGCCCTGCTTCTTAAAAGTAGATACTTAGGGATGTTATGTGGTGATACACTTGAAGTTTTAATCAATCAGCAACATTCAGAATAATTTCCCAGGACATCAGAATTTCACTCACCCCATGGAAACAGTCACGAATCGCAATTTCCACACAAGACAGAGTGCAGCCTTCTCCCACAGTGGCTGGGACCTACATCAAGAAGAAGGGCTCAGAAACACCTCAATAAAAAACAGATGTTCCCATCATGCTCTGCTGCGATGGTGACAGCACACAGATGGTGAAGTATCTATAGCAATGCCATTTTACACACTATTCTGAAGAAAGCCCGTTCATATTCATGCCATCAGTATGCAGTTTCACAGTTCAGGGTGTGTCAGAATGATTTGTTTCCAACCCACTTACTGTAATGGATAAACATACTAAATTTCCACACTATACTCCTGAAGTTTAAATCCCAGAGGTCATTTTCAGATCTCATTTTCAGCACCAGTTCAGCTGGAAATACCTGTATGCTAAGGCAACTTGCTGCAACTGCAAGCTGTTCTAGTGAGTACAGACATCTGAAGTTTGGAGTTGCTTTAGGAACAGTTGTATTCAGCTGTTTCCAGGATCTGTAAGCTCAGGCAACAGAGCATTCACTAATAAAAGTGGCTATTTTGATAAAAAGGACAGAATTTGATTCTTTTACCTACTTTGCATGACAGCTCCCTATACCCACAGTTGTCTTATTAACTTTAGTCCCATAAGGTAATCAAACATAAAAGGTTTCAACCATGAGGGATTTTCTTCTGCTAGGTTAGCACTCTCCTACAAAATCTGTTGAGTAACTGACTGACTCAACAGAGTGAGCACTCAACTGACTGAGCACTGCACTGACATTACCTGATTTAAGTCTGTTAGAAGGCTTCTCAGGGCACTTCGGGTAATCAAGGTCTCCTTCCCATCAGGGACAGCATAAAACTGGAAGAAAGCTGAAACAAGGAAAAAAACCCTGGAATCCTGGCAGAGTCTGAACTGTCTTCAAGCTATCTTCAAACTGCTATGGTAACTGCAGTCTAACAAAGACACCCTTCCAGAAAGTTTCACTATATTTTGTACCTAACAGGCTCTCAGTGACTGCTGTAACCATAGTTCTCCCTATAGTGAGGGAAAGAGAAGGAAAGCAAGGAAAAAAGCAATGAACTCATTCTTACAATATTAGGAAAAATATTTAAATATGTTTATACAAGAAGTGCTCTATTTAAATTGTGAATTGCTAATTTAAAACCATGGGGTTTCTGTTATTTTCTGCTAGGCAAAGAGAAGTTTTACTTAAATGTCACTATAACCTCTTCTGAGGTTCTCTATTGCAAAGATGGCTACAGATATTGATTGGAAAGCATTATTCTGCATCAGCCTTTCTCTACAACTAAGCAGTCAACATAATTTACTTTTTTCATGGCAGAGCTTTTATTTTAAAATAAAAAAAAAAGATGGTGGAAATTTTCCTCAATGTTCAGTATTTCAGATAGTGTATAAAATCATACATTTCCCACCTCTGTATTTAGCCAGTAGAGTATCTCCTGAAAGGGAAATTAGGGCAGCTGCAGCAGATCTAGTTCTGACATACCCCGTTCCAGATCTAGGAAAATGAAATAAGTTACACTATTCTCATTCACAGAGAATATAAAGACTGAAACATCTAAAGAATGGAATACTGCTATGTAAGAAGAAAACTTCAAAACATGTATCCTTTTATACGTATAAATGTAACCAAAGTAACATTTCAGTAATATTTTATGTCTAGAACCTTTTGTCACTGAAAATAACTGCAGAGTTAACTGTTCCAAGATACCATGCAATCATAAAACAAAAAGAAAACATCTCCTTCAGAGACTTCACATTCCAAGTAAAATGTAATTTTACATTTACAATGTATGTCCTAAAAAAAAATCTGCTCTTTTTATTGTGGGAAGCCTTCCCAAATACAGTACTGAATAAAGGATGTAATCTAAGTTTTGCATATATCATCAGGCAGCTCCACTGTGGCCCCAGATCTGCACTAAGCTTCTCTTGGGCTGATTACATTTAATTTCACTGAAACTCAATTTAATCAAAAGGATCTATGCAGGAGCAGGACATTTAGTTTTGACCATTAGATAATAATAACGTGGATTAATTTAGAACCAAATTTTGTGATGTAGGCACCTAATGAAAAACACAAATTTTTTTTGTGAAGACGATGCAGACATTAATCAGAAACCACAAATCAGGAAATCCCAGAAATCTATATTTAAGATATTACTTTTGCAAAGATTCAAAATATGTCTTCAAGAGTCTTTAGATAAACCCACACTGTGTAAAGCTGCAATACCGACTCTCAAGTATGAACTGCATGGGAAATTGTTGTTTTTCCAGAAATTTCAAAGAAAAAACTCCAAGACTGAAGCTGAAGTACACAATCAAGCACCCTTAAGATGTTTATGTAAGCTTATTAAGTAAATACCACAAAAACATGGAAAGTTCCTATGTGCTCTTCCTATTAAATACTTTCCAATGTTAATAGTGGACAATAGCACTCTATAGAGAAAACATGATTAGAAAATTATAAGCAGCTCTTCCTATCTTATATACACTTCGAGAAACCTATTAAATTCTTTTTAAAAAAAGAAATAGCAGCAAAAAGAAAATGGCACCCCTAAGACATCCCTTAGAAAACAGACTAAAAGACTAAGATAGTACTATTAAGAAGATTCTTCTACATCATTTCCTTACAGCACACAAAAATTACAAAATACTCTTGATGTTTCTAGCTTTATTTCTTATAACAGCACTTATTCTTATCCTTAATGGAATTTTTACAATAAATTTTGATAAAGTGGGACCTTTAGCAGTAATGATCATATGAGTAATGAAAAAAAAATTCAAGAAAAAGTTCTGCAGACCACTTACATCTCATTTACTTTCAGTAAAAACTTTACTATCATGTAGAAGGGAAAAATTTCACCTGTGGTAAATAACTTGGACAACGAACTTAGTCTGTCTTTTAAGTCTGATACAATCACAAATCAATCCTGCCTTTAGTGAAATAACTCATTACTTACAAACAATACATAAGAAAAATACACTCTGTGAGGTGTTTCCTTATTATTTTCAGAAACTGTGCTATTCACTGAGCTGCTCACCTTAGTTATGACACATCAATTTTGTTTCATAATTGGTAGATTAACTTTTTAAACTAGAGGAAAATGAATAACAAAAAGTGACTGGCAAATTCCTGATCTGTGCATGGGTACTGTTCTCCTGAGGGAAATATGGATTCATTTTTAGGAGGGTACCAAAATATCTTGGAAGTCAGATGAAAAGCTACTCTGTAAAGCTGTTCAGAGAAAAAGTCAGCATGGACTGGCAAAGATAGTTTTGGGAGCATTTGAGCACTGTGTTTCTGATGCAGTTTTGTGCCTTATATTCCTACTGCTGAACTACTCCTAGTTTTTATACAAAGCATAACCAATCAAAATGGGGGAGTTTCACACAGAAATGGTGTGAGAGTGGTAGAAACAGACTTAGTCTAGCTCTGCTTTGGATGGGAGCAATATGTCCTGTCCAAAAACACATTCTTTAACTCTACAGTACTTCACAATGGATCTACATTTCTTCTTCTTCTCACCTGTCATACATGGCAATCAGCAGGCTCAATGTGAATTCAGCAGCTCTTGGATCTACCTGGCCTGGATTTTCTGACCTTGCCCTTTGGAAGAGCTTCATCAGCATTCTAGAGATTTGCTGCCTGTTCAGAGAAATCTGCTCTTCCCTCTGGCTTTGTTCACTTGATAGGATGTGCTGAATCAGAGAAACGTCAATCAAATCCACTGTGGGAAAATTAAGGAAGAAATGAATGAGGGTCCCTGCCTTTTTATGAATGGAAGCATGACTATTTTTCACCAGAAATGCCTAGCTAAGACAGGCCTGTAAAATGAAGCCTAAAACAGCACACCACATAAAAAGAAAACCAGTACCTGTGGTACTTCTACATTGACACAGAGCATCAGGCAGATGCTCATATGATTTATGCCTCAACCATATCAGGAATGAGACCAAACTAAATGTATTCATAGAAAAGCATTCCCAAATGAAAGAAATATGTCCAAGGCCAACAAACTAGTCACCTTCTCTGTGTTACCCTGAAGACCTCATTTGCAATGTTGTGCATTTTCAGCACAAATAAAAATTTCAAGATTTCCATGAAATTTAGCTCAGTATGGAATTTACATCCAGTAATTTCAAAGTGAGCTAAGTGACCAGGACTTTGTTGCACAACTCTTTGATTGCACTGAATTCTCCCTCATTTCAAAGACACGGAGAATGAATACCAACCAGAAGTTTTCTGCTCTATCATGTTCTATTTTGTTCTCATTAATTCTTATAGTCCAGTCAATGCATTTTCAATAAGCCATGATTATTTCCAATAAATCAGCTCCTAAGAAACACCTTAGAATTTGACTTTTCAAGATCATAATAATAGATTAATAATTGTCAGTGGTGTCTACATAGTATTGCTGCAGATGGTAGATATACTTTGATTCTCTCATAATTTTAGAATTTCACTGATGTATTTCCATTGACATTCAAAAGGAAAAAAAATCAATTTGTATATGAAGCACTATCTAGATCTTAAGTGTTCATAATCCATTCTGAAACTCCAAGGTGGAAAATGAGAGAGCAAAGTAGCATAATAACTCATGGTGACAGCAATGCAAACTTGATACAGATTCTCCTTCCTGTAAAAGCATAGGGTTCTCTTTGGCTACTAACACTGGCAAAGACTTTGTACTGAGCGTAGTTTTAGGGCTGTTCTGTATACGGAGTTCTCAACATCATTGAAGGCCTCTGTGAAAGAAAACAAACACACATTACAATGGAGTGCTTCATTCAAAACTAACTAAAAATCAAAACAACCAAATTTGGAGTTTCAAGTTGATCAACACTCTGAAGGAAAATTTGGGAGAAAAAAACCCCAAACAAATAGAACACATTTCCTGTTTTAATAAATAACTTTGTAGGGTGAACAATCTTCTTGTAAACAGTAACACCATCTCTTGTAAAATCAGAATTTAACACAGAGAGCACATCTGTTTCTTTGGGAATCAAGTTTATTCATATATCAGAACAAGGCCTGTGGGGGTTATGCACTGTGCAAACTTTTAGCCAAGATCATAATGAAATAATATTTCTTCACACAAATAGGTTTTTTGATCAGAGATGCTCTTCTTCAAGGAACAGTTTGTCAGTTTGCACAGCAGGGTTATTGTTTTGGATGCATATTGTTTCAAGCACCAAACAAATCTTCTGTCAAGATCAACATGGGGGACTCTTGCAGAAGAAGACAAGCCCTTTACCACAGCAAATTACTTTTGACATCTCTGTTTAGCAAACCCACTCAATCTGCTTGACTAAATCCCATATCCTTATACGATTTCAGCTTATTTCTTTCACATCAAGAAAGGATGTTTTTCTGAGTGGAAAGTAAGAGATGCTGACTGTGACCTATACTCAATACTTTACATATACCCAGAACTTCAAGAACAAAAAACAAGGCTTGTTTACTAAACTTTAGAAACTAAAAAGGGATTTACCAGTTATTCTTCTGTCCTCAGAGACTCTTTTCTCCCTGTACTTCAGAGAGAGTTACACACAGTTGATTAAGGCTAAAGATAAGCAATAAATATGTATAAATGAGTAGAAATAACTCACAAAATACTTCACCTGTTCAGTCTGGAAAGGTGCCAATCTGTGTGCAATGGTTTCCAAGAAATACACCAGATTAATATTAATAGTCAGCAGATTATGGGCTCTTCTGGTTCCCAGATGCTGCCTAAGCTATAGAGAGATGCCAATAACTGCTATACCATCTGCTTAGTCCTGCTCTTGTCATACTATGTTTTGTGATATTATTTGGAGATGCAATGTAGCATGTCATAGAATGTGAAAAATGAGTTTTGACTTCCACGCATCATCAGTTCTCTTTCCTCAATAAACTGATCCAAAGCCCTTTTGAAAGAAACAGAACAACTCCCACAGTTTTCATTAGGCTATGGATTAAGTTCCAAATGCTTATTCTCAAATACAAATGCTAGAAATAGACATATGATTCAACTCAAACACCTTCCATGCACAAGATGACTTTCAAATTGAAGAGAATCTGTTTTAGTAGCCATCTGCTACTTAATTCTAGTCCACCCTTACAAACAAAATGTGGCCTCAAAGTAGGGCACTCTGTGCCTGTCAAACACAGTTCCAGAATTAACTTGTGAGGACACATAAGTAAAATAGCAAATTATTTTAGCATTATTGCTGATGAGAGGCTATTTAGGGACAATAAAATATTTCATTTCTCATAGGAAAGGGGCTTCCCCTCTGGACAGAAAACCAGCATGTAATCATTCTGCTGTGGGTCAAATTTCACCTCAAGAAATATAAATGCCCTTTGTAGAGAAGCTGACAAAGGAGCTCCTGCACACATAGAAGTGTGCTGATTCCTAACATCTCCAGCTGGTTACCTGCTATTCTGCATTTTGAAGTGCTCTGTGGCAGATGAGGTGTCCGCTGAGATTTTGCACTCAGAAAGGGAACAGACATCTTCATGCCTGTTCCAAAGTATGAAAAGCACCTTAGCATTTATTATAAATTAGAGATCATGGCCCTGTGTGCCTGACTATTCCATAAGCCAATGTGATAGTGGCAAGGAAGGTGCCTGGACACATCCAACAATAAAGGTAAGACATCACAGCTCTGTAATTTGTCATTTACATGCTACAGCACAGAGATTCTCAAGGTGGCATGATTTCATTAAAATTCAGTAGTTTCTGCTCAAAAAGACACAGAAATGCGTTTTGAGAAAAGTTGGGGGAAAATAAGAAAAATCCTTACCCTGCAAGTCTGGATCCATTTGAAATTAACAGATGGCATTAGGCATTCTATAACAAAACAAACCAAAGTGTAAAACCACATATTCTACACAGAGACATATTGAACCATTCAAATTAAACCTTTTAATCTGAACAATTCACTGGATGCATTTCAGAAATTAAATTAAACAGAATTACATTAAACAAAATAGTTTTGGTGCCACGTGCAGAGAAATGCCAGCAAATGGCAAGCTCTCTGCTCAGCATAAAATAGGAGTAATTCAAGTAACTGCAAAACTGTAGTACAGCAAAACCAATCCTCAAAACAGTTTTAAGTACAGGAAATGAGATCTTTCACTATTAAGAGCTCAGTGTTTACACGCAGGATTACTACATGGTCCAATGTACAATTTCAGGTCATAGAGGGCATATCCACACCAGACTCTTCCTCAGATTCACTGATTGCAATTATTCAAAAGTATTTTCTAAAATTTTCAAGCAAAACTAAAGTTTTAGGCTGAGCTAGCATTATTTCATATTGAGCTGTTATGGAAGGGGAAAACAAAGCTTAACCATGTACCTACTTACATTAACAACTGTGAAAGCAAAAGTAGTTATGGCCCTGCAGTAGTGGAAACTGAATGTCTCCCCTCAGGATTTATTTCACTAATGCTCTAAACTACATTATATTTCCAATCACAGAAATGTAAGTATGAATTAACTAGTAGTAACTATCTTTCAGCTAACACTGCAATTGCAAAACACTAGGAATAATGGATCTAAGTCACACAAGATTCCAAAGGCAATCTATATCGTTTATTGTGCAGAACAAAGGGAAAGTTTGCTAAAATAAATAAAAATTAAAGAGTTGGAAATTAACTAAAACTTAAATAATAAATTTGATGTTAAATCTGAACTTAAACAAATGTTCACTTCTTACATTTTTTCAGTTAGAATAATTGATCATTTGTCATAAACACAACAGAATACTGGCCATTTATGAAGCATAAATATTCAATTATCTAAAATTATTGAGTCTACCATAAATATGCTCCTTACCATTTTAATTGGTGAAAGCTGCAATTTGTGTTTCAGTCTCTAAATTTCAGCCATAACCTAAATTTAGATGCTTAAAATATTGAGATACAGATTTGTTTTAATAGTCTTTTTCATTCAAGACTACAATGACACAGTTTTTACTGTAGTCCTTCTTTGAAAAAAATACCACTATGTTTCTTTTACACTGTTCTATTTTCTTTCTTACTAAGGGTTCTACAAAACAACAGCTCTGCCCAGCATTTACACAGGCACATAAGTTTGCCTATAGATAGATATTCATATGCAATATATATGAAAATATGATACAACTGTTCCTAAAATAGCTGCAGTAGTAGGAGTCTCTGCATAACTTGACAGAAAAGTTCATGTACAGAAATCAGTGAAATCAGAAGACACAGAGCAATGAATTAAACATAAGTGTTTGGTGAAAGCTACATGTAGCAATCTAGAAGGTAGACTTACAAATGCACAGCTTACCTCCTTTATTTTCTCTGTACCAGAGGTACATAAAATAAAGAAAGTGGACAGGATGAATGTAAAACTATTCAGGTTAAACTCACTTAAATTAGAACTCATTAGAATTTGCTCACTCAAATAAGAACAGATCCACTGACTTACTGAGTTATACAGCATGCATAATATATGAGCGCTTGATACTTACTGTAATATGACCAGATCTCTGTCCAGTACAACACAATGTCTAATATTTAAATCACCCATATGGAAAAACACACTATAGTCTTGTACTAGGGTATTCATAGTCTCAAAGTCAACCATGTATTTCTGTGTTTTACCAAATTACATCATATCTATGAACCCTCCTTCCAAGAAGTTACAGAAGACATTATTAATGTATGCACAGTCTACACTTTCATATACAAAACTCTGTGGACAGTCCAGATCTTGACTGCAGTGGGAGTGCCTGGGTGAAACAAAGAGAATCTACTTCAGTGTTAGCACATGAACACAATGTGAAAGCAGAAGCAGCATCTGCTGCCCATGAAATCTGAAGTAACTTTGCCCATTGATACACTCTTTCAGCCTGTGTTATATATCAGTTACTTGTGTGCTTTAATAGTGAAAAACACTTAAGAAAACAAACAAAAAATTAAAATTATGTACAAATACTCAGGAAGTAAATTGTTACAGTTAACAGTCCTGGTCCCATTAACATGAATACTCTTATGTGCAAAACAAGGATAGCCTTTTTCTTGACTCTTAGCGGAATGTGAAAGAAAAGTAACACTTGATTACTTACATGTACTTTGTTTGACATACAGGTTCTCAGAATATGTACTTTAGCAAATAAAATGTGTTTTGAAGCATGTTACATAATTAAATTAAAGTAGAGAGAAAGACGAGCCACATGAAGTAAGGCAGAAACCTCCCAGCAGATCAATCAACTTGATCACAGAGACTTTTCTTTTGAAATCAGACAACATATGATGAACATCTTAAATATGCATAAAAGAACCTACAGTTACTTATGTTTCCTGTGAAGGGTGAAGATATTCTATGTTTTATTCAAAGGCCAAAATTACTGTCTCCTCTTAAATACAGTAGCTGCGCTTACCTTCCTCTCATTACTTACTGAAGGTCCAGAAGTCAGATGACACTGCCAGAGAAGTCCAGTAGTTTTACAGCACTTAAAAGTTGACTTCAAGACACAGTTCTAAAGGTTTTGCTTTTAAATTAAAGCTGCTCACAACAAATGCCTAGCAAAGGCCCAGATCAAAGTATCAGGTAATTGTCTAAGCAGTCAAAACAGAGAACACTAATTAATTAGTAATAAATATCCTGAATTATTAAAGATAAAACTTCTTTGATCTTTGTTTCAAAGCTTTTTTTTTTTAATGGTTGGAGTGCAATATTTCTAAATTGAGAGGCCTTTGCTAAGCATCTCCCAGTTGCTGAGAAACTGTTGCTATAGAGACTGAAAATGAGGTAGAAGCTGACAGAGTAATGCAGAAAGCACAGTGTGCTGTAACAAAGAGTTGGGGCAGCTACACAAAGAAGAAAAATAGTAAGCCCTAGTGGTAATTCTGAACTAGAATTGTTCAGAGCAACCACAAAGCTCTTCAGCATACCCAAATGCTAGGGTTTAAGAGGAATCTATATATAACATTTGTAAGACACAACTTAAAGCCCTTCTCATAAATTTTTCAACGGTTACCATCACAGCCAGGTAGAAAGAGTCATCGATACCATGAATATCCTGTACACATAACATGACTTAGGGACTCGGGAAAAAATGTGCCCAGAAATTGCTTATTACTTATAGAAAACCCAAACTTACTGATGACTAAGTCAATTGCTGATTTATAGCTGTAACCAACATTGAATATGTTACCATAATTTAGGTTTCCTATTATTTTTTCTTTCTTTTTCTCCTAAAAAAAAGCTAGGAAAAAAACTTATGCTTCACTTCACTTATGCTTCATGAGAAAAGACCTGAATTCCCCTGCACACCACTAGACAAATCCAGTTAGAGTAATTTAGGATACACAAGACATCCCAAGCAGCTTTTTCTTTCTGCTCCCACTCTCTGAGAAGAGAGGTTTTCAGCTGGTGACTCAGAAGGCAGATAGGTCTACTTATATATAGCAGGAAAAGGTATTTTCCCTCTCATTAACAGCTGTGCACTGCTGGTGCTTGACCTGCAGGTTGTTTGAACTATCTCCACTGGCAGAATTAAGGAATTCAAAGAGTAAGATTGCTAAAGCCTATTCATATAGAAAAAGCCCAAATGTAAATACATATTAGAGAAGCTAACTTTTCTATCTTGGAAAATGAATTATAGAAAAAACAGGTAGTTTGTAGAGACTACTGGACTGGTAGCATCCCTCCCTGCTATTTTCTCCTGAGACATCTGCCTCCAGATGAGTTTCTGAGTTTCTCCTCAGAAACTCAGCCAATCTTCTGTGCATACACTACTGGAAATTAATTCCCTGGGGACTACTTCCCATGAAATGAATGGTTCCTAACACTTCTCTTCAAGTCTTTTTACAACACCTACCTCTACAACTTCCATGTGAACTATTCCATGAAGATACTTACAATAATATCTCAATTCCTCTAAATGTTGCTTCTCCCATATACACTTTGCATAGAATCCCAGATTCTTCCAGACCACTTGTGATACTCCAGCTCTCTGAGCTCCTCTTTCTAAGACCAGCAAGACACCCTTCCCAGTCCTGTCCTAATCAGACAGTAAATTTCTTAGTTTCCTCATATAAGAAGTCTGCCCCTATTCAGAGCTTGAACCTCCATTTGAACAGAAATAATGAATTTATTGCAACTATATGTAACTGATTCAAAGAACAGGAAGCTTTCTATTTTGTTTTAAACATATCTGATAAAAAATTAGCAAGTACAGGAACATCATTAACACAATCTTCATCATTTAAGACACCAAAGATGCAAGTAAAAGTGGTTCCTCAACAATTCCATTTAAACAAGAATTTAATTATGTTTGACTTAAAACACATGAGTATTCTCTTGAAACTCATTAAATAAATATGAAAAACATGGAATCAAAGATGAACTTGTCACTAAGGAGATGTATAAATATAATTTTTGTTTAAAAATCAATTTTTCCTAAGAAGATATTTTATTACAAAAACACTGTGTTTCAGTACCTCTGAAAAAAATATTTGGAATTACAAAACTTCTACTCACTGTATGTGACAGTCCTCAAAATTTTCATATGAACATTTTAGGCATTAAACTATGTTTTTGCAACAGTTTATTGGTCTGAAAAAAACCGCATGGTTAGACGCAAATGAAATATTAGACTCATTAAAAGCAGTAGAAATTTTATTTGGTCTACAGGTTAAAAATGTTACATTCGAGCTGGTTTTGAAATTTTTTTCCACCTAGAGATTTCCCAGATTTTTTAAATGAGGAAAATACTGCAAAAGCTACAGCAATGCTTAGACCTTCTTTCTAGTTTGCTCTTTTGGGCAATGGAAACCTTATTTATTATGAGAATTTCCAGCATTTTTTTCTCCAGAAAACTCTAGCTAAAGTGACCCAGTATGTAAGGTGTCAATTTCTGTTTAAAAAAAAAGGCAAAACATGAGCTATTTTTGCTAGCCTCCTATAATACTTCCACATGCAAGGAGATAAAGCAGGGCACTTTGGGAATACTTGAACACCTGATACTGATGTCACAGGAGAAGGCCACAACTAAGCACATCACTGCTGTCAGTGGGAAGGCCACTGCTTAGCACTGAACGCTGACACAAGAGGAACAGGACAGCTCTACAGAACAGCAGTGCCACACAGGTAGAGAGCAGACAAGGAAGGACACTTATGTCATTGGGAATTCCCTGTCTGGGTTAAACAAGGTCATGGTTAGCCAAATAATTAAATCCTGCATTCATCAAGAATGTCATACTGTGTTTTTAGTCCTTTCCTAAAAACCAACCATGGAAAACCAAAAGGTTTTGTGCCAGTAGAGGCTCTGGGTATCTAACTCAGAATAGTTTCCCCATTCTTCAGCTCATCCTTAATGGCGAAGAACATAATAAAGAATAGGCTGATATAAAAGCACTGGAAAAATCAGAAGAAAGGGAGAAAGAAAACAAAGTAGGGAAAAGGTCTGTAGAAATGAAAATTAGAAAGAAATTGTGAGAACATTGGAAAAGAGCAGGAATTTCACAACCTGAAAATAGAGGGGAAAGTGAAAAAACAAAACTAAAACATGATTTAGTGTTTATCTGTTCTTCTTTTGATGAATGAGGACAAAATTTGAAAAGCAAAATGATAGGAAAAGCAGTAGAGAAACACGTGGGAGAAGATGTGGAGTTTTTATTCTGCTTCATATGGATGCATTTCATTTATCTCCTTCAGTGCAACGAGCTTTTCCTAAATGGAAGAAAAAGCATATTTTAATACCACCCGTTCTTTTAATCTGCACACTAATTTCTAGCACAAACTTAAAATATGTTAAAACAAAGTAATCCTTACAAATTACTAGTATGACTGAAGATTACAGAACCTGATTAAAGCTGGAATGTAGAGTTTGGGAGCAGTCTTTTTTAAAATTTCAATAGTACAAATAAATTATTTTTGTCTCGCTAAGTGACAAGAAGTTCATTATGAAAATAGTATTCAATGATTTTGTATTTTCTGAAAAATCTCTAATTCTACTAAGGTCTGGCCTTCGTTCATGCAAAATCACAGCCATAAATATGCCAAAAGATATGTATACTAGCATAGAAATACTCTGAATACAATATAAGCAAAATCAACATAGAATGTAGAAACATTAAATGAAATATTTCTGTTTTGCACAAAGTCTGCAGAACTTTGGGGTGCAAATTCAACATGTACATAGGTAAACTTATATTATCATCTCCTTTTGGGCAGAACAGTTGTCTGTTAATTTCAATACACAAACCTTACCTTACACTTATAAATACCCAGTCTTTACCATGCCTAGGTGCATGTGTGCAGTTTGTACATCTAACACTTAAAGGTCTGTGCTCAAAGTTGTATCACAACGTGCCCATAGGTGGCAGAATAGGCATACACGAGACTCAAGTAACCCTCACCTGAACCAGCTCGTGGGCTAAGCGCCACAGAACTTTTTGGGTGGTTTCATTAATTTCTAGTTCTGTCATGGCTTCCCAGTTACCATTCTGGAGCCTCACTGGCATAGAGAAGATTATTTCTTCAGGAATGCAAAACTGACCTGAAGAAGAGAGGAGGAAAAGGACAAAACATGTTATTTCTGATTACATCCTCACCAGTGTCAACACTAAGTCCTAGAGACTTGCAAAAGTCTACAACGGTAAGATCTCATTATAAATGGAGACTGCCTTTTTCAATCCACAGTTCAAAAAAGAATGTTCCTTTTACTGTAACTTTGTACTTCAGTTAGATGTGCATGAATTATAGCATCAGATGGGTTTGGGCTGCAAGAGACATTTAAAGGTCTCTAGTTCAACCCTCCTGCCATGGGCAGGGACATCTTCAAATGTATCTGAGCCCCATCCAAGTTGACCTTGAATGTTTCCAGGGTTGAGGCATCTCCCCACCTCTCTGGGCAGCTTGTTCCACTGTCTTATCACATTCATTGTAAAAAAAACTTTATATCTAATCTAAATTGACCCTCCTTCACTTTAAATCCATTGCCCCTTCTCCTATTGCAACAGGTCCTGCTAAAACATTTGCGCCCATCTTCCTTAGAAGAACTTTTAAGCACTGGAAGGTGCTATAAGGTCTCTCCAGAACCTTTTCTTCTCCAGAGCCTTTTCTTTTCCAGGCTGAACAACCTCAGCTCTCTCAGCCTGTTTTCATAAGAAAGGCATTCATCCCTGTGGTCATTTTATGAGGCCCTCCTTTGGACCATCTCCAACAGGTGTCTTTCCTGTGTTGTAATAACACAATTGTGTATCAGTTGTGCATCTTAAAAAAGGGGAAAAATTATTGATTTCATAAGGGTTAAATGGCTGCTGTGAAATATTCCATTAATTGGTTTGCATAACGACATAAGAAGAACACACTTACATAGCCTAGGCTCTAATATTTATAAAGAGTTCTTGCACAAAACACATATATCAGAAAAGCATTTAAACGAAAAGACTAAGAGATCATTTGCAAAAAGACAACATTAACCTAAGAGATGCCTCTGAAAAGTGAGCATTATCACAAGCTCTGTTAGATTTGGAAGTTCTATGATGAAACAAACTCTTCGCCTCACACGATTTGTTTTACAAGATTTTATTAAATTAAAAATATTGATTAAAAATAACATTATAGATGGGGAAAAGCTATTATATGCAGGGCAAAGCTACAAGAGAACATGTGAGGCAAAACCAGCTTTACCTTCACTAAGTATTCCCACAGAAATGATCTCCTCAGAAGGAGAGCCATGGTACCAGTACCGCAGCACCGTGGCTACGGCATGAGCAGGTAACATTCCCTTGCAACGGGACACCCGGGAACTCAGCGTGCTCTGTGCCGACACCAGCTCTGAGTGGATCCATTCACTGCCACCAAAACATGGAGAGAAAAAGCATGACAAACTAAGATGACTGCAGGAAGAGTAGTTTTCTAAAGAAAAAAGAACTAAACCTGAGGAAAGAAACATTACTCAAACATCACTGCTGAAAGCAAGGCATTTTTACAGACAGAGAAAAAAGTCTAACAAAAAGTAGCTTAAAAAGTTACAAGTGCTGTGAAAGTTAGGCCATTTACTCAAGTCTTAACCTCTATTATTATTGTAATTTATATTTTATATGTAATTTAATATTTTATATGTAATTTATATATTACTGTCTTCTGTAAGAACCCACCCACGAACCAGTCTGCCTGTGAGAGGTTCAGTACAGGCCTAGAACATAGAAATGTCTGCTCTCCAGTAAATGCTAAGCCTAGACCAGAGTGGGAGCTCCAGATAGCCAGGCCTGGGTGTATGTAACATCTGCTGCCCTCTCACTGCACCCACCCTTTCTCTGCTACTGCTCCTTCCACAAGAAGCTATCTACTTGCTAGGTATCCTTTTCACATATATTACCAAATCATCTGTCTTGGGAAACTGACAACATTAGTATGCTCAGACCTATTCCATGTAATTCAGGTTCAGAAATCTGTTTAATACTATTTCAAAGTTCCTTCATGCAAACTAGACATCTAAAATCACTACCTGGACTTCTATCACTTCTTCTAAACTGCTCATGATATAAGAGAAATCTATTTAAAATGTAGGAAAAATATAGTTATAAACAGAGTTGGCAGGAGAGTGCAGTAGCACAGCACTAGGATCTACCCAACTTCTTTTGCAGATGGAGTACCTCAACTTGTGTTTTCCTTTATGTACAGTGCCAATCAGTAAGGACAAATCTTGAAAACAAAAATATTTCTTGATGTTTTATTAGACAACCCAGATAAGCATGGATTAAAAGCAATTATTTAATCTTACTTGAAAGAAATAAATCTGTACTGTACCTATCATAAATCATATTCAACAAAGGACGTTGAAAATTAGGAGGGCCCCGAATAGCACATTCATATCCATAAAGTTTTGCATGTGACAAATCAATGTAGTTAGACCCAGTAATATTGCCCCAAACAATCACATCTTTAACTCCTGCAACAAAGGAAAGTGAAAAGACAAATACTTTCAGAAAAATGGGCTTCATAAATCCTTTTCAAAATGAATTATTCAAATCTGTGCCCCACCTTGGTAGCAGAAATTATTTGACCTGAAAAATGCAACCAAGTTCTCCCTAACATATGAAACCTCATCACAAGCTGAAAAAGAAGCTTTAATTTATATTATGTTACTGTAAATAATAGACAAAATCTAGTAAATCTTTAACTCTTAAAACAGTCAAATCATATTGCAAACATACAGCTACATTTCTTTTAAAATCCTCTAAAAACAAATATAAAAACAGTAAAAAACTATCATTAAAAAAACTACCTGCTTTGGTGCAAAAGGATTTTCTCAAATAACCTGTTGATAGATTATTCAGTCTCTTAACTATTTTATTAGGCTCCAAAATATCTAGGCTTCTCATCAATGACCAGTTCTAGCCATGCAACACTCACAGAATCCTGATGCTGAGCAGATTGTCAGAGCACCCCTTTGCTACGCAGTGCAGAACTGTGCAAATAAAATAAAGCTATAACAATTGACCTGAAAATGGAAGTTAATTAACCTCAAAATAATACTACCACACAGTTCTACTTTACTCTCATTATCTGCA